GGTAAAGGAACTGGTACCAGTAAACCACGAAGACAAAGCGTGAGTCACAAAGATCCTGAGGTTGTCCTTGTTGGTAAGGGTTTTTTTTTTTTTTTCCCTTTTCTGTCGGACTTTTTCTGTGCCCAGCAAACGTCAGAGCAAGCGTAATAATTCGTCCGGTTTTTACTATGTTTAGATCACATTCGACCTGATTGGAACAGAATGCTGGATGTCTCAAGAGCTGCCCCGGGTTCTCGTCGAAACTCGGCTACTCAAGCCAATTCCACAAGAAGCAGAGGCGTAGGTGGAGCGATAGGTTCCATCATGACTCGACCTGGTCGGTCTGCTTCTTCAGCAGCTTCTAACGAATATTTTGTTTCGGCTGCCATGCGCCGAATGAATTTACAAAATATGGACTTAGAGGATCTCATGGTGATGGAAGCCGTTCGATTGTCGTTGCTTGAAGAGGAAGAGCGTCGACGAACTCAACAACAACAGCAATCAGAGCAATCGGCATCATCTGATACTGCAAACACAACTGAGCAGAATCGACGACGAACACAGAACGACAGTGAGATTCTCGAAGGAGTAAATGAAGAAGAGGATGACGATGATGAGCCGTTATTCAATTCTGTCGTCAATGGTATGCGCGAACGGCCGGAACCAGCAGCAGATGGGCAAGGTAACCATGTCGCACCTTCCCCCAATATTGTCGATGCACCCCTCCAAATGGTACCTACCACCGAACCGACGTCAGAATTGGATATCGTGGAATTGCCAGCTTTCGATTCAACAAGCAATGGAAGTACTGAGAGCAGAGATCAAAAATCTTTGCTCGTTGTAGAAGGTGAAGACCATTCACACTTGGACAGTGTGTCGTCTCTATAAGGTTTATCTTATTTCTACATTTCATGCATCCCCTCGATACCAGTTTTCTTTTCTGTCTTTCTCTTTTATGCTCTTCTGTATTTGCATCCCTTTATACATTTGCTTCTACATGTACATTTTACATTCTCGCTTTCATCTTGCTACCATAAAGGATACGTATGTTTTGTATATCGCTTTGCTGGGCACCATTGTGTTAATGCCGTTTTGTTCAGGCCAAAAAAAAATTTAAAAAGACAAATTTATGGTTCCGATGTGTCTTGACGCGAGCACTGGACAACCATGAAGGTACCCACCACATTTGACAAAGCTTGTTATAATGACCTGTTTGTTCATTTTCTGTTTAGATAGCAGTAGAAGGTTGTTGCCATGGTCAATTGGACGACATTTATGGTTCCATTCGGCTTTTGGAGCACAAAGAAGGAATCAAGATCGATCTGGTTTTGATCTGTGGCGACTTCCAGGTAGCGTGTTAAACTGTGCGGCTTTTTCAGCTTAATCCAAGCGTATTCACCCAACCTTTTTCAATCAGGCCATTAGAAACGTAGCAGACTTGGAATGCATGGCAGTTCCGAAAAAGTACCAGCAGATAGGCACTTTTCACAAATACTATTCGGGAACCAAAGAGGTGCCTTATCCTACCGTTTTCATCGGCGGAAACCACGAAGCCAGCAATTACCTATGGGAGCTGTAAGTACTAACGTTACCAGGGCTCACTGAACCACCATTTATTCATCGTATATATCCACAGCTTTTATGGCGGCTGGGCTGCTAAAAACTTGTATTTTCTCGGGTGGGCTGGTGTCATCAAATTTGGAGGGGTTCGCATAGCTGGTAGTTCAGGAATATTCAATGCACACCATTACAACAACGGCCATTACGAGAAAGCACCCTATTCAACTTCAGACATGAGGAGTATCTACCATGTTAGAAAATACGATATACGGAAGCTAGGTCTTTTGAGGCAACCGATTGACATTATGTTGACTCACGACTGGCCTCGCGGAATCGAGCAGTTTGGAGACGTGCAAAAACTGTTAAGAATAAAGAAGCACTTTAGGGCAGAGGTGAGTAATATTTCAGTGTGATTGACCCCAGCAAGCCTACGTAATCATAATCCTTTTAACATTCATGTCTTCCTCTTTCTATAGGTCGCGAGAAATGATCTCGGTAGTAGAGCTAATGAAGAGCTTCTAGACAAGCTCGTTCCAAAATATTGGTTTTCAGCCCATTTGCATGTTAAATTTCCAGCGTTGGTAAACCACGATGCTTGGGTAAACCGGTTTGCGAGAAATGTGCCAGGTCCTCCTGGCCCTCAATCTGGCGGAATGGAAATCAAGGTCGACAATCCCGATGAAATAGTTATATCCATGGATGATGATGATGACGATGACGTTCTTGATACACCTAGCGTCAACCTTAATGAAACTCCTGTAGATATGAGTACGCCAGCTTCAAATACAGCAAGTACACAAGTCATTGCAACCAGCAATCCTGATGAGATCATCATGGATGACGATGACTTTGATGAACCTGCCACCACTTCCGTTATGACCAATGTCATTACGGAGTCCGCGAAGAGCGTACCCACCCACACTCCACATACGGCAGAGATTCACGATGAACTGATAAACGAAACAACTGAAAAGGTACCAGCATTGGAAGTAGTAAACCAAGGTAATTCCATTGTTGTTCGGACCATGACAAAATGAATCAAATTATTCATGATATGATTACCATGAAGTTACCCAATCTACACGTTTCTTGAGTCTTGACAAGTGCTTGCCTAGAAGAGACTTCCTACAGGTAGCACAGGTGATATGCTGTTAAAACGTTTCATCTCAATGAATCTAACTCCTATACATAGGTGCTGGATGTTCCATCTGTAGATGAAAATCTCACATTTGAATATGACTTGGAATGGCTGGCAATTACCCAAGTTACGCAACAGTATCTCAGCTTGCAACACCACCAACCTGCTATACCTTCAGACAATATACTCTATAGGTATGATTTGTTACAGATTTTGTCATGATGCTGGCTTTGCAACTAACTCCATACTACAGTCAAATTGATCAGAAAATTGAAGAACTGCAAAAACAGGTTGACGAAGGCGCCCTGGATTTGAGAATACCGAACAACTTTGTGTTGACTGCACCGTATCATGATTATACACATCGAATGACCCCGCAAGAGATCGCAGAGAACAGTGAGTTTTTCAGTTACTCAATTTTGCCACACGCACTCATTTGCCGCAGTCTTATTGATTGCCGAATTCATAGTCATTCCATACTCCAATCCGCAAACAGAGGCATTCTGCAGTTTGATTGGAATTGAAAACAAGTTTAAAAGCTCCAAAGTGGCGCGGCCGCCTCAGAAGGATACTGAGCCGGAATCAATTGTCGAGCTTGTAGAGTCAGGATCTTCAACGCCTACTAAGCGACAAAAGCTGGATCTTCCTCCGCCTACAGTGACATCCATAGAGACTTCCATAGAGGTAGAAGAAACCACACTGTTGGAATAGTGAAATCAATTGCGTAATATTTTACTGGTGTCCTGTTTTCGATATTCAATACATGCAATTATGAAAACGGCATTTGTGCAAACGATAAGAGCAATTTTTTTTATTAATATACAGTACAGTGATTTAATTGTGTGTCAACCGAGGCCATTTTGTTCATCCCAGAGCGCAGTGAAGTGATTATGAACGATCGATGACAATAGGCACGCTTTCAGTGCGCTGTTCGACGGGAAATCTCTCTTCAATTTTGTCAGAGACCACGATCCCGATAGCTGCGAAGGCCATTCCAGCTAACAAGGGCATAAAGTAAGTCATGAGCCGCACTTGAACACCGCACTACAGGTCATTGCAACACTTACCGAGCCCAATGAACATGCGAGATCTCGGTGGAATAGACTTGTATGATCCCCAAAGTGATTTGCGCTGCATTTAGAATGTCAATTTTTTGTCAACAGGCTCCTGGCCAAAAGCACCTGTCCTAAAAATCTCATGCCAAGTCCAGTCACAACAAGAGGGATCCTCCTCCACAGTTCGAATCTCAATCCTACTTATGCAAGTCCGATTCAACTACACGCCCATCTTGTAACTATCAACGCATAATGTTAGCGGTCTCTTGATAATTGTCTCTAACGTTAATTGCAACTTTAGCTTGGCGCTCGTTCTTCTTCTAACAGCATCAACAGCTCAATCAGCCAATACCCCATCCGCATTGCGGTCGATAAATCCCCGACAGTCACCCACTGACTCATACTCGTGCTCGGTCGTTGGGCAGTGCGAAGTATGCACAGATTTGGAAAAGGTACTTTTTCCCTCAGCTGTTTTCTCACTCTTTCGCTTTACGGTGATATGGCGGTAGCTAACTTCTTTGGTTGGGGTAGAAAACACAACCTTACTGTAAAGAATTCGGTAACAAGCAACGGATAAGCTGCCAGTACAACAAGGATGTGTCCGATATATCTGAGCCACTTCCCATGTTTAGAGGATGTCCACGCGTTCAATGGGTAGAGCGAGCGCGGTACTATCAATTCGTGGTGATCAATGTGATTATATCCTTACTTGCGGTAGGCGTATTTTCATGGAGGCACCGCAAACTTGCTGGGGAACAGTATCGAAAAATGGCACAGCGTATTGGGATATCAGTGTAGTGTAGCATAGCATAGTGGAAATTCAATTGCAATACCTTTACTCTACCTAACGTCTCCATCTTGTTATTGACAAGGCTTACGATGGTTAAAAAACCATTTGGCACAATTTTTTTTTTTAACTATTTTAACCTCCATGTCACACATTCCGTAATATACAACTTGGTGTTGCCTGGTTCTCATGATAAGCCTGTCGATTCCCGCCAAATGTCGTACCGGAATTAGAAGCTTGCGGCTTTCTCAGGGTCCTTCGGATATGATGTAGCGGAAGTTGGGGGTTCATAATTAATAAGAACCTTCTCGGCAACCTAAATAATGAACCGAGCGACGGGTACAGATTCAGTATAACGGTGCGGGCTTGATGTTCTTGTCAATTTTTGATGTACCGACGCCAGAAAGTGATATGTCATAGCCTTCCATGCAGGAAAACAAAGTTTAACTTCAAGCCGAAGATCGCTGGACCCTGAAAAAGGGAGCTTTAGAATCCTTGGAAAAAAAATGTATACCAAATCCAGAAACGTATAAAACCCACCCCATATTTTCATTCAGGGACCTCCATTCACTTCGAGAACAATGATTGCTGGCCTTTCATTACTTTGTATGGCTGCCGCTGCCGTGAGTGGCGTAACTGCAGCTGGTCAGCATGACCAGACTGTCGTGGGCTTGCCTGCTAGCAACCCGGTCAAGCAGCCTTGGGTTTGGCCTCTGCCTCAAAAATGGGAGCGTGGAACTTCCACATTAAAAGTCAATGAAAACATTCACTTTGACTTTGAAAGTCACAACACCATCCTTAGCAAGGCTGTAAAGCGTTATCATAACCTCATTTTCCAAAAAGATGATTATCCCATGATTCCTTACAACTGGACTACCACAGATAGCCATGCCCGCTCATCCTTGAGTTCCGTTTACATTGATATCCGTGATAAGTCGGACCATTTGGATATGGATACTGATGAGAGCTACTCTTTGACCATTCCTGTCTCCGGCAAGGCTATCATCACCGCCAAGACTGTCTATGGTGCTCTTCATGCCATTGAAACCTTCTCCCAAATCGTTCAGTACTCTCCTGGTCTTCATTCCTATGTCATTCCTAATGCCCCTTGGAAGATTTCCGACTACCCCAAGTACAAACATAGAGGTCTCTTGCTGGATACTTCTCGCCATTACTATGCCGTTAAGGATATCGAAAAGACCATTGACAGTAAGTGGACGCTACGGTGGTTGTAAATCAAAGTGTATGACACGTCTTGACATATTATGCATTTTATTAGCCCTCTCTTGGAACAAGATGAACGTGCTTCACTGGCATATGATTGATTCCACTTCCTTCCCTTACAAGTCCAAGGCGTACCCTCAACTTGCTGAGAAGGGGTCCTACAGTCCAGCTCATCAGTATGATGCAAAGACCATCAGTGGCGTCGTTCAATATGCTAAGGAACGGGGTGTTCGAGTTATTCCTGAACTTGAAGCTCCTGGTCACAGTACTTCATGGGGTTATGGTTAGTTCACTGTATGCGATTTACAACGACAGTAGTCTAGTCTGAGATTAACTCCTATTATTTTGTTGCTACTTTGTATTTACTATACAGGTATCCCTGAGATTGCCTCGTGCGTTAACCACGTCCCATACTTTGGCTATACCGTCCAGCCTCCTTCCGGCCAATTGAATATTGCTAAGAACAAGACCAAGGAAGTTGTTAACAAGATTATTGACGAGTGGGCCGAGCTTTTCACCGATTCTTTCTTCCATGCATCAGGTACGTGTCTGCTGTTAGTAAACCTTTAATTCGACGAAGCTTTTACTGAAGTGATTATCCCTAGGTGACGAGGTTGTTATGGCCTGCTGGACCAATGATACCATTGTCGCTTCTTACCTCAAGGAACATAACATGTCTGTTACTGAGTTGTTCCAGAAATTCGTCCTTGATATGCAAGATCATGTTCGCTCACACAAAAAGACTGTCATGGTTTGGCAAGAAATGCTGTTGGAATATCAATTTCCTCTTCCTAAGGATACAGTTGTTCAAGTTTGGGTGGGATCATCTGGTGTCAAGGCAACTACTGAAATGGGATACAAGACCGTTGTTTCATCAAGGTATGTTCTTGCCTCGATGGAAGTTACTGGATATAAAAAATTACGTGCTGTACGCTAACATTCATTTTTCTTTCTAATGCAATAGTGACTACTGGTATTTGGATGTCGGTTATGGTGAGTATTGATTCCACTGCTCTCACATTGATGCCCTATGAGCACCTATGAATCATTACATATTACTAAGACATTCTCAATCACAGGCAAGCCTCGCAGTAATCCTTATCCTGATGTCGCAGGAGCCGGATATAACCATTGGAATCGCGTTTACTCTTATGATATCAGAGCCAACTTGACCAAAGCTGAAGCTGACCTTATCATTGGTGGTGAATGTACTTTGTGGGGAGAATTGGCTGACCACACCAACTTTGAAGGCAAGATTTGGCCACGAGCTTCCGCTGTTGCCGAGCGTCTTTGGTCAGGCTACGAAACACCCAGCGGTGAAAACATCACAAGCGCCGACGCTATCCTCCGCCTTTTGCCCTGGCGCGATCGCATGCTTCTTCGCGGAACCATGGCTTCTCCTCTTAACCAAGGTTTCTGCACTCGTAATCCCTTGGACTGCTTCCAGCCTCCGGAATAAAATTGAATTCTTTTAGTAGTTTTTTATCATAATAGATTGACTTGTTTACAACCATCGTGGTAATAAATTTTGTACCAGTAACTTCTACCAGCAACTTATAACACTCTCGCTGACCTTTTATGCATGGACAATTGGTTTGACTTTTTTCGACTCCACTTGAGCGGAGTACAAATGACAATTTGTCGGTGAAAGTTGTGTGGTGTTTGACACCTATTGCTTTAACTTTGAATCCATGTCGTTCCAGGAAATTCAAAAGACCGTAGAACTATTGCCGTCATTAGAGGGTATGTACTCGATTGAAGGCTCGGAAAATCTTAGAGTACTTTCTTACGAATAACTTGTTACTCTTTACAGACAACGATCTAGATCCTGTCATCAGTCATCTCGCCACGTTCCTGAGCGACAATCTAAATGTGGCCAAAGACCAGATGTCCGCTGATGCAAACAGTAACGAGCATTGGACTAATGCTTCCAAATTAGCCGAGCTTTGTGCTAACGCAGCGAGAGACCGTATGTACAGGTTATGGTATTCAGTGTTTGGGCAGACTGACTAATACTGGTCTTAGAACGAACTCGAGGACCGCTTGGAAAAGCTGGAGTCATCCAGACAATAGCTGCAATCATGGAACTAGCCAATGCAGAAGGAAAGGAATATGTTATTCAGGCTTTGCGATCTTTTGCCAATTTATGCTTTGATGAAGGTAAATGAAGTAAGTAGATGCATGGTCGGGAGGAAGTGATATCTAACCTCTATTTGCAAGATGATAATCGCAAGCTGGTGGCTGAGAGCGGATTGATTCCTACAATTGTGAATGGTTTGAGTTCCAATAACCCATCTCTTGTTCGCACCACCTGTGGTGCCTTGATGAATCTGTGTATCGATAGCGGTAAAACAGGAAACATGCTTCGCGATAACATGGTCAAACGTAGATGAAACTGACGCAACGATTTGAGAAGATGTTATTCAGGAGCAAGTGTGTGACTGTAATGGTGTACAAGCTCTTATGAAGCTGCTGGAGCCTGCTCAGATGGATCATGGGGAAGAAGCCATGGTGAATACTGCTGCAAAGCTGCTAACCATCCTTCAAGAAAATGGTTAGTTCTTATGACGCCGTGCTTGAATGAAACAATTACATTTAACACATATTTCATCTATAGAAAAAGCAGTACTGCAGATTGCAGCTGAGGAAGGTGTTTCTAAACTGATAGATTTGGTTCGTTATAGCTGGACAGTGGATAAACTAGAAGATTTGGATCTTCTTGAATATCTATCGGAGATACTACAGCATGTTTTGTCTGAAAATGGTGAGTGGCGATATTAGTCATCCCCAACGGTTAACGGGTCTTTTGACAGTATGTATTGCTATAGAATATGCTCAGGCGTCTGCCGGCAAGAGCCTCAGCTTTATTACACTGTTGGATTTCATTGAACAAGCCGAAATAGCAGATGATGCGGATGAAGAAGAGCAAAAGCAATTTGATCAAATTTGTAAATGTTTTGTCAAAGCCATTGTCGATGTATCCTTGGCAGGTGAGTTTTGTCAAAAAAATTGTCACATTCTTTTCAAAAGAATTCCCATATTCACTGTGTCTTACAATTCTTCCCTACCAGATGATAATCTTAATCATCTATACGAAAATGAAAGCGTCCTGAACCGATATCTAAAGTGGATCGAGGATGCCAACGACGAAAGTGTCACGAGTGATATGCAAACTTGCGCAGCACTTTCACTCGGAAACCTTGCGAGAACCGGTAAGCACCACATGATTCTCAATTAGCTGGCGTAACGTTCACCAACATTTATGCTCTTTGGGTTATTTTTCAGATGAGCATTGTGTTGATTTAGTTCAAAAGTACCATGTTGAGATACCATTGCTACGATTATTGAAAAAGACGACGGATCTCAGAGTACAGCATGCGGTTGTTAGCATACTGAAGAACCTGAGTTTACCCAGTAAGTGGTGTGTCACAACCTAGGTTAAACATGGCTACGTCTTTTAACATGAACATAGAGCAAAATAAGCAGAACATTGGTTCGGCGGGGGCAATTCAAGCGGTAGCACCTTACCTTGATGCTTCGAAGGATATGCTTAAACCAGTACAATTTGCAGTCATTGGAATCTTGAAACTACTGGCTGTCGGTGATGGTATGACAAAAAAAAATGGAACTGCGGAAGCTCTTTCCATTATTGACATTGTATTATTTTTTTTCAATTGCTTTTTGAAAAATCAAACAGATTTCAATGCCACTCAAATCGTTACAGCCGAGCCATCTGTAGACGAAGCAGAGGAATCCGACACTATCAGCCCGCTTGACCGAGTGGTTGAGTTTATCCAGCGGGTTGATGATGTGGCCGCCAAAAGTGAAGCAACACGTGTCCTGGTCAATCTGATCAAGACGGCATGGTCCCAAGGTAATATACCATGACCTTGACATCGATTTCACAAGGGTTTGACTCACCAGCGTATTCTGTAGAAAATGTTTCGTCTGTTGTTCTCAGAGAGAGGCTGTGCTCCATACAGATTGTCAAAGCACTTGCGGCGCTTGTTCGTTCTTCCAAGTTCTCCATTCTGCAAAATGAAGCCATTATTGCCTTGACGCTTTTATTCACGCAGGAAAACAACGATGCATTTATTCGAGATGGTACGATAAGGCAGTGAGCGGGGAGCAATTAGTGAGATGGAAGGGTATTGGTGCATGGCCATATTTGACTAAACTTTATCAACGCGAATAGGTTTGGCTGTGTTCGTTGCACCGGAAGAGTCATTAAGCCACGTTACAGACGAGTCCACCGAGACACAAAGCGAAGAGCTGGAAAAGGCAACCCTTAATTTATTACAAGTGCTACTCCGAATAATTATTGAAAATGACGCTCAAATGCCTGAGCAAGTACGCTGTAATGCTTGCGTATTGCTTGAAAGAACGGTTTTAGTTGCAAAGAAAGGTAAATAGAAGGGAAACAAAATGTCATTCCGTTTTGATCATCTGCTAAATAATGTTTATTTTGTTTTTTATTTCATTCCCCTAGTTCAATCTGACAACTTGCAGCTTTTGAAAGACCAAGTCTTTGAGCATTTGAATGACAACAACGCCCTGTCATCGTCGCTTCAAGAACGTATTACCCAACTTAGATTAGCAAGCTCATAAAATAAAATTTATCAAGCTGAGATTCTCTTGTGATTTTAATAACGTTCTCCAGACCAAATCATGACCTACCCTAGTCGGTTATTCCCAAAATGGGCATGTTCCGTACCAGAATGGGAGTGGATACGCATTTCGGCTATCTGTTGAACGACGCAAGTCGTACATGGAACGTAGGCTGCTGGTGTTGGGGAACGGGGGGGGGTTGACCTGACGTTATTACGAAAATATTGACAGCCCAAAAGAAAATATTTTTTTGGGTGGGTGGGGCGTGAAAGGAAAGAAACGACGAGAAAGGGGAAAGGAAGGAATGGGGGTGCTGGTCTTCGGCTGTCAAATCACGGTACGCTGTCTGTCCTTCTGTCAGCAATAACATGGATATGCGGTCATACGTCTCTGGTTACTTCTAATAGTTATATTTCCATTTCCCCAAATTCTGTCTTCCTTGCTCTTCTTCCTCTCTTTCTCTTTTCCACCTTGTCTTCACCCATCTACACACCCTTTCGTCCGCAATTGGCTGCTGTTAGCCCTGGATAACATTATTGAATCCTGCCAAATACCCTTTACTACCCACTCAAAGGTAGTTGAGTCCACGTCATTGAATGATAAAGACATGACATTGCCTAAACATACTACATCACCCGAACCTGTGTGGTTGTTCGAAGACTTGAAGAAAGAAGGTAGCTGGATACCATTCGATCTTAAAACTCAGGAAATTTTAGAATACGCCTATCAAAATTATGGTGAGCTATTCAACACTATAAAGAAACGAACCCTGTCCGATCATGACGACAATGTGCTTCAAAGACGTAACGTTCAGTATGAGTTGGTGCATGAACATATCAAGGTGATTGTTCAAGACTCTCACTTTGACGAACCTGTCTCCTTGTTCCCCATTTCCTTTCTGGCATGCCTTCAGGATGCTGATCTACTTTTAGATCGACGAGGAACAGGTCAACCTGATGACTACATTTCCACGTTTTCAACATTCTAGTTTATACCCTTTTTGCTTTGTTAACCCACCAATTTTCTCAATCTGTCTCAATTTTTTTTTTCTGGAATTTTTTAATAGAAAGTCGCGCGTGGTATATGTCGATTACTGTATGAGTATGTGTATATAAAATAAAATTACAATGCCAATCGTCCTGGAAACTCCTCCATTAATGACGAGAATATTCTCGACACAACACCTTGTTGCTTATGCAACCCGGCGCCTTCTCCTAGTCCACCATTGGCGGCAATAAGTTTCACAGTGGCTTGCAATGTGTAATTGATGAGCTCAGTAACTCCACCGCGAAGGAGAAGGTACACCAATACCCAATAGAGAGCACTGTGGTAGCGGAACATGAGTTTTGTAAGTTTGTGAAGGCCCTTGCGGCATTTGCTTTGGAAAATCAACCAGTATCGTATGAATTCGCTCTTTGTTGAAGCGCCTCCCGAATAACCAGTTGGAATGGGTGTCTGCGGCGGTGACAACGCATTTGAGGTTCTTGGAGATAAATATAGCCCATCATCCGATTCGGCATCATCATCATGAGGAGCAAACCCATCATGGTGCTGACGATCAAAGGCTTGCATTGCCCTGGAATGATCATTGAGGGTGATATCCGGAATACTGGGATTGGACGACTTGGGTTGGCTCAGCGTACTAGCAACAACACTGAACCAGTTCTTTAAATATGCAAGGCTGGAATAGTCTACTGCTCGTGCAGATTGAAGAGGAATGGGTATTTTGCTCAAAGCTAAACTGCTGCTCACAGGCGTCAAAGCAGGCGTTCGCCCTCCAGTAGGTGTACCGTACATACTAAAGGTAGATAATGACCGTGACAGTGTATTGAGCGAATTGGCATCATTCATGTCACTCATAGCATCGTAAAATATATCGCTGCTAACAGAAGATCGCCGTGATGAGATAGACCTTGGTATACTGGGTACAACAGCATCTGCGTCGGCGTCTTCCTTTGTATAAGGTGTTCCATACTTCTGTAACACCGTATCGGATTCCAAAGACCATACATAGTCATCGGCCCCGTCAAAGTCTATATTGATAAGAGAAGTCCCAACAGAGGAGATCAGTATAAATTTACAAACTAGCTACTTTCGATTCCCGAACTCACCTTTGAGAATGTCTTCTTTATCTACTATAGTGGCCAGTTCAGCAGCTTTGGGGAACGAGACTTTTTGTCGCGCATTTTCTGTCATTACCAATTTGATCATTTGCCATATTCCCTGATACATCCATCCGAAATTCAATACATGCACCGAGCCAACCATGGCAGGGTACTTGGTCGATACCAAATCAATCAAAATCTGACCAAATCGTTTGTCCTATTTGGAACGTAAAATTTTAGGTCAGCACAAATTACCCCACAGGTATCACATGCTAAATATGAAACCAGAGTTCAGACTCACCATAGGAACTCGTCCAGCGTTGGCCAAATTGACGATAATAACCAGATCCTGAACGAGTGGAAGGTCTTCTCCACGTTCTTCACGAACCTTGGTAATATCTCGGGTTAATTTTCTACCCATTTCCATGATCAGAATCATAAACGGTCGAAGTTGATCGGCAAACTCATTGCTATCAAATTTTGGCAAATATTGCACATTAATGACAAGCACCGGTCGTTGAAGTTTGTCTTGTTTGTGAAAAAACACAAAGGGGTTTTCAAAAAGTTGAGAAGGAAGGGTTGTGTAGGCTAGAGTGTCGATGTTGTGTTTGATTCTCCATCGAATATTGCCCAGTACTAGAGAGAGCGTGGTCGGCAAGCTGTATGCATTTCTCAAAAGGAATCGAAATAGCGTAACTAAAGTATGCAAGTCGTTAGTTGGTTGGTACCTTCTAGTGCATCGTGCCTAAAAGTCATGTACCTCGGTCATTCATATAGGCAGCAACAGAAGCGGCTTGTTGTTCATTCAAAGAGAACTCGTCAACGAGTTGATTCATTTCGCGTAGCAGAGCATCCCTAAGACTATCGATAGTTGGGGCATGCTCTTTAAACAAGGCGTTGCGATCTATAATCTTTTGCCTTGCCGAGTCCATGTTGAAGGAATGACATGCATCGGTAAGAAAAGGTCTACTTCGGGTCTTTAATGAGAGTGAAATTTCAGCGCACGTGCTTTTCTTGACAGAGGCGAGGCAGGGCAAAGCTCAGACAAACATGTTAACGAGAGCAGCACCTTGCCAACCTACATGGTTAAGGCGGCAAACTATACGATACGGCGAATGATGTTTCTTTTCTTCTCAGGAGTTAACACTGGATAATCTCACTTTCTTCATTGCATTATCTCATCGTCGTACAGCCCGGAATCTCATCCAGGGCCAGGTGTGCGTGACTGCAATATCGTGCCTGTTTGCGGTTCGACCAAAGAGGTGCTGGATGATACTTAAAAACATAAAAAGGAAATTTTGTATACCTCTTGTTAGGGTATACACAGTATTGACATTTTATAAATCAAGGTTATTTTTTAATACATGATAACGAATATGGCCAAGCGTCGAAAGAAAAAAATTATCAATCTAGTTGAGATGAGTGTCAGAAGCAAGAGTAATGATCAACATTCACCCAAAAGTCTAAAGTGGCGGAAAGCAAAGCCTATCTCTGGAAAGGCGCTTCAGATAATGCATAAGAAGTTCATCAGATAGAGGGACAATATCAAGCAGCATGAAAGCATAACAGATTGGTTTGTTTGCAAATGCAAGCCATGGTAGGGGTTATTGAGGATCTTGTACGACTGTCTGACGTTGCTGATATGGACTGCCATAATAACATTTGAAAGGCGTGGTTTATCTCTTGCAACATTTCTTATCTTTCGTTTTCTCGTAACGTTTACATTGATCAACATATGATGTTAAAGTTCCGCGGGATCTCATCTTCTGTCTATGGTAGTGTACACCCATCTTCTTGACTTACGGATCAAAATCTTCGCCGGGATACACGGAATCTGTTGTCTTATCTTTGAACTCCTTGTTTGTCTGTTGGGACTAAAGAGCAGCCAGATAAGAAAAGAAGCTCACTTAACCCTATATAAGCCTCGTTGTCACGAATGACTTCACATTTGTTTGTCAAAAACTTTCAATTGAACAAGAAAAAATGGCTGTTCTCTCGCAGGGTGTAGGCTATGGAGTAGTCCTTGGCATTGGAGCTCTCTTTGCTGGTATGGCAGATTTTCCATTATCTTATCCACTCCTTTCCCCACATAAATGGCACAGCCCTGATTTAGACATATTGCTTTCCTCCAGTGTGTATGAGTCTTGTCACAAAGGCATTGCACCGATACTTGAATGAAAACCAGCAATCATCAGAAATGTACATGACGGCTCAAAGAACCGTAAAAATGGGTCTCACTGCTAGTGCTATTGTTAGCGCTTGGACTTGGGTGCGTAACTTTGATATTTTTTAAAGTTTGATCATTAGCTTCCGACTCTGCGCGATCCGATCAAAACTAATCCATCTCCCGCATGCAGGCTGCTACACTATTGCAAAGTACCTCTATGGCATACAAATACGGTATCTCTGGTTCTTTCTGGTATGCCGCTGGTGCTACTGTTCAAGTCTTGCTATTCGCAGTATTGGCTATTGAACTGAAGAAGCGTGCTCCTAATGCACACACCTTCTTGGAAATCGTCTATGCTCGTTACGGCAAAGCTACTCATATTATCTATTTGTGTTTTGCCTTAGCCACCAATATTGTAAGCAGCGCTGTTTTTTAGATTCATCATAGCTCTCATATTAATTCTTTTTTAAAATCAGGTTGTTTCTGCTATGCTTCTGCTGGGTGGAAGTGCGGTAGTCTCTTATTTGACGGATATGAACGTCATTGCTGCCTGCTTTTTGCTGCCTTTAGGTGTCATCGGTATGTAGTAGATGCCGGTGTATGATAACGGACAGTACCTTCTCCGATGATACTAACCAATTTTATTTTATCTCTTGGTAGTTTACACACTCTTTGGTGGCATCAAAGCCACTTTCCTCACTGATTATGCGTAAGTAATTGAATATTCTGTTAGTCTCTACAGACACCCTACAAGCCCTAATTATAATATGCTGTTACTGCAGGCATACCACCGTCATTTTTATTATCATCATTGCATTCACCATGACTGTGTACGCTACATCACCATTGATTGGAAGTCCCAGCAAAATGTACGATATGTTGGTTGAATCGGCACAAAAGGTATTACCTCTTTATGATAGTAATTACAAACATTTTGACCGCCAACCTAGGTCCACATTTCTAATCCATCGTTTAGAACCCTATTCCTGACAATGCCCAAGGTTCACTCTTAACCATGTCATCATTGGGAGCTTTAGTTTTTGGGTAGGTTTGGTTCTGAACTTTGACGTATGCACTGCGTACTCTGCAGCCGAAAAAAATACTTATCCCTCTTCGGTCGTACTGCAGCATTATCAACATTTGTGGCAACACCTCCACTGTTGGTGTCGATCAAGCATACTGGCAACGAGCTATCGCTTCCCATCCTCAATATGCTGTCAAGGCTTACTTAATGGGCGGTCTTGCTTGGTTCGCTATTCCCTTCGGTCTCGCTACTTGCATTGGTCTTGCTGGCCGCGCTCTCCAAATCGATATCAGTGCTTCTGATGTAAGCGCTGGATTGGTCTTGCCTGATGTCGCTGCTCGTTTGATGGGACCAGCCGGAGCATTTGCCAGTTTGATCTTAGTGTTCATGGCTGTCACCAGTGCCTCGTCTGCTGAATTGATTGCTGTCTCTTCTCTTTTGACCTACGACGTTTTCCGCACCTATATTCGTCCTGGTGTAAGTACTATATTGAAGAAAAATAACGTGGTGATGACACATTATTCTAACATCTTTTTTGCTATAGGCTTCTGGAAAGGCTGTCATTCGTTTCTCTCACTCCATTGTCATTGGCTTTGGATTTTTTATGAGTGTGTTGGCTGTCATTTTGAAGCAGACCGGCGTAGATCTTGGCTACCTGTACACGTTGGTGAGTGGGAGGGTGCATATCATCCGAATACAAATTATAGCCCCACATGCTAACATGTGTCTCACTTTATAGATGGGTGTCCTGTTGTGCCCTGCTGTAGCTCCCTTGATGTGCACTCTTCTTTGGTCTAAGCAAAGTAGGCTTGCTGCCATGGTTTCTCCCATCCTTGGCCTTGCTTGTGGTCTCGTTGCTTGGTTGGTCACTGCCAAAGGTATCTATGGCGAAATCACCTTGGCTTCCACGTCTGGTAACTACCCCATGTTGGCTGGTAACCTTGCTTCAATTATTGTTCCTATCCCATGCTTATTGATCTTGACCTGGATCAAGCCTGAAAATTTTGACTGGGAAAGCACCAAGAAAATTGAACAGATTGCCGACGACGAAAATGTTCACGATGAGTCGACTGCTATTGACATTGAACCCAAGCCTGTTGTTGCCACTGAGCCCAAACTAACTCCCGAAGAGGAATTAATCAGTCTCAACAAGGCATCTCGTTTTGCCAAACTATCCAGCGTAGTGTTAACACTAGCTTTGGTCATCTTGTGGCCACTCCCCATGTATGGCTCTCAATATGTGTTCTCTCGAGAGTTCTTCACCGGCTGGGTGGTGGTCAGCTGTATCTGGATCTTCTGCAGTACCCTTGCTGTGGCCATTTATCCCGTATTTGAATCTCGCGCATCCATTGCTGTGGTATTCCGTGGCATTTATCGAGATTTGACCGGTAAAGGAAAGACGTCTGCTGATTCTTCACCCACCGCCAGCAGCATCAAATCAGCCGGCGACCAAACTGAAGTCATTGTCGCTGAAAAGCAGTAAAAATCTCTATTCAATTGATTCGTAATGATGCTCCCTCTATAATTTCTGTAACCATGTGTATTTCACTATTCTCTGTACAAAACCTCTGTAACTTATCAGCCAGATGGGTGATAATCTTATAAAAATAAAAATATTCGTCATCGCCAACATGTGCCTGAAATTCTCGACTTTTCCCATAGCTTTTGAGACATGCTCGATATGGAATCGCCAAGCGAGAAGACTATCAACAAGATGATCTCTGTATTTTTAGATGGGCATGGGAGATAATTTGATGGTATGATGATAGTCTTCAAGGATATCAGGGATAGACGCAGCACTTTGAGGATATGAAATGACTCGAATAGCACGGATGGTTGAACAGGACCGTAGCAATGATGGTTTCATGGTAACCTCGGTGATAGATGAGAAGCACCTGCAGCTCGATGGTGTAACAAAACACCTCTGCAGATGAGGTAACGGTCCAAAAGCACTTGCCTAAGCACTAGTTGAACTTGCCTAAGCTGTCTTTCTGTATGGACAAGCTTGATGATATAACGCTTGATTCAAAAGTATGTGGCATGAATGGACATCCTCTTTACTGCTATCACTAAAAAATGGCGGGCAATGCTGCAGAGAGTGGTACAAGATTAAAAATAGATAGGCTGGGATGCCTTTTGTCCAGGTCAGTTGCAGTTTCCTTCGTTGGACTACGCCGAGAGCGGGTGCCTTTTCAGGCGTTCAACATTCAGAGTGCTGCAACGCTCGATATCACTTGTATGTGGCTATTATTCCTTTGAAACCATTGGATTGATATAAAGACATGATGTGCGCCCTTGCATATTTGCTGCTCCCTTCCTAAAATATGCTGCTAATTAGAAAAAAGATATGATGGTGAAATGAGGGGCATTTGTGACTTCGCCGAAAATTGCCATTTAAGGGTACCAAAACAACCGTATTCTCTACAGCGCTGGTTAGGTTTGAATATGATCTCTGGTTCTTACATACTGATGTCATGGCGCTATAGCCTGATGTAATTGCTTGATCAATGGTGTTTTTGCGACCATCGAATACCATCGACTGCTACAGATGGTGCTTACTAGATTTGGCCCTCCAGGTACAGGTGTAGCATTCGATAAGGTACCTTTGGGAAAAGGCTGAAGCACCTGGTGATACGCCACGTCTTCAATGTCCGCTCTCAACCGGTTTTCGTCCTTTTAGAGTATAACCCTAAGAGGAGCACTGAGTTTTTTCATTGCGTAGCACTTCTTTTCTTCTCACACCCACTTCTTTTCCCTCTCTGTATCATAATCCACACACCAACTAATATCGAAACACAATGGGAGCGAAAGCAAGCAAACAGTATCAGCAACAAGAACGACTTGATAGATCACAGCACCGACAAATCAAAGTTACTGCTAATAAACACTCAAGGAGAGCATCCCCTGCACATCGGGTACGAAAGACCTCCTTATCCTCCTCATGTTCGGCTCACACTTTATCTTCTTCATCATCATCATCCGTCGAGTTCAGGCACGAACAGATGCCTGCTACCATCTTGCCCCTGTCACATAATTTCTTGTCCACAGCCCACGGTTCAAGAGACTATGCTATTAGTGACGACGATAAAAACATTTCAACTGTAACCGCCGGTAGCTCAGCATTCAACAGTAGCAATATTACAGCGCTTTTTTCACAGATAGATTCAGCATCATCCATTGCTGGAGATTCCATAGCATCAAGAGCCACCACAGTCTCTAGCCGTTCCTCTAGTATGAGAGGAGACAAGTTCCTACCTCCCCCTTATTCACCAGGTCAATTTACGAAAGATAGCTATTTGCAAATCATTAATGGCCTTATACCCGTATCCTCTTCTGGATCAACCAATGCTAGAGAGGAACTTCAAGCCTCATCATCCACTCTACATCTCCAACCTGAACAGTCCATGCCTACTGCCGACTACGATGCTAGCAGTCTCTCCAGCGCTAGCCCCGTTGGCTCCATTCACAGTGCCTCCACCAGTGCATCAAGGCCCTCCATATTATCGTCCACCTCATCCAGCAGCCAGCCCCAGTTGTCGCATGAAGTGCTTCTTGCCGAACTACGACACCAACGAAAGTTAACTGCAAGGACCACCAACCCCGTTGGTTCCACCTTGGACACCAACGCAATCTCTGAAGCTAAAACCATTCAAACCATCCTTGAGGTCGCCTTCACACGAGCTCAAGCCCTTGATAATCCTACTGAATACATCGAAGCCTACCAGGCTACCCGATGCTATGCCGATGAGACAAACGATCCTGTGGCACGTATTTGGGTGGCACAGTGTCACCTCAATGGCTGGGGTGTACCACGAAATCCTACACTTGCCTTCCAGTCATTATCCAGCATGGCCAGACGTAACATCATCGATGCTTATTATCCAACCGGATGTTGCTACTATGATGGCGCTGGAGTGTCACAAGACAAGAAAAAAGCCTTTTATTGGTTTGAACTAGCCGCCAACAGTGGCGATGCTATGGCACAATACCGCATTGGATCCATGCTGGCCAAAGGCGAAGGCGTTAAAGAAGACGAAACACAAGCCTTCGAGTGGTTCAAGCAAGGCGCTGACAATGGAAACAAGTAAGTAAACACTACGCCATCCCCTTGTACTTCAATGTTTATATACTTATCATATTACTTAGGTACGCACAATATATCGTTGGCATTCACTACGAACAAGGAATGATTACCGAGCGTGATATGGAACAAGCTAGATCCTATTACCTACTCAGCGCACAACAAGAATTTCCTGACTCCCAAACCGCTCTCGGTATGGCACTCCTGCAGACAGGCGAACATGCTCAAGGCGTGAAGTGGTTAGAAATGGCTGCCCAAAAGGTAAAGTGCCTTTCTTGACCGAAAATGAATCTGACTGATACCTTGTATTAACAATTGCTCTTTTACTTGAATGAAGGATAATTCACGTGCTCTTCTCAAACTCGGTATCATGTATGAAGAAGGTGATCATGTTGAGAAGAATAACGATCTGGCTGTTATGCACTATAAGGCGGCTGCCAATAAGAACGACCCGGTAGCGCAATACCTACTTGGACTCAACTACCGTCTTGGTGACCTCGGATTGCCACAAAGCTATTCTGATGCCCTAACCTATCTCAAGAAAGCATCTGAAAATGGTTTTGCTTCAGCGCAGCGTGTGCTTGGCCTCATGTATGGCGAAGGCGTAGGCGTTACCCAAGACTACAAAGTGGCTATGGAATGGTTCAAGAAAGCCGCCGACCAGGGTGACGTGCGAGCTTATGGTCTGTTAGGCAACTACTACGAAAATGGCTATGGTGTAGAACGTGATCCCATACAAGCCTTGGATTACTACACCAAAGCCGCCAACCTTGGTTCCGATGCTGCTGAATTCTCCATTGCTCAATTATTACACAAAATGAGACGCTACAGTCAGGCCTACAAGTGGTATAGCAAGGCAGCCAAGCGCGGTCGCAAGAATGCAAGGCTGATGGTCGCCCGCTACAAGCTACATGGATGGGGCGGGCTCGAGAAAGATGCCTCCTCTGCATTTAAGGAACTCTCTCAGCTAGCCAACGTTGAATCATTCCAAGAAGCCTACTTCTGGGTTGCTGCTTGCTACGAAGAAGGCGGCGGCGTGCAAAAGGATTTGTCTGTTGCTTTTGAGTATTATATGAAGAGCGCTGAAGCAGGTGATGTTGATGGTGAATTCCAGGTACAATGTGATTAAAAATTTGATAAAATGGTACGGATGTGCAGTCACTAATGTCCTTTCCTCTCCCAAACAACGAAATTAGGTCGCATTGATGCTCTCCAATGGCCAAGGTGTCTCTCAAGATAGACAGCAAGCGTTTTACTGGTACTCCAAGGCTGCTGCTAAGGGACATCGCACTGCACAATACTCAATGGGTCTATACTATTCCAAAGGTCTTGAAGATGTACCTCAAGATTTGGAAAAAGCCCAAACCTACTTTGAACAGGCAACCAGCCAGGGATTGCCTGAAGCATTCAACTCATTGGCAGCACTGTTTGAAGTTCAGGAAAAGTATGAAGAGGCCCTCTACTGGTATAAGCGAGGAGCCTCCAATGGTGACCCCGTATCCCTACGACAACTCGCCATGATGTACGATGGTGGCGTCGGTGTATCCGTCTCCCATGAAATTGCCTTTAAGTTATTCGAAAAATCCAGTGCTCAGAACGATTCCCAATCAGAGTTGATGATGGGCAGTTACTACGAACACGGAAACTATGTCGATATTGACATTGAAAAGGCATTGGAATACTATGCCAAAGCAGAATCGCATGGTGCCCATATGTGAGTACGACGCGATGTTGATACGTTATTTAGCACTTGCAGGTCACTAACTTTTAATCACTAGTGCACCATTCGCCATTGCACAAATCCTTCACAACCAAGGACGCTACGAGGAAGCGTTTGTCAAGTACCAGAAGGCGGCTGAAAATAAAAAGCTAGCCAACTCCAAAGTCGGACGTACCGCCCAGCTTATGGTTTCGCGCTACATTCTCAGCTACGATGGTCCCGCTGGACCAGGCAGTCCTGCCGACCCAGAAACCAAGAAAAAAGCCGCAGACTCCCTCATATCTCTTGCTGAATCGAAATTCAAATCAGCCTATTTCTGGGCTGGTGATTGTTACTATAACGGAAATGGAATCGAAAAGGACTTGACATCCGCTTTCAAGTGGTTCCAACGAGCAGACTCTGAATGCAATGATTCAGATGCTAAGCTTCGCATCGGCAAGATGTACAAAGACGGTTTGGGTGTTGAGAAAGACGCTTCAATGGCTGTTCAAGTATTTGAAGAGCTTGTGGAAACCAAGCATCAGACCATTGCTCAACAGACTCTTGGACAAATCTACTGGGAGGGTTCCACAGCTGTAGAACGAAATGTCGATCTGGCTAAACACTGGTATAACTTGGCAGCCAGCAGCCCAAGTGCTGACGCTGAATATATGCTTGGTCTTATTTCCATGGAGCTTGGTGAGGAAGAAGAAGCCTTGTCTTGGTACGAAAAGGCAATCGATCGGGGCCACGTTGCTGCCATGCGGGAGTTTGCCTTACTCTATCAACATGGTGAAGGAAGCATTGAACAAGATCTGAGCAAGACTAGCTTCTGGTTACAACGTGCCGTTAAGGAAGGAGACGCAGAAGCTATGGTCTATCTTGGTTTAGCCTATGAACATGGCATGGGAACAGTTATTTTCCGTAATCGGGACAAGGCTATGCAACTATATCAAGATGCTGCAGCTACTGGTAATAGCAATGCCATGTTTTTGGCTGCGCAAATGTTCCATGCAAGTGAGAATTACGCTCAGGCCTTGGAGCTCTTTGAACAAGCTGCCAACCACGGCAAGATTACCGCAAGAGTTATGACGGCAAGATACAGCCTGAATGGTCTTGGCGGATCCAAGGAAGATCCCGAGTCTGGATTTAAGGTATGTTGGAGCTCAACAATGTGGTTGTGACAGAGATGGCTACTCGATGGTTATTAACATTTATATTCCCTTTACAGACTCTACTGGAATGCGCTGAAGCCGATTGCGTTGAAGCTTACAATCTCATTGGACAGTGCTATGAACGCGGCCTTGGCACTGAACAAAATCTTACGGAAGCACTGAGTTGGTATCAAAAGTCAGCGGTTGCTTGCCAAGATCTTGAAGCCATGTGTAAGGTCGCATACATGTATGGTGAAGGCTCAGCAGTCGAACAGTCTCACGAAGAGGCTCTCTATTGGTATCATCAAGCAGCCGAAACAGGAGCGTATCCTCTCGCGCAGTACTTCATTGGTCTTTACCATAAGGAAGGCCTTGGTGGTTTGGACGGTGACGCCGAAGTGGCCAAGATCTACTTTCGAAAGGCAGCCGATCAAGGTGATGCTCGTGCAATGTACGAGTTAGCCAATATTCTCTGGTCCAAGCGTGCGTACAATCCTGCCATGTCCTATTACGAAGAAGCTGCCTCTTGCGGTATCAGTGATGCACTGCGCACTTTAGGCTATTTTTATCATGAAGGTGTCAGTTCATCTGCTGGATCCGATATGTGCGTAATTCCAAAAGACTATGAATTTGCCTTCGGCTACTTCTTGAGAGCCTCAACTCTGAACGATCCTACCGCCACCATTCTTGTTGGTGCATATTATGAAAATGGATACTACGTTGAACAAAATCGTGATACCGCTCTTAAATATTACAAGAAAGCTGCTGAAATCGGCGGTGGATCTATTGCCGAGATGGCCATTGGCCAACTCTTACACAACATGGAGCAGCATGACGAAGCCGTCGAATGGTTAACCCAAGCCGTCGAACATGGCAGTGCTCCCGCTGAAAAGCTACTTGCTCTCTATCATTTGCATGGTTGGGGTGGAGTGGAACAAGATGTCGATTTTGGTTTCAATCAACTTCTAGCCATGGCTGAAAAAGGCCAGAGTGAAGCGTTTTTGGAAGTTGCAAAGTGCTATGAACTAGGTGTTGGCGTCGATCAAGATTTAGAACAAGCCTTTGGATGGTGGAGCGAAGCAAGCGCTATGGAAGATGACGTGGAAGCTGTAGTCAAGACAGCTGAATGCTACGAGTATGGATTAGGTACCGACGTCAATCTGCTCAAGGCAAGAGATTTGTACCAGGTGGCCGCTGATATGGGTAAGGCATAATTTTCATTATACATTGTCATGCATTGCCCACAATAATCTCATTCCTTTCTTCATTAGGCCACGAAGAAGCCATTGAAAAGCTCAAGATTTTGCAGTAAAATCGATGCATATAGCCGTATGGGAGACCTCGCTCTCCTTCAAAACAACCAAAATTATTTTTTTCCCCCGCACTCTCTCTCTGTACATTCAATCATCTCATCCTTATCCATCTCTTTCCTCTCGTAATTTGTTTTTTCTTTTCTCTGTACATGTTTCCCTTTCCATTTCCTTGGTCTGAATTTTTGTTTATAGCTGTTAAATTAGATATATAGTGTAATATTGTTTTCCTCAACCAAAAATTCTGTGCGTAATGTCATAAATTATATTATCAACATTGTCAATTTTATGTCTGCAGTATGTCTGAGCAATTTTCAATATTATACATTCTCGGTATCATACAAGTTTTATGTTCAATTGTTTGACAGGGTAGGAATGCTATGTTACAGGCTGGGAGCAATTCAACATGGTATCATGATCATTTGAAAGAGTGTGGTTAGCGCGCCCAGCATTGCATGAAGGAAAAGATGATGTGGGTGTACGGAGATGTTCTTTTACGCTCATCTGTGGAATAATTTTTTGCATAGAGTCTATTGTTTTGTCTTGGAGTCTCTTCTTCGCCTGCTGACCGGAGTCCTCATCCATGAGGGTAGCTTTGAACCTTCACGATCACATTGAGCCGGTTGCGAGGATCGCTTTGTCCGCTTGACTTTGTCGTCATCTATGATGATATCTGAGTGACTCCATTCACTATGGCTACGATCTGAAGGTCCTATTGGACTATTCAAAGTATCAGAATGTGCATCGATTCCCACCGAAGAAGCCGAGGAGGCGGATGTGGGAGTCGAGGCTGATTGAAGCATTTTCAGAGAATCTGACCGAACGACTCGGGGTAGATTGGTTTTGATCGCCGGAGGACGATGCTAAGGTGCACAACTATGTTAGTGCTCGAATAACCATCGATTTGGAAAGAAATGGCACTTACTCTATGAGGGGATGATATAGCGCTAAATTTATCAATGACCTTTTCGAAGAACCCATGAGGTATGTTACTACTGACTGGATCAATCTCCTTGTTGGTCAATGGCTGTTCCTCAAGTTGGGAAGAGGATCGGGTATTAATTTCTACAGACGATGAATATGAATCGTGATGTGAACCATTTTGTATATCGCTAGATCTAGGCCGCAACTTCTTCACGACAATTTCGTGCGACTGGCGTCGTGTCAAGGATTCTTTAGTATTTTTGTGGTCCCTGACATCGACTAATGTCAATGGTTTTGTCGGGCCCTTTCCAAAGCTCAAACGCCGAGTCCTAGACGACATCATACCCTTCTCGCGTGCTGACAGTGCTTTAGCGGTCAACACCTCCTGGGTGCTGACATCAAAGAGCTTCTGATCTACCACAGCCTTTCTAGATTCCTTATGAGCACTCTTGGGACTTTTAAATTTTCCTTTTCCCGGAGAGTCTATACTTAAATAGCCACCACCGCTTGGAGGAGATGCTACCATAACGAATCTTGCTTCCATTTCGCTTGACTCTTTTCGTTCCGCAGAATATGTTTCCGAGTAAGATCCACTTTCGCTGTGCACATCGTCCGGAATGTTCTTTGAAAATAAAACTTCTTGCGACAGTCTCGGTGTATTTGCTACTGAGCTGGGAGTGGAATAAGATTGTTTAGGAGCTACGCTTTGAGGCGACTTGATACATATTTGCTTCCAACTGGCGGTTGCGGAGGCGGCATCCTTGATATTTGCTAATGATCGAGATCGTAGTTTCGGCGAAGGTGACTTGATGCCCTCTTCTAAAGAAGAAACCAACATATCCTCTGGCCATTCATCCCTTTCTCGAGCTTGAGCGATGGCTTCAACGTGTTCCTCTGGATTCAACGAAGCAATTGCGCCTTGGATTGCTTTAATCCAAACTTGCTTCTCTTGCGGGCACGATGCACCAAATTCAAACACATGTTGTCCAGATACAAGCAACCAAGAGTTGCAAAGGTGGCCTACGGAAATATAATCAATTAGATAAATAATAAAAAGGATAAAGTTGAATGTATACAAAAATTACCATCGTTATCCTGAAGAGTTTGCAGTGAAAATTGTCTCAAAGGAAACCAATGTTTAGGCTCGTAAACAGTACTTTTCTTTGCTCTTACGATGACCATGTAGGTGGAAAAGAGAAAGCAACCATAGTACTTGATCTTTTGATTCATTTGATGAAGCGAAAGCATTTCCAAAGCACCAGAGTAGATAACATTTCCGAGTAGTTGTAACGACCGCTTGTTTAGCCTCTGCGAAGTCCCAAAGTCAGATTGTTGTCAATATGTTTGCACTAAGCCGGGTAGGACTTACCCAGTCGCCTTCGAGGCGTTCAATGAAGCGATTTGTCATGAGAGTAACATCTCGCTTTTGTTTTTCATTATTGATGGTATTGACCACAGAGTGCATAATTCTCAATGCTTCTTGCAACTCGGTCACGTCTTGTTGTGCTTTCGGTCTCATTTTCCAAATTTCCTTCAGCAGTAGTTGATACCGACATATCCGCTGAACAGGCTGCATTTTAAACATTAGGAAAGTGCTGTCTGACATGAACTGTCAAAGAGCTTAGCCACCTCCGGTACAATACCTTTATCAGGAAATCTTGAAACTGCAACTTTCGCTGAGGTGATGAATGCTCCGCTTCCGCCATAGCATCATGCTCAAACATTTGCCACTCCACCTTTGAAGAGAGCTCTCTACATACATTCAGCGCTGACTCGTGTTGTATACAGTACTCGGTGTAAATTGAAAATCCATTTCCCTACGATGGTTAGTTAGTAATAGAAAGATGGACCCACTGACAAGAGTTTAATTTAAACAAACCATTTCAATGAAGCATTCTGCAATAGGAAGGGCTAGGTCGGCTTTCACAGATTGTTCACACGCAGTTTCAAGGAGATCCAAAAAACTCAATTGAAACTTCAGGATATCTTCAGCATTTCGAGAGACTGTGTCTTTTTGTTCTTGAGTGATCCACGGAAGGGCAATAAGTCGCCGTAGAAACACCTATATTGTAACTAGTCAGTTCAACTATTGTATCCAAATGTGTGTATTCATCGAATAGTCTTACCTCCACCAGTATGACAAGATTTTCGACATAGTCCTGCTCTGTCTCTAACAATTCTTGAACTGGATGCACTACTGGAGAAATTTTTGCTGAGGCAGCGTAGGTCACAGTTTTCGGCTTTGAAATTTTGGGGGTTTCTTCCTGTTTATCTGCAGGTCATCGATCAATATCCAAGACTTCTGGTTTTCGTACCCATGGGAGCTGAAAAATCCACTTACTTTGAACTAATGCTTGATTCGAATCTATAACTTCGTCCACTACGACAGTTTGCACATCTTCGATGATCTTCGAAAAACTTTCGGTATTTGTAGATGTAGATTGCTCTTCGACTAAACTTGTATCAACGACATTTATTGCCACAGTTTTATGATTGTTTGACTCGTTAGTGCTCCTCATGCCTGTACATGCCGTTAAACGTGATTTAGAATGACTTTCGAGGCCAAATATATCGCAACTGCAAGTAGGACCACACGTCCGAACGGCGTATGAATATGGCGCTGAATGAGTGCGAGTCCGCTCCCTGGGTTTATGAGCGACTGTAGCAGACCGACATTCTTCAATCTGCTTGACAGTCATTGTTCGTACTTGCAACAAAAGTTCCGAAGTATAACAAGAGGTAATATACTGAATTGATCGAAAGCCAGGGTAGTCATTCACAACGGAACGGCTAGTGCTAGTTGAAATCGCAAACCCACATCGAATGCGGCGTCTATGATGCAATAGTCACTATTACATAACATTGTCTGTAGGCATATAGCGATTTTTGAACTAAACGTGATAAGAAGTTGGATTGTGGTAAAAATCATCGACAATTTTTTGTGGAGGATTCTCCTGGAACAATAAAAAAAAAAAAAAAAGGTGTTGTCTATTTTTAAGGGAGCAGTAAGAAAACCAAAAATTTGATGAAATGCCATGTCTTATCACTCGGGTAATGAGAATTTTTGCTGTATCTCGTTCTAATATATGGTGTCATACAGCTATTAGGTGAGTCACCCCCCTCGGTTCACAGCATCATTAAACATGAGCATACGACGTTCTTCGGAACACTATACAAGGTGCTATTGCAAAGCATGTCATCACTTCACAGCTATAAATCAAAAGGAATTGAGAAGGAATTTTGTTCACGGTCCGACTAAAGCCGTGTGCCAAGACTAGCATTTGCTCCAGATTCCATTCAGCACCGAACTAAAACTTTTAGCTCAGCACTCGAAATTAAATTGACTCGAGGAGTTTTGTTTGACAGGAAAGTGTTAGCTAGCTAGCCTGGAAGATGAATTCAGTTACCAGTAAATGTCTTTTACAGGGTCAACGTTTTGTGGATTTGTTTATTTGTAATATCGTCGAAATTGACTTGGGTGGGCGGCGCACCACGTTGCAGCACGTTCTAGCATGAAACGGCGTTAGCGTAGTCATCTCAGCTACTTCCATTAATACCTCAAAGTAGCGACAGCAAGTATGACGGTTGATTAAACGCAAAAACAGATGATGCAAAATGTAGCGATCGATGAGTCTGCCAAGCATATCCTCCAGCCTGCGGTGGTCCACTCTTTTTTTTTTTTTTTTAGCTTCTTTTATTGCTCTAATGAATTACTACTGATGATGGGTTATATAATTGGAAATAATAATCAATGAGGGAAAGGGTGTACAAAATTGTGTGATAGCTTTTTTTCTCTGAAATAGGAAGGAGAAACGAAAAGAAGGCCCTGTACAAACAAAACATAACAAAAACATTAATGAATGCAAACAACAACAAAAAATAATTATAGGAATGGTAAAAAGATATAACAGAAGGAAAAAAAAATTATCAATGTATAGATGCTAGGTAGTCAGAGATATGTTCATGCTGTATCAAGCTCAAATACAAAATGGGTCTGAACGCCTCTGGATTGCTTCTCCCAACGTAGCTTCTCCTCTTCGCGTCTTATATTTTTCAACGTACTTTCGAGTTTCTTTCGATGTTCTTCCGCCTGCATCAGTTCGCGCTGGTGCTCAGCTTTGACGTCGCTCATGAGTTTTCTAAATTCTCGTCGAAGGGTTTGAGTACTATTTGATTCGTTGCCCATCTTTAAGCTTCGGACTTTTTCATCGGCAAGCTCAGTCTGAATTCTATTCTTGTACTGTAGCAACTCGTGAATGCGTTCATCGTAAGCTTGGCGTTCACTTGCAAAGTCAGTGATATTGCGCGTGAGTCTCTCGTACTCTTTGAAGATGGCTTCAAAATCGGCCTCGATGCTAGAACTTTGCAAGAGCAAGGCGGATTCTCTCACTGTGAATTGGCTTTGGGCTGTCAATAGACCTTCTTGGGTATCACGCAGTTGTTTTTGAGTGATGGCTAGTTCCTGTTCTATCATATCGCGGCTACGATGAAGCTCTTGAATCTCAGACTTGAGGTGTCGCACTTCATCGCTGTCGCTTTGATTCTCGGTATGCTGCGAGACTTGGTCTCGAAGCTGAATAAGTTCTTGCTCCAACTGCACAATTTGGTCGTTGGTCGCTTTTAAGCGTTGAGTCTTGGATGAAATAAGCTCTTCGGCTTGATCCGCATTGTGCCGCATTTTCGTTTCTAGGTCCTCGATCTCCCTTTTCAGCATGTCCATTTGAGCATCATGATTTTTGTGCATTTGCTGCTCAGCAGCGAATAAAGCTTCCTCTGATCGAGTTTTCTGCTCCAACATGTCTTTCATCTTGCTCATCTCCAGCTTGAGTGCGCTAATGGAGTTTTCTTTTATGTTTAGCTCATTCTTCATGTTGTCTAGAGTCTGCTTGTTGATGCCGAACTGCTTTTCGAAAGATTCGGCCTCACATTGAAGTCGCTCCTTCTCCTGCTCAAGGAGGATAAGCTGAGCCTTGAGTGGCTCTATCTCGCCTAGATGTTTGGTTTGCAACGTTTCCATTTTATATTGATGCTTGACGCTAAGATCTTGTATGTCCTGCTGGTGCTTGTCTTGCATTTCTCTTACTACGGTTGCTTGTTGGCTTTCTGACGCAGACTTCGTTTCCACATTTCGCTCCCATTCCTCACGCTGCGACCTCAATTCAAACACTTCGGATTTAAATTGCTGCAGCTCTCTTTGTAAGGCTTTTTCGCGGGCTTCCATTGCTCGAGTATCTGTAGATATTGGTGGGCTGCTGGTCGGCAATGGGCGTAGCTGCAATTGCAACCTGGCTGCCTGAAGTTCTGCACTCATGTTCTCCCGCTCCTCTTCATGCATCTTGATCGCGGCCTCCATCGATTTCATAGTCTCTTCTATTCTTATATTTTTGCTCACCATGTCTCTGATCTTGACGGCTGCCATTTCGATGGGGCTGAGCTCAGAGGAGCTGCTGTGAGTCTTTTCCATGGGAAATAATTCAGTGAGGCCATAAAGATCCACTTCCATCTTCTCCAGCTGCTCCTTTGCATGCGAAAATTCTGACTCAAGTACAGAATTATGGTGTTTGTGGGCAGCGTTCGCATCTTCTCGGAGTTTCGCGTTGTCCTTTTGCAGTACCAACAGATCCTGTAGTAGCTGTTCGTTTTGGGTTTTGAGTTTCTGGAAGTCGGCACCTAACTTTGGACCCCGTTTTTCTTCCTCGTCTTCATACCTTGATAGCTTTTCCCTGGATTCTGCTAATGCTACGCGGGTTGCCTCTGCTTCACTTTCGGTCTTGCGTAGTTTACTTTGGGACTCTTTGAGCAATTTGTCAAGAGCATTCAGAGTCATGGTGTGGGCGGGTATGGTGGTAGAAGAATCATCGTCTGCATTGACTTCTGTCATACTGGTATGGAATGATTTGAAAGAAAAGTCGGTCCCTCCTTGCGTACCGTCGATCGACAGAGAATCTTCGCTGGCCGAGCTGCTTGCCAGAATATCCGACGGCTGAGTTTGTGCATCATGGCCATTTAGTTGATGTCGGCGTACCAAAAAGTCCAGCCCATTATGCAGTTGCTCTAACTCAGTACGTAACTCTCGAATCTCTCGCTCCTTCGTTTGAACGTTGTTGTTGGATTCAAATTCGATGTCGTGCAATTTTTCATAGCGCAGCTGCTCGAGTTCTGCACTCTGCTTGTTCACCTCCTGATTCCGCTTTCGAAGTTCGAGAGCAAGCTTTCGTATCTTTTCTTCTGCGTCGGCAGTATTCATTGAGGCTGGCGCAGGCTTACTATTCTTCTTTGGACGTCGAGATATCTGGTCTTCCAGTACCTTCACACCAACACTGAGTGTACCAGCCGTGTGTTGTAGCAAACGTTGCTGAGCTTCCGAACCTAATTTCATAAGCCTCCATAATTCCTTCGCCTCCTGATCGACTTTTTTGGTTGAAGCCATGAACTGCTCCTGGGACTGCTGAGCCATCTTCTTGTTGGTATGGTGCAGTCGAGCCAGCGACTGCGAAGCCTCCCTCATTTTTGACTCTAAAGATAATTTAGAAGTTTGATCTTCTATCCGATGTGTCAGTGCAATATGTCTCTGCAGCAAGAAAATTGGCGGTGTTACTACCAGTTGCTAATGAAGCACGTTTCACGACTTCATTTTATACATGCGACTCGCTCCTTTACCTCTTTTAGATTCTCCACTTCCTCCATGGTCAAAACTTCAAAATCTTTTGCGTCAATAACCGCTTGCGAGACGAGAAGCTGCATAATCATATCGTCAAGATCCTCTGTTCCGCCCAACGAAGATAATAGCTGGCTTTGCGGTCGTTCGGCTATTTCAAAGCTTTTCCATGGTAATGGAGATTCCATGGAAGCGGACGAAATAAACGATTTCCGCCTTTCGGTCTGTTCTGTAGGCGACGTCTCCATCTTGCTTGGTGTCGAAGAGCCAAAATCATTCCCAAGAGATTGGTCGGGCTGACTAGCGACAGTAGACTCTGTTTTGGGCTTAGTTTCGACGGGCGACTCGACAGGCGATGGTGGCTCTATTATTTTTTCGGATGGCTTCGGCTCAGCAGGCTTTGGTAGAGGGGTTTCAGGGACGTGTTGAACGGAGACTGGTGTCTCAGCGGGAGCTTCTGTTTGCTTCTTCTCTGGTAAAGTTTGTGGTATTTTGACAGGACTTTCCATTTTTGGTACGGCCGTTGGTTGCCATTTCGACTTGAGCTGACCTGGTGATTTTGCAATGGGGGCCTGATTTGCATTTATAACAGGTTGATGGCGATTCGCAAAGAACGGGTTGTTCATAAGCTTATTCGTTGCCGGCTATCAAAAACATCATTGTCAAAAATCATGGTACACAAGGTTTATGGAAATGAAATGGTTACAAGCGGAAAGTGGGTATAACAAGTAGATCTTACTTTGGCCATGGCGAATGCAAATGAGTTGCAAAATGGTGGTAAAAAGGAAAAAACTCAAAAGCAGGTGGTAATAATAGTAAAAAGAAGAAAGTAAGAGAGAAATAAGACAGAGAGAAAATAATAAGCAAGATCAAACAAAACACGGGGTAAAAACAAAAAGGTCAAGCCAATTCAACAATGTTATGCAGGACGACGTCTCGTAAAAACGACCGTGTCTTCTCGTCACTTGCTTCAATGCGAGTGCTTTGATGGCCGATGATGATCCTAGCGTTCATGTCCGAAGGCAATTGTAGGATGACAGATGTTTCACCTACATCGATATCCAGGGACGACGTAGATATCCCAAGCTTTATATCAGGTTAGTTAAAGGAGTCAATAGCCGAACCAGTAAAGTAACACAACTTACTTCATTGAGACGATCCACCAATTGCTTCATTCGTGGTTCACTAAAAAGAGTCCGCTTCTTGTGCAACTCTATCAACTCGTGGTGGCGTACACTCAATAAAGGCGATAGCTCCAGTCGATTGTCATGAAGAGACAGAATACCACTGAATGGAGCAAAGAATTTTCCTTCATCCAAGGGAAAAGGTCGGATAGCCATCGATTTTGCTAACTACGATATTTCAATCCACGTGTGAGAAAACTATTTTCAGTTGGGATAAATTACCCATCATGCTATTACCTTTTCGGTTACGGCTATGCGCTCCCATTGATGCTGCAGGTCAATAGTAATGACTTCTCCACTCTCATATGTTTTCCATTTCATGTTGCCATAGGTCGTCCACTTGTCGGGACCTTGAAACTTCGGGAAGAGAACATGGACAGTAGCTGCTGCGTGCGCACAATGTCGCTCCAATAGTTCATGGACTTGGCTTAGTGTCAAGCGATGATCAATTGGTATTCGTAGTAGTGTCATTTCGCTGTTGCTTGTGATACTTTGAGCTAGATCATTTAGAGGCGGTGTATCGGGTTCTAAGAAAGATCGCAGCGTTCAGTAAGACATGGTAATTTTTGATTTCGGAAACAGACTAAACCGTGGGTCACAACGTGAGTACTCACCGATGAAAATGCACACGTTCAGAGAGGACGATTTCCATCGATTAATGAACCATTTGACTGGCCCTTTGCTCAAATTGCGATAATCTCCTGTGAAGACGATACATGGCTCTTTTATCTTTTGTTTACCAATCATAGAACCGTCCATCGATTTGATCACTTGTAGTCCGCCTTTGGCCAATAGTTCACCATGAATTAAAGGCTCTTCAGGAACATACATCATATCCTGATGCTGATCGGTCATCCTAACGTGGTGACAGCATTAGTTATAATTCACGTATAAGGACCAGAAACCATTCAATTTACCATTCACCGCAAATATTTGAATATTGTAATGACTTGTCGGCCACCGGGCTTGCCATATACATTGTCAGTTGCGATTGATCCTCGCCACCAACCTCTATGCCCATGGTCGCTAAATATTGTCGAATTTCAGGGATCAAATCATAGACGATGCCTGAAGTGCAAAGAGGAAAAATCACATTGTGGCGGCTCCTTATGGCACGACCTAGTATGCCGAGAGGATGTAAATTTGAGGTTACCGCGATCCCATATATCATTGACTAGGTCCTTACCAACATATGAAAATAGCCTGTTTTTAGAAGCCGAGAGTGGCTCTATTTCATCCTGCTTCATTCCGTCGTAATTTCCATTGTTCACGAGATCACTGAATATGATGACCTTCGCACCAGTCAGCACCCCCAAGTCGCATGGTGCTGGGTGTATATCAGTGCTGAGGGATGTGGAGGAAAGAATGGCCACCTTCTCATATCCAGCTTCCAGGGACCAATTGGCACTACCTAATGAATGACCAGCGCTATATGGGATGATTCGCATTGTTGAAAACAACGTCTAACAAAAATTGATGTGCCATTAGCAACGTTCATAAGTGCAGTCATTCATGACGAAGTACCTACGATATTTTCACGAAATCGAACTGCTTGGATTTTATTAATGCATGACCTTGCATCCCTCAACGTGTAGATAGATCTCCATCCGTCATCCGAGGCTGATAGTCCCGTCTTGGCCATAGATGTGGAGGGTGTATCACGAGATGCAGAAGACGTTGTTTGCCCATGATATAATACTAATTCCTCCATTAGCTGACTGCCAACCCCAAAGCACTCAACATTAATAATTCGTTGAAGAAAACATACACCCTCAACAATCAATTGCCATACCTAGCAAATTCAATGGACGATTCTGTAGCCAATATCCTTCCCTTATAGCCAAGATATTCGGTCAGGAACGGCAAGCCGAGCACATGCTTGGTGCCTGTTAAAAGCACACAATCGATAGCATGTACATCGACAAGACTCAGGTCGGGTATACTGAAGACACAAGTGGCTTCATTGGGCATGTCAGATTGGCCGACAGGATCTTCCAGGAGCATTTTTTGTCTTTCAACATATGAGGATAATACCGCAGCAAAGTCGGGAATCTGGGTCTGTGCTTCCTGCTGCTGATCATGGTCGTGTTGGTTAGACGGTAACAGTGAGCTTATTACAAGGGGGCAATTGACTAAAATGGTGAGCTGCCGGAGCTTGATGAGAAAGCAATTTTGAGGGCTATTCTGGCGATCGAGACATTGCACTTTCATTAGATGTCAAACGAGCGTAACTACTGCAACTCGCGCTGAACCATCTCACCAGCTCATTGAACAGTCTCATTCTAATGATTTTTTTTTGGGCGTTTTTTTTTTTTTGGGCAGGACGGGACTCGAAACCCATCCACTTTCAAAATCATCCGTGAACACTCCAAAGCTATCGTCTCGTACTGCCAACCTCTCAGCCCCAAAATACACAGATAGACATCCAAACAGGGTTCGATTTACCTAAAGTGGTCATATGTTTGAAAAAATCTAGAAGCCCGTGAGTTTGAAGCCGCCAGGGACAATATTTTGATTATATTCTAGGAAATAACATCGTAAACCAGACCAGGATATAGATCCTGTCTTATTGTATCATACAGTTACTAAACTGCAATATCAGTCAAGCAGTTGAACGACAAATTCTCTTTTGGTGTGGACAATAGGCATGATCTACTTGCATCTGTATTTGATCGAAAATCACCCCAACAGACCAGTTTGTTGCCCAGGAACGGATGAGATGCAGAACACATGGCACCAATTTGATCAAATAAAGCGTAAATATACATTTTTTAACGGCTTGCCTTGCTGACTCGACTGGGGCAGCCGAGGCGTGAGAAAACTTTCAGACGGAGCTTGAGAATCCCGGCTGAATGAAGAAGGCGACTTAACATACGTTCGCAAATCGTAGCAAAATATCTGAATGGACAACATCTTTAATGCTTGATACTACGTTTAAATGCTTCGCTAGTGGGCAGTAGATTAAATGTGGGCTATCACTGTGACTCTAAACTGTCGCAATTGTCATCCAAACTCATCTCATCCCTGCACGTTGCATCTCCGCTCCAAAGGGTTATTTTCCTTCTCCACACGTTTTTCAAGACAAGGATGATGAAAGTTTTTTATTTTTATAAAATATATATTATACGCACCGCTGCATCGCCGACCTTTCTTCCTTTTCTTCTTGCTTGAGCTTCTTCAAATGCTTCATCTTGAAATAAGCGATACCCAGAAAACATCCATGCAGTGTTTCAATTGTAATACGCAAAACACTCCACTCTGGAGAAGAGATGAAGAAGGAAATCCAATATGTAATGCTTGTGGCCTGTATTTCAAACTACATCATATCCATCGACCACTCAGCATGAAGCGAGCTGTTATTCAACGGAGAAGGCGCCAGCGATCGAAAATCAACGTTTCAACCTCATCATCTGAATCTCATACTGATGAAGAGGACGAGGGGAACGCTCATCCAGCCCCTCATAGAAGACATTCGGCCATCGAAACTTCCCCTTTGGTTGGCCTTGGTAAGCGTGGGCCACAACAAGAAGCCATGGGAGAAACCAAAAGGCCAGTATACCTAAAGCCGCTAAAAGCATCGGTCAACAAGACATCATCCACCCCAACAAGTCCATCAGCTGAGCATACCCAGTGTGGAGAAGCTCAAGTTATCTCTAAACCCATACCAATGCGACCAAATACTGCTTCTAAAAATTCTTTGATTACTCACATCCCACGGAGTGAAGAACAGCAGCCAACCTCGCAATTTAACTCGCAAGGAATTCCATCTCCTGTTTATCAACCATCCAAGGTTGAAAATCCAACCCCATTACCGCCAATTGAGCTACCGCCGCTGAAAACGCTCCCACCGATAAATAGCCAGCAGTGCGATCGATTGAGCCGCCATGAAATTTTAGCTCACCGAAAGGAATTGGAACAAGAGGCAAAACACTTGGAGTCACTTTTACAAAAGACTCGATGCATGATCCGTGATTTGGACCATGCTCTGACGCTTCGAGACGAAGATCAAGCCGATATACCATCGCCAGCTCTATCTAGTCCGACGCAAATGGAATCCATGTCATGTCGTACACTGCCTTCACCGTTCAGAGATGCATCACCAAACCATCATCGACAACCAATCTCGTATGCACGAGCATAGCCCGCCCACAATTCTCCACCTCTATCACCGAATGCCGCTTTTTTTTTTTTTTCAAAAAAACAAGCCCTCCCCCTCTTGCATCCATGGCCTCCACTCAATGTCAAATAATATCTTCAATAACTCTTTTCAGACTCCTCTCATCCACAAAAGTGCGATCAACACATTTTGCATACGACTGTATAGAAAAGCAATCTCACATCTCACCTTTTTATAAACCTGACTCGCATCCTTTGACCAAATATATAATCATACAGTGACCCATTTACAAAAAACTGTTGTATTTGTATCTGCATCTGCAGATAATTTTGTTAGTCCAGTATTTCGCTCGATCTGAAAAGCATTATTCACAGTAAGATGGCAATGGCGATCAATATGATAAGATCGATTTCCTTTATCTAAGCTTTTGATAATCCCAGAATAGTCTGGAACATGTAGGTTATTTCACAGATGACTGGAAGCGTACAAATGGAGCCCGTTCCAATAATGTTGATACAAAACGAGACGTCATAAAGCTGTCATGCTATACATCAGGGTTTGTGTTCAAAACGAAGTCATCATCGTAAGCGGAGACTTATAAATAATTCGGCGAAAATGAAGTGCGGAATGGATCTGGGAGATAGAGTAAGGATGTTCCTTAAGCTACTTGAACATGTGTCATGCTTGATAACGGACTTGGGGTGGTGATTCTGTAGCATTGGTATTATGTTTAAAGATTCAGCACTGTTTTTGCAGAGTAGCCACAGCATGAATACTAGCGTTAGTGGTAAGCATGCTAGGCATATACAGATGTGTCCGTGCAGTGGAGCGTACCGGTATGTCATCAAAGCTGTATGTATATCGCTGCATAACCAACAATGCGCCATTGCAATAGTATGAAAACGCCTCGATTATATTGCTTTAAATAATGAATACACCTTTTGATCATGTCAACGTCGTATATGGGGACAAGAAAAGAATTCGCGGAAAGTCTGCTGCCAGCGGGGGTGTTGAAATTAGACTGACCTGTTCTCCAATTTCCTAGATGTTACTACAGTATCTGATCAGATTTCCACACCAAACAACTAAAGGTCTAACAGCAGTAGTCACATCCCTTGCTGATCTGTTGGAAATTTGCTAGCTGCTCAACATTTTGCGTACTACTTTGTAGAACTTAAGCTACTACCAAAGCCAATACTAAAATGAGATAAAAATTCAATCGGTGTCTGGTACCCTGACAATGATGTTCATGAACAGGCTGTGATGTGCTATACAGTAAGGCCAAATCTATCTCTGTTCTGAAAAATGTCACTGAAAATATGATTACATTGTTGGAATTCTGATTAAGACCGATTAACACTTTCGTGCTTTGAGCATTTTTCCTTACCATGGACAATATTTTGCTATGCTCGACGTCAGGGCCCCTACGATTTAGCGAAATGAGCTCCATAGCGTACATTACCTTTTCTAAATAGTGACTTCAAAAAGGTATGATAATTAAATCAGTCCGTTGAGAGCATTCAATAATGTAAAATACATTAGGTTGCAGATCACGACAGAAATTTGGTCTGGCCCTAAAGCATTAGGCCTTCACCCCATTGTGGCATTTAGACAATAGAACGAAAGGTATTAAATTTTGGCATATGAATCGCTACAGTCTAAAATAATCTGATATTGCTTCGGCGTTATACTAGCATTTGAAACGATCAAATTTTATACCAGTTAAAGAAATACTATTCAGTCCCATACTTAAATCTCATAAGCCATAAGCGCAGGGCTTGCAAATACACTGGCATGGTATGGACTAGGTGTTAAATGTAATGGTGATCTAAAGACAATTTTTTAATTGTTCCTGTTGGTCATATTTTCTTCTGGTGGATAAATTGCTTCCTGCGCAAGTTTATTCAAATTACGTAGGGTACTGCTATAATCATATGAATTAGGCATTTCAATGTTTAGTATCATCTCTTATATACGCTGTTGTCAGAGTATGCTTATTATGTCAATCAATTCTCGATGCCAATTTTCTCCCATAATAAGTCTCAGCGCACTAGAAAGCCTCGAACCAACTACTGCTTCGGGTTCATCCAGCCAGTCAATTACTTGACGCTCAGAGACTGATATTTCCCTCGCGTCTGACGTATTTACCAAGTTTTGATAATACTTGCGGTAATGAGAAGTCAGTTCTTGTAAAGCACGACGTCTAATAGCGCTTTGCCATTTTTCATTGATAGCGGGCCAAAGGGAGCTCGGTGGTCGAAATTGGTCGTCTGGATCTTGGTCAATTCTCTGATATAATCTTTTGTTCATTCTGCTTGTTATCCATGTTTCCAGAGCCGTGTCCTTTCCTCTTTCACTGTTGATATGATATTGCTTGCGAGGTTGATCCCAACCACGGTCATTCTGCCACCAGTCTCTACGATAGCCGTAATCGTCGTCATCAGTATCATAGTCGCTCTCTCCGTATGAATAGTAATGAAACTTTCGACTTGTTGCATAAGTGGTGCATCGAAAGAACCAGTCCATTTCCTTCATGGTAACAACAATGCTATCCGCATCTCCAGTAGCAGAATCGATATATTGTTGACACAATTTTGAATCGGAGCGTAGAGTTAATCCAGCAGCCGTCAGTTTGCCAATGAGTTCTTGTCTTCGGACATTCTTAGTTCTTGTCACTTCTTGTTGCTTTTTTGCTAATACTTCTTGCTTTCTTGCTTCTGAGAGGACTCCTACGACTGAACCAATTCCGCTGTTAACATATCCGTGATATCCAATCAGACAAAGTGGTGGTACATTTTGAATCCCAGAAGTAGCTATTTCCGCATCCAATTCCGCTTTTCGATTCTGGATCAGTCGTAGCCTTTCGGCTTCAGCTTGAAGTATGATAACGATTGATTCCAAGTCCCCTCCTTTCGATGACTCAATATATTGCCTGCACGCATAGTGGTTAACCATGTTCGTCAAATTTGCTTCAGCGAGTCGCTCTTCCAAACGAGTTTTTCTGGTTTCCTTGTTTCGGCGTCGAGATTCAATCATTGCATTGCCTTTTTTAATAGTCGCCTCTCGAGCTGCTTCAATACCAATATCACCTCCATGGACTATTCTAGCCATTTGGATGATTTCTTTCTTATCGTATAAGCACATTGGAGCGGCGCTGCGATAGTGTGGATTTCGGGCGTAATTTACAGAGATACCTTCGAGTTCATCATCTGTTAGCCTGTACTCAGATTTGGCTCGCATTTTGGTAATCCTAACACTTCTTTCTGTCTGCGTAGGTCCTTCAGCTTGTTCTTCCTTATACGGTTCGGGGTGTTGACCATAATAGTCACAGCGGCATCGGCAGCAAAGGGAGATCATAAGGTCATCATCAGTGTCCATGATTTTTATAGGAGAATTAGAGCCAAAAGTTTTAGATTTTCGGTAACATCGCTCACAGATAGACCCAGCTTCGGTAAGAACCACTTCACGATACGATTTCCATTTCCGTCCCGGTTTCTTCAAGCCTGCCGTGCGCCAAATTGTCTCCCAAATAGGTGCATCACAAACAACTTGATAAAGTCGACGACATAAGTAAGCAAGATGAAGAAATGTGGTTGGTGTCAGATAAGTCATTATTTCGAATATAATCTCGGCTGGAAGTCGATCGAGCTGACACAATGAGGGTATTACTTCTTGCATTGTTTCAGGTCCGGTGCTTAGTCGCTTTGTATTAGAGTAAGTGGTATGAGCGTTTCGGCGTTTATTGATCTTTTTGATCTTCCTTTCAACAGTTACTGAATGATTGTAATCAATCTTATTTCTATTCTTTCTTGTTCTCTTCACTACTCGGTTTTCTACGTGTATTTTGAGTTGTCAGGGTTTGTTGTCAGATAGCGCTGTTTGTAGCTAAAGTAGTATCTTACCATGGGAGTCTATATCATTCTGTCCTTCTTCGGCTTCCAGAAGCCTCTTCATCCTTCTTGTAAGTGGCATTTGCTGTTGGCAAGAGAAGGCAGGATTTTGCTTGGTGGGTAAAGGAGAACGAACAAAGAAAGCATGCTTTGTTCTGTTCATCACCATTATTTTCTCGATTTGAAACTCCGACCTTGATTTCACTACAATAATGAAAGCTGACATCACTTGGAGAAAGAAACGCTTCGAGAATCCCCCCAAAAATCAGTCTTGCCTAAGAAACAAAGTGCTTCTCGTTTTCTAAACAGGACATACACGCCAAATACCAAGCAGCGATCCCATTGACTCTGAGTTCATAGGAAAGCACAACACCTCCAATTTATTCGTAAAACATACAACGCCTGTGTTAATTCAACCCAGAGTTACCGATCATACCCAATCGTGACAGATCAAAACACTAGTTGAACAACCTACTCAAATACTAGTGAACCCACCCTTGGCAACGATTTATTTAATTACACACTAGTGTCATCCAAGAAATTTACACTAAAGTCTAGTGTCTATACAACTGAAGCCTCTCCGATCTTCTTGTTCGAACAGTTTTCACCAGCATGGCCGAAAGCTCCTCGTCTGACGGCACTCCAAATCTCAACGAGGAGCCACAGGTGATCAGATACTCCAAGGAATTTCTTCTTTCTTTGCACGACAGCCCGTTGGCGGTCAAGCCTGATGATTTCCCTGGATTGAGTCTCTGGTTTGGGTAAGTTCTCCTTTTCTTTCCATCAGTTCTGGAACAGAACATGTTTCAGATTTATTGCTCCACATTCGTTTTCAATTGGGGGGATGCACTCAAATATGTTAACTAATCAATCTATCATATCAGCGACGACTGGCAGTCTTTAAATACCAAAGGTGCTTTGAATGGAAGCACGTCTCCGAAAACACTAGGTAAATGAAATTTCATGTACTGGATAGTTTGACTTTTTATACTCAATTTCCCATACTAACCTTCCATCATTGTATCTGTCTAGATAAAAACATTGTTCTTGGACCACCAAAAACAAATTTTAACTCTTCTGTATTTGGGGGACTTAAGCATTCGGAAGATGCAACTCAAGCTGGTAAAACAGGAAGCAGCTTCAACAACACTAGGCCACGCCAGGTACAGCTTGCGACCTCACCATTCCATATGCTAATGGTGTTGAAACTGCTTTTAATCATCTTTATATCCATTCTTAGGGTCACGAAAGTCGAACACCGAGAGACAACAGTAATGCCGACTCGAGATCGCAACGCGTATCGCATAACATGAATGATCGAACGTTTGGACGGGATAGAACACCAGGCACAGAGAGAGGGTTTAGAGGTTCGGTGGATAAAGGAACCAGTGAATTTCAATCTCGTAACCCCAGAATGCGACAAAATGAACGCCATTCTGATCGCTCCGTCGAGCCGTCTCGGAACAAACGGGAAAGTAAGGGCAAAATACACTATCCAGAATTTTTCGTATTTATTTGCATGAAGCGCTTACAAACATAATGTCGGTGCAGATAATCGCGATCATAATACTATGAGAAATGCTAAAGGCTTTGACCAACACGAGCGAACTCCAGAGTGGATGGATTATGATCCCGAAGCTGAAACTACAGCAAAGAACAAGCAAACTGATAGCAAAGAAAGTGAAGCCGAATTCATCAATGATCTTGAAGCTTGGAAGGCAAAGATGAAGAAACAGAACCAGGAAAAGAGCAACGATACTGTACAAGAACAAGCTACATACGTCGAGTCTGTTCCATCTGAAAAGGCAGCTGACACACCTACTAAACCGATTGAAACATCACCAGAACAAACAAAGGGTGAGTGCCGTTCTTACCTTTTACGTGAGCTCCAATGCCTTAAGTAACATTGTAGGACACGTTAAAGATAACGTAGACGATTTGTTTGCCAAGCTCCCTAGCAACTTGGCTGACACCACAATGGCATTCGATAACTTTGTCATTAGTGGATCTGGTTCAAGAATGTCAGCTTCAGCTTCCGCTAACACAAGTAATAAGGGTGGCTCGCGTTTTGCAAAGTTTTTCTCTTCCAAGCAACATGAAACAGCCCCATCCGACGCTCCAAAGGAAGAATCTATTTCTCCTATGAACGATGGAACTCCAAAGTCAATCAGTCTTGATACCCTGTTCCAAAGTCATAACGCTGTTCCGAAATCACAAGGTCCTCCTATGCCAACTGGAAAGCGCATGCTGTCGGAAAACGATATTTTGCAATCCCTGGGTGCACATAAGCCAAGCCCTCGTCAACCTGATACTGTGAATGATGCAGCTGGCTTTAACAAAGTGCTGGAAGCCCTTTCAAAATCAAAGGTAAGATATCCCGGCGGCAGAGGAACAGTTTAGCAAAGCATAAACTTAACACCTTTCATGTCCAGCCTGTAGCCCTTCCTCCACAAAATAGTCCATCTCAGCATGACCCCAGATCATCCCGGAATGACCAACTTCGTGGTATGGAACCTTCAGGCCCTACTATGAACCATAGGGGAGGGCAAATGCCTATGCAACAGGTACCTTTATCGCATAATCATGTGTTGGTGAACAATGAGATGGGTATGGACGCTGATGTGGGTCGTATGCAATCGATGCAGCAAATCGATCCAAGCATTCTACAGCAAAGGCGCTCTGCAGACCAGCAACAACAACAACATTCACCAGTTCTAATGCGTGGCGCGTCTTATAATGAGTATCCCTCACATAACTCACCTGGACGAGCGCGTGGCAATAGTCCTAGTGCATACTCTGAGCGACCTAAAATGGTTGCTAGTAATCTGCCCACGTCAGTCTTACGACAACTAAGTGCAAAGTCTTCGGATAGCCCTGGAAAGTCGGGTTCGCCAGTTGCCAACAAACAGCCAACGAACTTTTCGCCCGCACACCCAAGATCACTGCAAGCGAGCCAATACCCTCAACAACCTTCTGATCCTGCACTTTACGGTGGCGGCTACAACCCTATGCCAATGTACCAACGTGGGCCTCCTCCTGTCACCGGTGGATACCCTGGTTCGCCTATGGAAATGGCCAGCGGACAAAATATGAATTTAGAGCAGTTGATGCAAATGCGAAATAATCTTCATGGCGGTAATATTCAGTCACCACCAGCACAGAGAGGAGCGGTCCCACCCATGCCTATGATGGGTAACATGCCTCCCTTCCCACCTTACATGATGGGTAACCCTCCACCTGGTTCCATGCAAGGACCACCACCACCTGGTTTTCCGTCAGAAATGAGACCACCACCTAAAGAGCACTTTATAGGCATGTTGCCTGGAGCAAACATGTCGAACCGTCAGTATCTTTAAAATTTGTAATTATGTGGATTTTGGTGAATTTCATTAACGCCGGCTATTCTACTAGCTGGAAGCATCCCGCCACAGTTTTACCATCAAGGACCGGCAGGCAATGGTATGGGCATGAACTCTCGAATGATGCACCCGCCGTTTGAAGAGTATGAGAGGAGCCATGGTGAAAAATCTTGAATTTGTTGATAGTGTTGCATGTTTAAGAAGTAGAGATAAAGTTTCCTCAATACAAAATCCTGAAACGTGTAAAAAAAAAAAGGTCACATATCATTCCTCTACTCCATGTCATGAGCGCCCGTTTGGTTCGTCGCATGTGTTTACTTCTCAATGTCATGCGTGCTTTTACTGACATAGATGCTGAATAGGAAAACGAATCCAGCTGGCTGTTGAATGACATATTACCAGATGTTCTTTCAGACGTGTCACTTGAGTTGAAAGTAAGCTTGAGCCTAAAGAATGGTCTAGTAGTGGAACAAGAATTGGTAGAACCTAACATTTTGTCATAGCAATGTTTAAGCAGGCTCTCTGGGACTTGTGAACGTAAGTTTATACCGTATTTCACCGAGAACGTGGGGAGCTATGGTCTAATATCACTCCCGTGGATCAGGCAAATGTGATTCGCTCGTGCTCTCATCTTTAAGGTCAGTTGAATAGCAGGACGGATGTGGGATCAACCATAAAGCCTGACGCAACCTCGATAATGAACACATCTTCATTGAAATACAGTAATGAAACGCTCAAAGGTGTAATATCTCTTTCGGGAACAAAAATTATCAAAGGGGTAGGTCCTTCGGCTACGTCAAGATTGCATTGAAATCCGCTTTAATCACTTTGGTGTCGGTCATAGGATTTGCAGATCAGGCTGCCAAATTACCATAGAGACAGTCAAATCAAGGCTTGCATTTCAGAAAACAATCCATATCATTTAGAGCAAGCTCGAAATTGTCAAAATTACACGCAGTTAGCCATTGATCTCATAGATGGTCACCCCGGAACTACCTCCTTATGCAGCGTCTTCAATGTATGTTATGGCATTTTAGAACCCGATTCCTCTACATTGCTGAAACGAACTAACACCTCCATTGATTAGTTTTTGGAAGATATTCTTACATATGTAAAGCAGGCACAGATGGCCTTTAACTCTCCATCCGAAGCAAAGTCGTTTCCGTATCGCGTGTGCCAACCTAAACATTTTACGCCTCCATTACCGGAAGACTTGGTCGTCGAGATATCCATCGACCATATCCATGTCCTCTGCAACGTATATGCATTGGAGTTACATCAGCACCTTAAATCCGATAAATATATGTGAGTTCTTGTGTATGGCGATGTGGCCATTGAGTTAATTTGTTTTAACCATCAATGCGTTTAGACCTTACAAAGACAAATTTGCCACAGTGCTAGACGAGTGCCGAGTTCGAACACAGTCCCCACTGCTCACGAATATTGCCGCATCGTTAACAAAAGCGGCGGATATCTGTAGCGAATTTCAGCTAAAGTTAATCCAAATCAGCGCTATACAGGAATGAAGCATTCTTTGTATGCATAAAGTACACACAATCCAATTTTCTACAACGTTGAGTAAAGGAAGTAGGCTTAAATAAATTCTATGTAGTATTTTTATTTGGGAATCTTAAAAACATCATTTCCCTTCAATAATCCTCCCAACCCTACGGAATCAGTGTTAAAAAGCAACTCATCATTCATCATTTCATCAATGTATAGAGGACTCACGACATTGTCCAGGCGCTCGACTTTGCCCATAACTTCAGACTCCATCTTCTTCATATAGGCATCCATCTGATCCAAAACGCCAGGAACGAAGGCACCGATGATACGGATGGCCAAGAGTGCTGCGTTAGTGCTGTTGTTGATGGCAACGGTAGCAACTGGGATGCCACGCTACGTAAAAAATGGTATAAAGTTAGTAAGGTGTTGATGTCACCCATGGTTCCCCTGGACACCGTTCTCAATTACTCTCAAGTAACCCCATTCCACTATACTTACAGGCATCTGCACAATGCTGTAAAGTGAATCAACGCCGTCAAGCGAAGATCCCTTGACAGGAACACCAATAACAGGAAGAGGAGTCATGGCGGCGACCATGCCAGGCAAGTGAGCAGCACCACCAGCACCGGCAATGATGGCCTTAATACCACGCGTGGCAGCAGAATGAGCGTAGTCGGTCATTCTTTGTGGTGTTCGATGTGCGGAGACAATAGACAACTCAAAAGGAATACCAAAGTCCTTGAGAATCTTAGCGCCAACTTTCATGACTGGCAGATCAGAATCAGATCCCATAATGATTCCAACCAATGGGTTGAGAGTGAGAGGGCGCTCAACACCGGGTTCAATGGCGTTGAGAATAGGTTTAAGACGTGATTGGACCTGCATCATGCTTTCGCCAACAACTGTAATGTGACCCATTTTGCGACCGGCGCGGCACTCCTTCTTGCCATACAAATGAATAGTAGCACCGTCAACGGAAAGAGCCTCTTGACAGGGCTTATAGCACTCTTCCATATCGGAATTTTCACCCAAGATGTTGACCATAATGGAAGCAGGCACCTTCATGTGTGTAGATCCCAATGGCATATCGAGCACGGCACGCAAATGATTTTCGTACTGCGAAGTTTCGCAAGCTTCGATGGTATAGTGACCGGAGTTATGAGGGCGGGGTGCAATTTCGTTCAAGAGAAGTTCACCATCTTCCATCATGAACATTTCAACTCCAAAGACGCCAGCGCCGCTGAAGGTCTTGATCGCATTTTCGGCGACCTTTTGAGCACGCTCAGCAACAACACCGTCAACTTGTGCGGGGGCGATGACAAGATGACAGATACTGTTCTTGTGGACTGTTTCAACAACAGGATAAGCACGAACTTCACCGTTGGCGCGGCGAACAACCATGACCGCAAGTTCTTTAACGAATGGGGCCCACTTCTCAGCATACAATGGGGTAGCAGAAAGAGCCTTCATGGCAGCATCAATATCAGCTTCGGACTTGGCAACGTAGTTACCTTTGCCGTCGTAGGCCATGGTCTTGCTCTTAATCATGAGGGGGTATCCAAACTTTTGACCAGCCGCAACAAGGGCAGCACGATCAGGGATTTCCACATATTCAGCAAGAGGAATTCCATGTGAAGCCAAATGCTGCTTTTGCGCATATTTATCTTGAATGGTAAGAATGGTTGATGGTGAAGGGTGAATAATGGAACCCTTCTTTTCGAGCGAAGCAAGGATTTCGGCGTTAACGTGTTCGATCTCAATAGTTATAACATCAACTTGGGAAGCAAGTTCCTCAATTTTGGTAGGATCCTTAAACTCTCCTTCAATATGCTTTTGGGTTGCTTCGATTTGTTTTGCAGGGCTGTCAACAGGCTTGTCCAAAATAACCACTTGCAAGTTCAAGCGGGAAGCCGCCTCAATCATCATGCGCCCAAGTTGGCCACCTGAATTTTAATGCGTTATTGGATATTCCTATCAAGTCGACGTATAAATACGAAACATACCACCGAGAATGCCTACTCTCTGGCTGTTCATTGTTGTTGAGTGAATGCGAAGTTGAATAGTGGGGAGGATACTGTCCGAAAAAAATGAAAAGAAACAAAAAGGCAGTCACAACTGATGAGGTTGATGCAAAATCTGTCATTTGCCTGAGCAACGTCAAGTTATAATCAACGAGGTAAGTAGCCTCTACCATAGCCCATTGACAAGTCCGTGAAGACACTGAAACTAAAAGCAATACATTACATATAATAAATCCCCATTAATGAGATATATTGCCATAAGTCCGATCATGTGTATATTGCGTTGCCCTTAAATTGGGGACATTCATTGCAAAGACTGTGAACAGTTCGCCGTGGGCTTTGTATATTATACAGTAGGCCAAATCAGGAGGAGGCTCATCATTCTAGTATTAATTCACATTAAAGTATAATAGCCATCCACTAAACTACCCACTATTAGGCATCAAAACAATAGTGCTATGCTTGCTGAATCTTTCCAAATAGTCGTCTATCCAGCGTATTAACTTATCTGTAGAATGGCTTAATTTGCCTTTCCACTATCGATAATTGATAGAGTATCCGGGTTCATTTTGTAAAGGATATCACGCAATTCATTCCAGACACTGATCTGTGCTTGATAACCTTCCTTGCTTCTAACATACTCCGATGTCCTATAAAAATCAAGATGTGGTAAATTTCTTGTGCCTTGTCGTGCATCGAATGTAAAAAGCTATGAGAGATTATGTACTTACGGGAATACTACGCAGTTGGCAAGATATTTTCCATGAGTATGAAAGTTATCATTTTCACCAGCATTTACAATGGTTCTTGAGCCAACTTCAGTTGATCTAGCAAAAATTGCTTTGAAGACTGTCATAAAGACCTTTTGGCGGGTTTGGGTGATATTTCTTGTGAAGTTGGAATGACATAGCCCTGGGTCAATGACATTGACGATAACTTTGGTTTGACCATTCTCTCGTTTTTTGATATAATTTGCAAGCTCTTGCACAAAAAATACCTCTAGCAATTTGGAAATTACGTAGTAACTTTCTTCGCCCTTTGCATTCTCCTCCTTATTCAGCCATTCAATCATATTGCCATCGGATATCATATCTTTTGTCACTTTTGCCCATCCATGAACGCCGGAAGCTGTTACATTTAGTCGTGGCGTCACACCATATTGATCGTCAGTAGCGTACAATTTGGGTAAAAGAAGGATGGCCAGGTAGGCGGTTGAAATCACATTGACCTGGAGAGTTTCTTCCCATCCGTCATTGGAGGCTTTGAATAAATTGGTGGCTACACCAGCATTCAAAGCTGCAACATCTAGACGAGGGAGTTCCTTGTTGACCTTGTCTGCAAATTCTAGAACTGATGCCGAACTAGACATGTCGAGTTTCCAGACTTCTACCACACCAGTGCGCTTTGTGGTTTCTTCGATGGATTTTTTAGCATCATTACCACTCTCTAGATTTCTGACCGCGAGGATGACCTTTTTAGCGTCGAGGTTGACATAATGTCGTGCAGCTTCAAGTCCAATACCACTATTTGATCCAGTTACGATAATGACTTGACCTGTGAAAGGGCCTTTTGGTTCTGGCAGAGTTAAAAATTGAGTATATAGGCCGTAAAGTTTATCCATAGTATATTTGGTTTTGGCCAAAAAGTTGACAAAGCGAACGATGGGTAGTATATGTGAATTTATGTAGCTGATTTTATAAAAAAATAAAAATAAAAATCCCGCCGAGTGTGCATGTCAAGACCAACGGACAATGCGCCGAAAATACCCCTACCCATAGGACCTGTTTCTGAGCAATTTCGCGGTCGTCCTCGAGGAGCATTTTGCTTTTGAACTTTTTGCATTCAACTTGCAGTGGCAGAGTGAACACAGTAAAGTTCCATGCAAAGGAAATTTGAACAGACTTTACGACTTTATATAACAGCATTAGCGCACATGATGTTTCAATTCAATGGATACTTCCAATAATTCGGATATTTGGTAATGAGTATGTTGACTCATAATCTGTGCTTCTGTTTTCACCTATCCGATCGCTTTTCCTTTGAAGCTGCGTAACAACGAGGACTAGAAATGTTTGTTTGATTACCCATGCCAAGGATATGAAGATGCTTTAGCTAAAATTTTCTGAGAATAGTTTATATAAAAGGTAAATCATTGGGATTTAACAGCAAAAGTCGTATCGCGAAAGGAATGGAAAGAGTATCATAAATAACATCGACTAAAGATTAACTACTTCTGCTGTTTGTTTGAAATGAAAGTGTAGAAATGAAACAGTCCAATCTATCTCCAGCAGCATTTACTGTGCTTTTCCGCTATCAATGATGGTGGCAGTCGCAGGGTTCATTTTGTACAGGATATCACGCAATTCGTTCCATACCATGATCTGTGCTTCATATCCATCTTTACTTCTTACGAATTCAGATGTTCTGTAATGGAAAGAAGTGGTCAATTTTCCATCGATTCTCGTGTTATGATTAGAATAAGTCATTAAAAATTGTTTACTTACGGGAATACTACGCAGCTAGACAGATATTTGCCATGAGTTTGGAAGTTGTCGTTCTCACTAGCATTGACGATAGTCCGTGAGCCAACTTCCTCTGATCTAGCCAATAAAAATTTGAAAATCGTTATGAACATTTTCTGTCCTGGAGCCGTAATATTTCTGACGAGTTTTGAGTGGCAAAGACCTGGATCAATGGCATTGACAATAACTTTGGTTTGTCCATTATCTCGTCTCTTGATATGGTTTGCTAACTCTTGTACAAAAAAGACTTCCAATAATTTGGAAACTTGATAATGCGTTTGTTGGCCCTTGACGTTTTCTTCCGTATTCAACCATTCGATTGGCTTTCCTTTCGCAAGCATTTCTTTTGTCAATTTGGCTTGCACATGAACTCCGGAGGATGTGATATTGAGTCGTGGCGTCACACCATATTGATCGGCAGTGGCGTACAATTTGGGTAAAAGGAGGATGGCCAGGTAGGCGGTTGAGATCACATTGATCTGTAGTGTTTCTTCCCATCCTTCGTTAGAGGCTTTGTAAAGAAAGGTGGCTACACCAGCATTCAAAGCTGCAACATCGAGGCGAGGTAATTCTTTGTTGACTCTGTTGGCGAATTCTAGGACAGACGCCGAGCTGGACATGTCGAGCTTCCAGACCTCAACCACGCCGGTGCGCTTTGTGCTCTCTTCGATAGACTTCTTGACTTCATTACCACCTTCAATATTTCTGACTGCGAGGATGACCTTTTTGGCATCTAGGTTAGCGTAATGACGAGCAGCTTCCACTCCAATACCACTATTTGACCCGGTTACGATGATGATTTGGTCTGTAAAAGGTCCTTTTGGTACAGGTAGACGAAAGAATTGAGCATATACACCGTAAAGGTCAGCCATAGTGTGTACTTTGTGAGATGAAAAGACGAAGTGGTTGAAGAGAAAAATGTCAGCGTGGCTTATTGGCTTTAAATAGCGGCCGCCTACGCGTGGTTTATTGGCTTTAAAAAGCGGCCGCCTACGCGTGGCCCTTCGGTTCATATATATTCCGAAAGACACGTATTCAGTTTACAGTTTGAGCAACCAGATACCGGTTGTAAATGGGCCGTGCGGAGGTGCTTACTTCAAACACGCATTTTCACGAGTTCACCAATCAGCCATAGATTAAATGTGGAAGTGATGGCTCGAACGTTGTTCGTAGGACTAATTTTTCCCATAGCACGCTGAGCTATTTTGTGACAAGTCTGTGAAGGTTTGGTTTTACAGCTACAAAACGTGCTATCATAGAATAATTGTAAGAAGTTAGTGGAAGTGGAATTCGTCCAAAGCATCACATTTATGAAGGAAAAAAGGGTACACCTAAATCACATTTGATTCTGAAGGGTACTACTCGATTGCTGAACCGAGGCTAAAGCATGGCATTGACGATATCTGTCTCGTCTTTCTGTATGCTTTGACAGTTCTAGAACAAAGAATAATTCCAATAGTTTGGATACCCGGTAATGCGTTGATCATCCTTTGACATTTCCTTCCGTATTTAACCATTTAATCACTTTACCATTGGCAAGCATTTTCATTGTCACTTTTGCCTCTTCATGAACTTTAGAGGCTGTTGTGCTAAGTTGGGATGCGACGACAAAATTGATAGACCGTGCGGTACATTTTAGGTAGAAGGAGGAAAGGTAAGTAAGCAGTGGAGATCACATTGACCTGGAGAGTTTCCTCCCATCCTTCATTGGAGGCTTTGCATATATTGGTGGCCACATTAGCATACTAAGATGCAATATCTAGCCGAGGAAGTTTTTTTGTTGACCTTGTTTGCAAAATTTCAGACCTGATGCCGAACTAGACATATCGAGTTTCCAGACCTCTACCACGTCAGGGAGCGGCGTGGTTCCTTCAATGAATTTTAGCATCATTACCGCTCTCTAGATTTTTGACCGCGAGATAACCCTTTTAGCGTCTAAGCTGACATAATGTCGTGCAGTTTCAAGTCTAATACCACTATTTGATCTTGTTAAGATAACAACTTGATTGGTAAAGGGAAAAATTGGCAAAAAAAAGTCCGTAGGTTGACGATGTCCATATTTTAGATACTGCTAAGCGCAACTTACATATTCATTTCAAAAATGCTGGGCCAAAGCCCAGTCCTTAAATGCCTTCGACGACGATCGCTGAGTTAACCGAATTACCTATCGTAACCAAAAGGTTTTACGAAGTTTCGGGCAAATCAATCGGTAATCGAACCTTTCACCCCGCTGGTGGCGTTACCAACGGGCACAAGCAATAGTATTACAATTGACGGTTAAATTATCGCCGTGGTAATTTTCGTCTGATAATCATGAATAAATGTGTACTGTATAAGCAAAGCCAGTCAGTTAAGCTCTGAATCGTACATTTCACAGAAAATGCCTTTTGTTAACCAGTCTTATCCATTGGATCTCAACGATTTCCACTACTAGTATCAAACATTGTCAATAGCAATATATTAATTCATTAAAACCAAGTTCTGAAAAACACGGTGATGCTTTTTACTTCGCATTTATAATATTTGAACTGTAGTATCTTGAAATCCTAATAGGTGAGCAGGAAAAAGCACATCGAGGCTTACATAGCTTTCAACAGACTGGTTCAGAAAGATGTGCAGCTGTTGAAGCACGTGACCTTGGTGACTTCGATCTACGTGCCTGTTTCGTGCAGAGCTTTGCTCAGGCAAGTCCCAGCTATCCATTCTGGGAAGAACGAAATGGGGAACAGCTTTAGTTCAAGCGACCTTAAGGCGTTAATTCAATCTGACCTGGGCGTTGACATAGCCTTTTCACTATTTCCCGTTGGCCGCAGTCGAGGAAGTAGTGCCTGTTGCGTGGTATGTATTCTTTCAGTGTACATAAGGGGACCAACCTTGAAATTGCAAACTTCGCTGGCTAACGCATGCATTCAGGTGGATACAGAATGGCTTGAACGTATTAAGAGTGCAAAGCTCTCGAATGGTCAGCAAATCAGCGTTCGAAAACCGTCCTATCTCAGCTCTAGAATATCACCAGCCGACAAAAAACATGCAATTACCGTTAATACCGCTAATATATATATCAGTGTTTTGAAGAAAGATCCGGACGCAGGTAATAGGTGAGTTGAACATAACGTATTCATAGACATCTATGTTGAATCACATCTGACGTCTCTGATCCAGCACACAGTTATATATACCTGTCGACCCTACTCTTAAGGCTGACGACACATCACATGGGCCGCTACTCTCTGACCATATATCGAACCTCCTAAATGACCCAAAGCGAGAGGATGAAATATCATTGCTGAGAGATAATTTCCAGGATTTTACTCCACTGGAAGCATCTGAGGAAAATTTATCTTATGCGGAACGTCTGGCAGTACGTGTAAACAGCCTTTGCGTCGTTAAGATACAGTGTCCCTAGTTAATAACCAGTCATTTGACAGAGTCTTGTAAATACCATTCACCATTCCGTGTGCCCAAAAAGCCGTCGTTACAGAATCTCTAGTTCAACGGAAGCGGAGCTGGATCTCCAATTAGTGTCAGACATGTCCGATCCAACACACCAAGGCGGTACAGAAGAACATCTTCCTTCCAATGCTGCATATTCCTCAGTCCCTGGAAAGGCCCAGTTAGATCGATATCATCAAAGTATATCCAATTTAGCCGAAGTTTTTGCTATTGTGGAGTCTGATATAGCGTACTACTTCATCGCTTCGTACAAAGGAACCACTTTACAAGATCTGATAATGTATAATCCGGGTATTTTAAGCTCCAATATGAAAAAGAGTTTTGTGGTGTATCAGCTCTTGAGAGCCGTTGCAGGATTGCACAGTAGAGGATTTGTGCATGGAGCGTAAGTAGCTACTCGCATCACTGCTAGATGGAGAACGGCCTTTACTCATTTTAATTTTATAGACTTCGTGCGAGCAATATATTCATAGATGAAAATTTATGGCTACAATTAGCTGGACTGGAGTTTTCCGTCAATCCAAATAACCTCGATATCGATATAATGAAGTCAAGCGTACCTAAATGTAAGGACATGTCATTTGAGACGGATATGGCGATAGGCGTCTTTTAACACCCCCATAGCAATACAGGAGGAAAGTTTAGTGATGCGGTGGGTCCGAGGGGACATATCTAACTTTACATATTTGATGGCTCTTAATCATCTCGCTGGTGGGTGAAATACTGTTTTCTATGACCATATTTACAAGTTGGCCCACTCACGTTCTGTATTCACCCTTAGGACGACGGGAAGGTGATCCAAATTTTCATCCGGTATTGCCTTGGGTAACAGATTTCAGTGGCGAGACCCCGGAAGATGGATGGAGAGATTTCACAAGAACCAAGTTCAGACTGAATAAAGGTAAGTTAACGGTGTATACGATTAGGTACCTAGCAGCCTTAACATCACTAACTGTAAATACAGGCGATGAACAACTCAACTTTACATTTGATGGCCCCGTTCCACACCATGTTACCGATATTTTATCAGATATCACATATTATGTGTATCTGGCTAGACGTACACCAATACCTGTAAGTATATGGCCTCCAGTCGAGTAAGCTCTCTCTCATGATCTAAGCGTGTGCATATCAGGTTCTGTGTCAATTCGTTAGATCAAAATACGAATCAAATGAATACCCTCCATCGATTCAGCGATTATATCAGTGGACCCCAGATGAATGTATTCCCGAATTTTACTCAGGTAAGTTCAGTGTTTTTGATACTTTGCTGGAAATTTCGTGATTCGCTGATGGTGTTCTCTTTAGATCCAACTATTTTCAAATCTATACATCCTGATATGCCAGATCTGCAGACGCCAAAGTACGTACCTTTATCAATGGTACGGTAGTGAGGAATAGTAATAACTAACGTACTTATCTTTATAGGTGGGGTCCTACACCAGAAGAATTCATTAGGAAGCATGCAGAGTGTCTAGAGTCGGAGTATGTGTCTAACAGACTGCACACCTGGATCGATTTGACATTCGGATGCAATTTAACGGGTAAGGAATGATATATGATATGCATGTTCTGGTAAGCATCGATAATGTACTAAGTATGTATGTAGGGGAGGGTGCTATCGAAGCAAAGAACGTTGCGCTTCCGCTACTCGCTGGCCAAGATAGCTTCATGAAGCATGGGATAATTCAATTATTCAAAGACAAGCACCCGCAACGAGGATGCAACTGGCATGCATCATTACAGTAAGATTTTGCAATAAACCTCACAGATTTTAGTAAAATGATCACTGGCTTATCAGATTTGCCTACAGGTCTTCCAATATATCCCCTCAACCGAGCAAGCCTGTATCTGTGCAGTCAGCAGCGGACCTTGCAAAGCCATCGGAGGTTACACCGCCAATTGCACCAGTTGCAAAAGTTAGTAACCCGCCGCCCAACTCAATTGGTTCATCTGCAAAACATCTGCTACGAGACACTCCTTCGCCTGGGTCTCAATTTAGTAGAAACCGTGCTGCATCTGTTAATTCCACCACATCGACCGATACACACCATACTAATAGAAGCACTAATGCTGATGTGCCGCTGGCTCCTCTAAGTCTGAACACCGACCCTATACAGCTACCGGCAAACATGGGGGAAGACATTTTCACGGAGCAACTTGTTCATTTTGAAGAAACTCACAAATTTGGCGTCAAGTACTTGGCTATGAACGAGGTTGAGCTCGTCAAAAACCCATATCTACCTGATCCTGGTGTACGATACAAAATCGATGCCTATAATGACGATCCCATCCGAAATCATCCTTTTGCCATTGCTGCTGCTGACGACATGCGTAACCTTGGTACAATTATCCAAGGTATATATACCGCTGGCAGTGCTAAAATTGTGGATTTGGATGGTGATTTCATGGAAACGACCATCAGCGGATTGTTCGAAACTGGCGGTGGTTACATGGCCTACGACATTGCTCCCTCTGGCAAAATCAGTGTATGTGCATGTGGTTGCATATTTGAAAGTCTTGACGATACTCACTCGTTTTTTCCTCTTGAAGATACCACCAGTTGTGAGTCAGGTCATAACTTCCTTGACGCAGAATGATTGGTATAAGCGACCCTCCGCCAAGGCAGTTCTCTACACTTCTTTTCCGATGATGACCATCTATCATCCGAACGCTACATTACCCTTTCAGCAGTACATTTACGAAATGTACGAGTACTTGGCGGGATTCCATTTGAGGTTTGTTCTGTGTACATGTAGCATGGAATTATAACTTAATTACTTATCTAATGATTGATGCTTTGTAGCGAATGGTCAAGACGATTGTATCTCGCTGACAAATGGGTTGACTGGATATGTGATCTCGATGACGAGGTTAGCTTTCTGAAGCATGTCAGTTTTGAAGGAAAATTTATCACTCATCACCACTCACTTTTGTTTCAGGTGTTTGATTTAATATTGCCGACTTTTATCCAGTTGATGGGACATCAAGAGACTCGACTTGGTGTTCTAAGCTTGTTTCCCAAAATTGCTCAAAAGCTGGGACCGGAAAAGACAAAGCGTCACTTATTGAAGCCAATTGTGTCAATTCTGGAGGTATGTTACCATTACATATGATCGGCCTTTATAACTACTTATTCACATCTTTTGCGCTTATCAGACAACTAGACCGAAAATCCCAGCACCACTCCTGGAATACGATACACTCAAAGAGTTTATTCGACGCCTTGGTGTTTTAACATTTTTACAGCAGCTTCTACCTTGCTATCTGGAGTCCGTCAGCGTTGCAGATGATGCCCCTAGGAACACGAAATCGGATTACGACAGCGATGGGTACTCTGCGCCGCCCGATTTGGTTGCTGTTGTGAATAAGTCTCTCGAGAGCTCTAATGATGCGGCTGGAAAAGCACTTGTACATATATGCAGTCTCATTGGGCCGGTTCTCACTTCAAAGCATGTCATGAGGCAATTGTTCAAAATCATTTTTCGTGATTATAGACCTCAATCCAGTTTACAAAATGCTGTGATCACTATTTGTGGAAATTTTGGCGAATCATTCTCGGCTATTCAATTCGCGTACCTTGCATCCATCATCGATACCTATCGCAAGAATACAAATAAGCGCAACTCTCGAATTATATGCAGTATTTTGACCTTGCTTGAGCAGCTTACTCCTAACTTGTCCAATGAACGCCTGCTCACTGAGCTAAAGTCAGGCTTTATATCCACTCTCTATCAGTTAATCGAGCCAATTTCTCCAATTCAGAATGTTTCCAACAGCTCCAAAACCGAACTAAGACTCAAGCTGACTATTAGTATGCGCACTATAGACTTTTTACTTAATGTTACGAACCACATTACAAGAGCAGATTGGGAAGACATTGTAAGATATTTCATGTATTCCAAATCTCTTTCAACATCTCTTGGATCATTTTTGTTCATGTTTTGCTTTCTAACAGATCGGTCCACTCCTTCAACAATACTTTTCAAATTTTACACCTGACTCAGTAAAACATGAAGAAGAACCTTCAAAATCATTGGAAGCCCAACAGAACTATCAGATGGTCTATGCATACTCCCATTTCTGCCTTTTTGTTGGCCAGGAGACAATGCGAAGAGTCATATCCACCAGCGCCTCACTCGAAAGTATGATGTATGATCATTTCTCATCCAATGAGTCAACACCGCTACCCACAACACCGTTTTCTCCGGGCGGTCGCATTCTTCCTAATCGTAAAGAAGATGTCCCATCACCATCTGTGGAAGACGAGCCACAAGGCTTTTTGGCCTGGGTCAAACGAGGCAATCGTCGCAGTACACAAGGAAAGGATAGGTTTGCTGATATAGAGTACTTTAGTTTGGGAAGCAGTCTTAGTGTAGACTTCACCAAGCTGTACAATTACTCTACCAAAGACCTCTTCTCCTTCACTACATCCACCTTCAAAGGCAGTCGTTTCTCTCCTACTTCTCATGGAACGATCACTGATCCCCAAAGTAGCAAGCAAGGGTCCACCGTATATGTGCCTTCAGATAAAGAAAAGTATGAGCTACTTTCTTTTGTTTATCTAGCATTCACCTAACAGCTCCATTTATTAACCCACTTGTTTTAAACAGACTGCTTTCCAAGACCTCAGTTGTAAATAGTGTATTACCATGGAAGACAAAGTGGAAGCCTGTTCCGGAAGACATCAAGTATGTTAATTGACCAGTTACACGATACACGTTCTTACCTAACACAATCTGCGTTTCATATAGGAATTGGAACCGGTTCTTGTTGACAAATTCAGGTAATTATTTATAACAGCTTATGGTCTGTATAGAAGATATAGCACTAAAAGGTGTCGTCTATTTAGAGGAAATGTCCAAATCAATGCAGTTTTCATTCAACGATCTCAAGCTGCGGGGCTTTGCAGGTATACTATAGGGTTTTGGTCTGTCTCAGATGCCAACCCCTTCCTCCACTAACACTTTGATAGGCCACACCTCCGCTGTTCGAACATTCGGCATTAATGAGTCTGCTAGTATTTTCGGATCTGGATCTCGAGATAGAACTGTTAAACTTTGGTCACTGGACGTTTGCAGTGGAATCGAAAATTGGAGAGTGGATCCGTTTTCAGAGTGCCTTATATCATATAATGGCCATCGTAGGACAACTATATCAGATGTACATTTCCTCACTGGTGGTGGAAGCTCAGGCATCTCTGATGTAGTAGCAAGTTGTGATGGACAAGTGCATGTAGGTGATTCAAATAATATAGTGTGAAGTGATAATACCATTGCTGATAGCCCAAAACAGTTGTGGGAACCGGAGACGGCAAAGACCATCCATCAGTTCAACACTGGCAAGGCAAACATGGTGTCTGTCAGCCCCATCTTTCGATCTCGTTGTTTAATTGGTGGTAATAGCGATGGCACAATCATGTAAGTGTACGGCATATTGTCATGAGTAACTCCGGATTGCTGCTGATCCGTTTCTTTAATCCAGGGTGCTCGATGCTAAGATGCATACTCTCTTGCATACGTGGAAATCTAGCAGTGGGAACTCTGGTGAGTATGATTATGTGCTTAACAGCAGCTGTCGAGCTTTGAATCTGACCATGTCTACAGGAACTTTAAAAGTAATCGCAGTAAACACTGCAGAAACTCTCATAGCAGTTGGTTTTTCGTCCGGTGTGATATCACTATTAGAATCTCGAACTGGATCGTTGGTTGCGAGTTGGAAAGGTGGTGATTCAGATGTGACCAGCGTGAGTACCTTTTCGCTCAATCAAACCATACCAAAAATTCGTTGTGCTTATCTCATCCCCTCGCTTTCTATAATCGACAGATGAAATTCTACACAAATGAACTGCTCGTTAGCTGTGCGCCGGCTGATCATACTGTTTGCTTTTGGAACGTCAGCCGACTTTCCTTGGTGAAGACTGTCCCAGGTACCCATACCAGCTCTCTCTTCAAAATCAAAAAAGACCTATGGCTAACGTTGTGTGATCTCTACAGTGCAAAGCGATTTTATATCATTGGATCTTTTCAAAGATGAAATAATTGCCATAAACAATAACAACTCGGTGTCATTTATTCCTTTGAATGAAGACGTAAGTGGAGCGAAGCATGATCATTGTAGGCATGAGCAAACTCTAACCCAAGTTTTCTAGTTTCAGCCTTACACATCAAAGTTCAAGACATCGATTGTCAAGTCTCAAATAACTTCCTTTGGTGTTGTGCCCGTTAATCAATTGCTGCTCTTCGGCTGCGGTGAAGGCGAGATATACTTGTATGCGTAATGTTGGAGCTTAGGTACTCTTTTGGTTTCGGAGAATGAAACGTAAACTTGACACCTTCGCTCAGTTTGATCCTTTGTGAATCAAACATGGCTCCTTCAGACTGTTTTATAGTGTATTACAGTGCTAACAAATAAGTGGATCTCGATGATCTTTTTGTCAAGTTGCGATGGAATGAATAACCGTTGCGACATTTTTCGGCTCTCACTTTGTTCTCCCAAGTTTTCCTCATAAAGTACACTTATTACAAGAGCACAGTATAACCAGTTTAGTTGTTTGAGTTTTTCCCCTTTATTTTTATTTTTTTTGACCAAGGAACATAACACCATCCTTGTTATCATTCAAAGGTAGGGTGGTAATGTATCAAAGCCTCTTTCCGTTCATTCAATACTTTTGTCATAAAATCATTTGTTACTGCGTTCTGAGTTTTTGCGCCTTGGAAACAACAATAATATTCAACTTTGTTCACCTCATTCAAACCCTGGTGTCCGGATGGATCAGTCCAGTCGCGTACATCGCAGTGGCCGTTCTTTTATTACTGAGGAATGGGAGGGTTTGCATACGCGATCGCAAGACACGCGGCGAACCAGAGGTACGCAGGCCTCCAGAGGTCGTGGGCGGCCTAACCTTGCTCGAGCTAGAAGTTCAGTGCCCACTACCACTGATACAGTCGGTTCCTCGTCCAATCGTACCAATATCAGCAATAACTTAATTACACCGCCAACTACACCAACTGGTCGTTCCGGCGGTGGATTACATGGAGCATCGATATCTACGCCTCTCACTAGCCCTAACGCGCATAACAACACAAGTAGGAAAAGCCCCAAACGATCACCGGTTTTACCTCGAAGTTTTAGCAACGGGTCCCCATTACATCCTTCTCGACATTCTTCATCTACTTCCTCATCATCTTCTCGATCTCAATCTCCTCCGCCTGCAGGATACGACTGCTTGCAGCGTATGGCGGGTTCACCCCTAAAGCGGGCAAGAACCGATTTGTCTTGGCTTGATGAAATTCATCACCAGCAGGAGCAGCCTATGCCCATTAGACGGCGGTCCCTATCCCGAAGATCCCCATCCTCTCCAGGCACCACGGCCATTTTAATGAGAGGAGGAGGCGGCTCATCGTCATCGCAATCGTTTCCACCTAAATTGCTTCGTGCAGCCAGTTTTAATGGTTTGGATCGATATGTGGAACATCATCATCACACAACACGATCACTGAAACGCCCTACTTCCCCACAAATGGAGCTGAGAGCTATATCTGATTTGCCGGTGTCAAAGATGGAGCCTAATCCTTTCATTGCTATTGCAGAACCTAAACGTGAAGCCGTCGAGACCATTGACCCCTACGATTTTGATCACCTTCCTCGTGCCCGTATGGATCATTTAACCGGTGAAGTAGAAGACCTCAAAATCTGCTAGGCAGTTAACGTCCCAGCCGTTTTTATTTCCCTTCGACCTTTTCTCATATATGTATTCGTATATATATCTTGCTCACGTAACCATGTATCCATGCTAATACATATGTGTAAACTTCTTTCTCTCAAAGATAGATACACTTCAGGTTACGTGCATGCATACATTTATAACCCCCCTGACCCTTCTTTGCGAAAGTCCTCCACTGACCTTTTCTGCAATGCATAACTATCGGGTCATTTTCACCTTTCATTCAGCGTTTGAACATCTTAAAAAACCAAAAAAATATCCAAAATTTGGCTCTAGCACTGTACATTCATTTCCCTCTCCTTTCGTTTACTCTTCAGATATTCAATATCGCTATCCTTATTTCTTTTTCTCCACAAATAAAAATAATGTAAAAAAAAAAAAGGAAGACTATGTTGGTGATGTAAGTGGAGAGCTGTTCTCCAAGCAATTGGCTGATTCTAGTAAAAGCACTGGAGGAGACTGCAGGAGGATCACGAGTGCTAGTGTCTGATTAGATTCAGAATCTGGGAATTGCGCGTTGGTACGAACCGGGAGACTACTTCTGGAAGTCAGCGTATGCTTAAACTTGTTTGATTTAGTGAAGTTGTTGATCTGTGAGATTTTCAAACTCGCGCTGCCCTGTGTTTATTTGCCAATCCCGGAGAGTGGTACCAGCTATGCCTCCCTTCAATCCTGCTCCACCCATATGCCCTTTATTATCGATCTGCACCTGTTCGGAAGCACCGGCCGACACAATGAATTTAGACCCTTGGGTCCTGGCAGTGGCTTTACTTCTGGTTGTTCCAAGTTATTGGCACATCGTTGTTGACCAGCATGTTAGATCTATCGTCACAATGTGCCCCCAATTATGTTATTTATTTTTTATCTACATTGGGGTGGCAACAATACGACGGCTCACCTACAGATAAATGAATGTTGATGTATAAGTACTAAGGTAATTTCTCCCTGGTATAGCGTAAGACTTTGACGCGTTCCTGTGCGCTCTGCCGACAAGCTGACATATATTCGACGAGATAGCAGCGATTGAATTCCTAATTAATAGATCGATAGATGGTTATGTGTGTATTGCTTGTTAAGAGTTGAGCATAGTGGCTCCAGTCAAAGATGTTTCTCAATCCATTCCAAAAACATGTGCCTATAAACGTCAAATATGCTTGGCTGCAAAACATTCTCAGCCTTCAAGCACCTCTTTAGGCTATATAACGGTTTATTTTCTGTAATCTCTGATAAAATTGTAACTAACTGTCAATGAAATGCGACAGAGAAAGTGGAAAGGCTCAGAATACGGGAGACCTGGGCAACATAGGTTTCAAGTAGCGCGGCTGCAAAGCCCATTCACTTTGGCCAAATGCATTCCGAAATTTACAGTCACAACAGGACATCGACGAAACCTTGTGGGGTCAAAAAAATGGAATTCCTAGAGTTCATGTTGGGACCATGAGCGAGCCAGACAAGCCAACGTCAAGGATTCATTTGACCAATAAGCAGAACACTGCATCCCATCTTTCTGGCAACTCAACACCGAACTCATTTCGCTCTGAGAACTCCCAAACGCCGCTAAACATGGATATACCTGACCTTCTTGTTCCGCAAACAAGAGATAACACAGAGCATGACGGCGATGAAGAGGACACAACTTATTTTCTTCTCGATATTCAGACACCTGATAACGAATCGGAACAAGCAAGATATTCGAGAAGCCCTTCACTTTCTTCGTCGTCAAGTGAATCAGCACAAATCGTCATTGACAGTGGAATTCTTCGACCCAGTCAATATGATCATGGTTGTACCGAAGATGGCAGACCACACCAGCTTACCGAATTGCCACGTGGAGAGGATATACATCCAATGGAAGTATCAAGCTTGCCAACGAATGGGCACTCTTCTGGTAAAGAAGGCAATCGCATCATGACCATTTACACTGAAGAAGAAGACGATTTGATGGACGAAATGCCTCGCTGGAACCAGGAAGTTATGCATCGAAGACATTCTCTGCTAGAGGAAGATTCCCATGCTGAGTCGGATTGGGCTGCGGATAAAAATGGCCTTCGTAATCGACGAGATCGTCAAAATTCCTACATTTCATCCACTCGTAGAGAAAGCAGTTTCTCTCGTAATCCCGGTCTATCCAGCGAAGAAGCATTAAGGTGAGATAGCTCAAAGTGCGATTATGTGTACTATACCATTTCATTTACTAACCTGGAGCGTTAGACGTCTTCTTGAAGTAGCAAACTCTATATTAGAAGAGGAAAGAGTGAAAACCAGCAAAGATATACGCAAGTATCCAGTTTATATGCATTTGATATTGCATGACGACCATCATCCTCTACCCCATACTTACCCTTTCTTTACCATTAGGCATAATAACCTGGATCATTCGACCTGAAACCATCATCTGTATCATATCTGTAATCATACTACTTGCATTTTATATAATTGGATATAAGCTCTCGAATCCATATCAGTCAAGGGTTCTGGGATCTCTTATTGAAGGTCTTTTGGTACTAGCTTTTATCATTTGGAACGGTTGGTTGTATCGACGAGAGCAACGGCTAACACTTCGGGAAGTGACGGATCGAGCGCAGACCATCATCGAAGCATTGGAAAGAAGTGGCATGAATATGGTTCAAGATACTCGCATACCCTTCATTCCTTCCCTATCGATTGCAAAGGTGGTTCGAGATGGTGTTTCCAGAGTATTTCCTACCAATTTACTGGTCGAAGGCGACGTGGTTGAGATGCTGTATGGCGATGTTGCACCGTGTCGCATGAAATACGTGTACCTTGATCCAATAGAGACCGTCAATCAACTTGGGATCAACTCTACTACCGACCTAGGTGCATCTCTTGAAAGCGATAAAGCTACTGTGGATTTCACTCGAAAAGAATATTACATGGCTGCTGATCAAGTACTCAAGCCATCCTTCTTCGGCGTCCCTCCACATCCACATATGATGAGAGATTACATGACTGCACGTGGACGACATCAGTTTATCTTATTGGAAACGCCGTTGCGAAAAAACATGCGCAAAGCTCTTCAAGGAGAGCGCCCAGAGACTGTCATTCACAACGAAGCCAAAGTTTTAATCAACTGGTTCTATCATCGAATTATTTGGGCCGTTTTGGCATTGGCCCTGATCATCAACCTTTTCCGGTTCGGTTTCAAGGATATCATGGGTAACAAATACCATGTCGATCAAATTTTTGAAGTGGTTTTTGTAGAAACCATTTATACCATCATACCGCTCTTGCCACTGACCTTACCCAGTTTATGGCTCATTGCAAGAAGTTTCGGAAATGCCCAAGTGCTCATTCTATTCGAAGCGCTTCAGATTTCGAAAACCGAATACGAGGATGAAGATGATGTGGATGAATTCGATGCAGAAGCCCCTCCTCCTACAAAAGATGTTGATCTCAACCCAAGTAAGCGAATTTTCCCATCATAATTTTAGTGCACTATGATCGTTTACTAACCGTACGATTAGACGCGGTTTGGAGCAGGTTTTTTTCGTTACTGACCAAATGGGACAAACTGTCTCTAACTCGATCTACGAATTTGTTTGAATCGCTTGGAAGTACAACTGTCATTTGTTGTTTGGACAAAGAAGGGACCATTGCGAACGTAAGTTTTTTCCAGAAAGCGAGGGAAGGAACTTACCTCGAGTAGACCATCTGTTCCTGAACATATTGCCTCATTATAGCCGTTTCCGTCGGTAGAGCAAATATTGCTGCCTGACGCTGACGAGGACGTAGCTGTACTCGATGTAGAGGAAGATTATGATCAACCCTATGGCATAAAGTTTGAAGATCAAGACTGGGACCAATACCTGGCGTAAGCATTCCGAGTTCTTTCCGTCTGGGTTGATTTGAACGCATCATAACTCTTAACCTTATTTAGTGGATTAAAGCCTGTGGGACTGAATTTTCTACTAAATACCAATTGCGGTGTTTTGCAAGGCCGACGACGAGCAGAACATCATAGAAAGCGCTCTGGTCTTCATAGCTACGGCAAAACGTTACCTGCTCGACAATGTGAGGCTAAACCTATTCTTTCCTCATTTTTGCATCGATAACATATAAACGCTAATTTATTTCTATTTTTAATTTTTTTAATTTTTTTCAGCTTGTCTTTGTCGCCTGGGTAAATCCATTGGGTTTACAGATGACGCTCTTTCGACTTTCCAGCTTCGCAAGGAGATATACACGTTTGCTCCCTATCATGAAGTACTTAACGCCCATCGAAATTTCTCACAACAATTCGAGGTTCCTAGCATGCTGTCGACGATATATGAAGAAACTCGATCAGGTAAATTTTCTGAGTTTACGATACATGTTTTTGCTCTTGCATCACTTTAACCCGGAATACTCGGATCTAGGAAGCTACCAGCTTTTGAGTGACGGACATTTGGATCTCATTTTGGACAAGTGTTCCGATTACTGGGATGGGCAAAGCCTTCGAAGAATGACGGATGCTGTAAGTTGAGATATTCATAACATAACATTGCATTGATCGGTTGGAATGATACAAATGTTTATTTCTTCAACCATAGATGGAGAAAAAGGTGTACGATTTGTTTCAAAATGCTCAGGTGAATGATATGCAATGTATAGCGTACGCATACCGACCAATCAACACCACCCATGGAGAAAAAATCCCTTTCCTCCAACAGTCTGGTGATTATGGATCTGATCCAGGGTGCGCATTCATTGTCTTACCCTACAATCGGCCTAGCACCGACAGTTCAAGCGTATCTTCGGCCAGCACAGATACGGATACACAAGGAGATGAAGACGATGATGGTGAGCAAGGGACTTCCACATCCGTGGGAGCGGCGGCAACCGAAGCGTCGTCTACTCAAGACTTGACTCGAAAAAGACCGTATCGTCATAAATCTAAAAATAGCGACGATGAAGCGCTCGATTTTTCGTTCCAGGATGTTGAGCAGGTCAACCAAGGAGATGAGGAGAGGTTCTACAAGGAGGTGGTCAAGGGCCAGATCTTCCTTGGTCTTGCCACACTATGCCATCGGCCCAAGTTGGTAAGTTAAGATTTCATCTGTTGAATTGTCTATTGGTAATTAGACTGAAAACATGTTAACGTTATCATTTGCATGACCTCTTGTTTTTCCACAGAATGTGGTGGATTTCATCGAGGATCTCGGTTTGGCCGGTATTCGATTCGTGTATTTCTCACCTACCGCTGAACGAGAGTCCAAAGGTTAGTGTGGTGTTTTTGAGTAAGAAAACCTAAGACCTGTATGCTCATCTTTTGATGTTAATAGCCTACGCCGAAAGACTTGGCCTGGAGACAGACTGGAACAGCTGTATTTTGTTATCCAATGCTGATGATGACAACTGCGGCACGGGGTACTTGCAGACGCACGACATCAAGGCACAGCTGCCTCGCGGAATTGATCAAATTCGCCCTCATCTTGAAAATGTGGACGATATCCCATTGCATGTTTCATTGTTCGCGGAATGTACCCCGTATGCGACGACAGAGATGATTCGCATCTTTCAAGAAAATGGTGAAGTTGTGTGTTGCGTTGGCAATGCGCTTAATGCCAAAAATACTGCTTCGTTTGCGCTGGTAAGTGTCACATTTTGGGATATTTTTTACGAAAGATGACTTTTTTTGTCAATGGGCTAATACGATTTTGCATCAGGCGGACGTCAGCATAGCGATGGAGCCTATGCACACCCGAGCACAGACCAAAGGCAGATTGGCTTTAGGTGGTAGACAGCCACCTCTTGCGATAGGAGCGTCCTTGGTCAGCTTACCATGTGGTCTGTTCATGCAATACGAGACAAGCTTATACGCACTGACACAGCTGACTCGGGAAGCCAGACGTTTACTGAATGCTGTACGAATGGTGAGTACGGAACGCACCATTTCATGATTTTGAAAGGAATGCAACGAATGAAAGGCATTTCTCTATGACGATTTTTTTTCCCGCCAACCCACTGAATATTCTTCTATCCTATTTCCTTTCCAAACCATCTTTGTGCAACCCACAGGCTTTCGTATTCTTCACAGCATCATGCATGGCAATGGCCTTGATACAACTCTTATCTTTTTGCATGCTCCTTCCTCCCATCCTCACGGGGTACCAGATGCTATGGATAATGTGGATCGTTCTGCCCATTTTAACCATTTCCATGCTCTTCTCCCCGCACGAGGACAATATCATGCTTATGATGCCAGGTGAGCAAAAACCTCCCCAAAGGAAAAAGTCAGAAGTGTGGAGCAAAACGACAGAACTTCTTTGAATTAAATCTTTCTGTTTGATAGGTAAAAACATTAATCATGTTGTCGATCGGTGGCGCTTTATGACCTACTTCGTCTTACGGTTTGCTCTACCCATCATCATGAGTGTGATCATTTACGTCCTGTAAGAAATTTATGGAAGAACAAAACTTATTCCGTTGAAATAGGTACTAACCTAAAACTTGGGTTTGTTCGGTAGATGTTTGATCCATTTTCTGGACGGAACGGTTCCAGCCACTGAAATATTTGGTGACCTTGGTACTGTTGGGTGGTTACATTGGAATAACGAGATACAATGGGCGGTTCTGTATGCACAAAACTGTACTATGCTTATCTTTGTTTGGTATATAGGTAGTTATCACCTGGATACATCATGTCCTTCTCCATGCTTCATCACTGACTGATTTTAATTTCCAGCTTGTATCTCTGCCACTTTCCTACACCGAACGCTGTCCATGCGTAGGTTTTTACCCTTCCGGAACCGTATCTGGATCATTGCGTTTTTCACGAGGTAAAGAGAAAAAGAAAAAAAAACTTCTTTTGGAGCTAATTACCACTGGTGCAGACACTAAGTCCCATTATAGTATCGCCCTTCAATTTGCTTTTTGTGCAGTGTCCTTGGCAAAAGGTCCCTATTCTATACGAACTTTGCCATGGTACGTTTATTTCCTAGGCTTTGCATTTGTTTTGGTTATCATACCTGCGCAAGAGCTGGTGAAGCTGCACGACTTGAAAGAATTCACCCGGTTTCAAAAGCGATCCAAGCTTGAATTTAGTACCAAGGTAAGCGATCAAAGTATATATGGAGCGATCATATGAAGTGATGAGCTGGGGCTGACGCGAGTGTTCGTTCATCTGTTGTAGCTTGGGATGCACTCACCGTTGTAGTAATATAATAGCCTATAAAAAAAGGCGATATGATATGGAATGTCCGAATAAGGAAATGCATCAGAGCTACTTTCCAACGTCATAAAAATCCCATCATTAAAGCCTCGCCTTTTCATCAGAATAAATCTATTTCTTTCTTTTTTGCATTGTTGAAGCGTTTCCTTCTCTCTTTTCTTTTTCTCAAATGACAGGTACCACTTTACCTCCCTCTACTCGACCCATTCATCCATGGTATTAATTCACCTACCCCCCTTCATTTCCCTTATAGTAAACACTGTTCGACTGGGTGACGACTTGCACTTGAACGACCGGCCGACATATACCCGATGCAAATCCAATATGATAGATTTCAGACGACATTCTGGCTTGTACAAGCTAGCTCTATCGAGAGACGTTCTTACAGGATCTACCACGACATTATCTACATTGGATACCGTACCCGAAGACATGCCTAGCTTGATTTTCGACGATGCATCATCTACAACCGCTTCATCCAGCAGCGGAAGCATGGAGTCTTCCCCTATCATGGACTCACACCGTCGGGAAACTTTGGAAAAGTTAACGAGACGACTCACTTTAGATGGCTCAACTCCACACAGTGCTGACAACCTTCACCCTGTCGATTTAACTTTCCGGCGCTGGTCGATGCCATCATCTCAGCCCCCGCCCGCCTATTCTCCTCCACCTGCATGCTTGTCACGCCCGGTTTTACCTAGACCTGAAGAGGGTTGCGAGTCATTACCACGCTACTCATGCTCGGTTTATAAAATGGGATATCTTCTAGTCAAACGAGAAATGGACCGACCAGGAGTTAAAGCACGCAACCGGTCATGGAGGTAAAGTATTTTCTATCAATTTCTGTTTTGGGAGAGTCGAAACCCAAGAAGGGGGGAGGTTGAGGACATAAGCCCAGAGCACTTTGTTAGGGTGGTCTAGTAAAAAAAAAAAAAAATCAAGGGGAACTGGGGACCTTGTATATTGTTAAAATGAGTAGAACCGATGCTGATTAATGTTTTTGTTATGACCTGCAGAAAACTATATTTGCGCTTATGGGGAACTAGTTTGGCCCTCTATAATTCAGAGCCGATCGATCTACAGCGCTCCCCCAAGATTTGCAGCTTCTCCATGCATCAAGCCGATACCGGTTTGGCTTTAGATTATGTCAAACGCCGGAATGTTATCCGGCTAAAATTTATGGACGGACCTCAGTTTTTGTTACGGAGCGCAGATGCTATAGAAATTGTTTCATGGGTAGAACATTTGCAAGCTTCTGCTAATGTAAGCAGTGACATTGATCAACGAAAAATGCCAAAATTCATCACGTTACCACGACGGAGGAGAAGACAGACCGATAACACTCTCACTAATAGCAACATAAGACCTACCGCTGCGGATAACCACAATAATCCTCGCGAAGCCTGGCGACGATCGGTACTTGACACTTTAGCTCGCGACGACCAAAACAATCAAGATGTTGAGCAGGCTCTCATCTAACCTTTTTTTTTTCTGTATATCGAAAAGCCTTCTCATCCCATTCCATCTATCTCATTCTAAAGCATTTGATGGTCGTTTATACTCGCTGCATACTTTTTTTTTTTTCCTTTTTTCTATATATTTTCTTTAACCTTTTTCCCATCTGACTCACATTCATTCTTCTCACACATCATTTCCCACATGAATATATGTTATGCAAAATTTCATCTTTGAAACATACGCAGTAACAACGTTATTTACTTTTCTATTGCCAGCGTGATTCTCTTACGAGGGGGGTGGTTTAGGAACACAAAGTATTTACCCGAACGGATGAGCATATGCACACACATTGTGTGGCTCTGGCTTCTTCCATGTCAGTTCCGAACCTTGTCAGGCTGAATATGTTCCATTTAGACTAAGGTGGTGGTGCACTTTCCGAACGGAACAATCGTTCAACCGATGAAAATAACTTTCCTCTACGCATTTCAGCAACCACTGCTTGCCAAATAATAAACAAGCCATTGTCCGGTACGAGGTGGCGTGTGTGATTCCACGTGAGAAAATCTCCATTGGAACCCGTCAGCTCACTTTAGCCTATCAAGGTTGCTCAGGCGCATATTTCGAGGTGGATTGGGCTTGCGATTTTAATAAAATTACGCGCGGGGCACGCACACTGAAAGCTTGGCACACATCACGACCTCACAATTAGGTATGCCACTCACTCACTCACTGCAAAGCTAGTGTTTGTTTGCAGTGCTTGTAAAAAATAATAAAATAATAGATCCACCCTTTCCCCTAATGACCACACAGTGTGTAGATGACTCAATTAATTTTTTTTACTTTGGTTGCTGTCTCATTGTAAATGTATGGACAAGTTAAAGAAAGCTGTTAATGTTCAGAGCTTATTTCATTCTCAATCAAGTGGCCAGGTTCCGGATTTGCCAAACTTTAAAACATTTTCGAAGCAGAGAAAAATATATTCCCAGCCACCCTGGCAGACCTTTAAATACAAAAATTTCGTCAATTTGGCTCGACGAATAACATTCTTCCTGAATCGCGCCATTTCCCACCACTCATACTGGCCCATCAGCTCACTATGACTGACTCGCCTGAAATCATAGACCCTATTCAACAAGCTCCTCCAATTGGGACTGTCAATTCTCTTGACAGCTCGTCCTCCACTATCAACATTTCCTCTACTTCAAGCAAACCTACTACTCAACCCCCACCACCCGAGACTTTCATCCAGAAGCACAAGAGTTGGCTACTATGGTGGAACTTGGAAGAGTGGTGGGCATGCTGGATTGGCATAATCTTTTTCGGTATCGTTTGTGGTTGCGTTAAGCATAATATCCCCCAACCAGAATTTTTACCTTGGCGTACCAACCCGTTTGATACATTTGCAACACCTGGCAATTATGGATTACTTGTTCTGTTTCCTGCCATGGGCCTACTAGTCTGGTTCGCTTTGACAAGTATCCAAGCACCGAGTTGGTCCAAATTCCCTATCGGTTACATACTCGTCTTCTTCATTGCCCTCATTAGCAAAATGTTAGCAAGCAATGGTAAGTAACAAGGGTCCTAGTATAGCCATCACGTGAGATAATTCATCTCACTACTGGTCTCCCTTTTTTTAACCATGATTGCCTTGGCCCCCTTAGTCACAATTAAAAGCGCCAGCCTGGGAGACTCCATTTGGGCGATTATCTTTGGAGCCGTGCTTAGAAACTTATTTTCCATTCGTCAAAATTATCGAGATCGCTTACCACCCTGGCTTAAGGTTGCTCAGCAAACCGAATTGTATATTGCCATTTCCTTGGTCCTGCTATGCATTGATATAACCATTCTACGACCACTTGCTCCTAGAGCTCTTTTTGTCAGCTGGATTGATACTCCTACGCTGTTCATGGTCCTTGCATTTTTCGGATACAAGATATTGAAAATCGATTTACAAACCTCCATCATTATGTCGGGTGCCACTTTTATTTGTGGTTCTTCGGCTGCCATCGCACTAGGAGCTGCCATTGGTGCTCCCTCCAAAACTGAAATGCCCATTGCCATTATTTCCGTTTTCACCATTCCAAGTATCATTGCCCTGCCTTATGTTGCAAAGTCGCTTTACCTGTCACCCGAAGTGAGCGGAGCTTGGTTCGGTGGATGCGTCGATTCAACCGGCGCTGTCATTGCTGCCGCTAGCATTTACGGTGATAAGACCGCCATCAACACTTCGGCCGTGGTCAAGATGATGCAGAACGTCTTGATTGGCCCACTCTCCGTGGTTATGACCTGGGCTTGGGCACGACATGAACTCAAGGCTACCAAACAAGAAGCGGAGGATTTGGAAACCATGTTAGATGCAGAAGCGGAAACCAGCTCCAACTCTATGCCTTTAGAAGAATTGGAGCGGAAACAAACGAACCAGCAACGCCGCCAAGTCGCGTTACAAAAGGTCAAGAAACAGCAAACAAAACCACTGGTTGTCCTCTGGAACCGATTTCCAAAGTTTGTCATTGGTTTCGTTATCACGGCGATTTTATTCAACACTGTGGTTTCCAGTGACGAGGATACCCGTACCAACGTCAATAACTTTTGCTTTTACATCTCGGAATGGTTCTCAACGCTATCGTTCGTTAGTATTGGTTTAGCGCTTCAGTTCAATGAATTGAAGCGAAATATCCGACATTTAGGCTTACTTTGTACATTATACGTGGTTGCTCAGATGATAGATATAGTAGTGACAGGCTTACTTGCCTGGATTGCTTTTACTTACATGTAAATAAACGTGATTCCCAGTATCTACCCTTTGGTTGCACCTTTAAACTCGCTTTTTTACACTACGTGTAGTTACTTAGGGTATTGCAAGGCTGGATTGCCTTCACTCTACGTCTAAAGACACGCGGTTGCACCATTCGTTTTGATTGGATATTTCAGGGTCCATCCCCAAAAAAGGCATTCACGTGATCTCTCAGGGGTCACATGGCTCATGACCACAAGCACCCTGTTTCCCTGAAGGTTTTGCAAGCCTTGTAAGAAAAGTTCCGCTTGGCTCTTTTTGTTCTTCTTTCTTCTTGGCTGGGAAGAACTCACAAAGCGCATTTGAAGCGCTGCTCATCCCTCTATTCTTTCAACTCAATCTCGTGTTATAAATGTCCATTCGCACTCGTCCAAGTCGACATCAAACTGCGAAGGACCAACAGTTGAATCTTTGCTCTGTTCGCTATGGAAAAAATATACGAAGGTCGCGCCGTTACCAAGACCCAGTGACCTCCTGGTCCTGTCAGAAAGATGTTTGCCGATCCATGGCCGACGATACTATATACGAAGTCAACAGCCCGTATAGACAGCCGCCGCGTTCCACTCCAAACTCGAACCATCAGACCCACGCGAGCCGCGCTGCTTTGAGTTTCCAGAAAGACGAACGAGGTTGGGTAGACTTGGCTGCAGGTGAAGGAGGGGATAACAATCACCCTACCTTTGAAACGCCCGATATCGGCTTAGGGTTGTCTGATATTCAGCCAAGAGAATCATCCGATATGGATGATGAACCTCCTTCGAGCGGATCTAGGAATAATTCCTTATTTTTCGGCAATGCTGTGTCTAGTGATCTTCCACGTCCACCACCCTCTAGAGCCATTCGAAAGGAACCTCAGCTACCTCCCATCATTACGTCCACGCCTCACCCAGAACCCCCGCAGACCCACGGTGGCCAAGTAGACGATCTCCGTGAAATTCATCACAGTTCACTTGCCAATCGACTTCGCAATATTGTAGCAGCTAACCGCAAAACCGTGGTAAAAACTTTGCCTATCCCAGAGCATCTTCGGTCAGATACCACGGTGTCCGAGAACACTTCTCCAACCTCCAGCAACCCTTCCCCAACCAGAAATACCACTCCAAGCCCATCTAATTCCATAGATCACAAACAGCGTGGTCACGGCTATAATGCCACGTATAGTTCATCGTCCTTTTCCGACGATGAATCATTTTTGCCATTACCCAGCCCTGCTACAGCCATGACACCATCGGTCTCAACGTCTCAATTTAGCCCAACTCATCACACAACAAAGTACATTGCACAGTCAGCCACTCCCTCACCTACCGATATGGAAGGTATGAAAGCGGACGATCCAATCAGAGAAGGCGACCACGAAACCAATATTCCAATTCTATCCGCTTCTCCTTCTTATGCCCCACGTAAACGTCAAGAAATACCGTCGGTAGTGGACTACCCAATTTTAGGTGACTCAGCGTACGAGGAACACAAACCACACTCGTACATCTCTAAAAAAAGCCATCTATACGATACCGCACAAGCTAAATATAGTGCCTCTCCTCTTGGAAACAACCGAGAAGAACGCATGATTGGAAAAACCATTTGGAAGTTTCGCATTCAAAAACTGCTTGGCGTCGGAGCTTTTTCAAAGGTGTACCTGGTAGAATGTACAGAAACCGGAAAAAAATATGCTATTAAGATGATTTCCAAGGATCGTTTAGCGCATGATTCGAGGATACGCTCTAGCATTGATCGTGAAGTGGCCATACTGGAGGTGAGTTTTTTGCCAATTTTTTCCCACGGAGGCAAAAGAGGGGTTTATTGATGTCACATTGATGTTTACCAATTATTAGTACATCGATCATCCTAATGTCGTTCACCTTGATTGTACCATGGAGACGGAACACCACTTTTGTCTAGTGCTCGAACATGTTGATGGTGGTGAACTTTACGACTACGTAGAGAAGTTACACAAAAATCTTACCCCCGGCCAAACCGTCGATGAAATGCTTATCAAGCGTTTGTTTTTGCAACTCGTTAATGTCATGATCTGGTTGCATGAGAAGCATATTGTCCATCGCGATTTGAAATTAGAAAGTGAGTAACAGCTCGATGTAAGAAGGGCCGTTTTATATCAAACTATGGCAGGCATTTAACATTTATTTCTAGATATTTTGATCTCATCAGCAACAGATAGCGATGTTCCGGTACTGAAATTATCGGATTTTGGGCTCGCTCGCGTCATTGAAGTGGACAATCCTATATTACGTACACGATGTGGTAGCGAAGAATATGCTGCCCCAGAAATCATTCAAAACACAGGATATGATGGAAGGAAAACAGATACCTGGGCCCTCGGTGTTATCCTATATGCGCTTTTGGTCGGCTATCTACCCTTCATGTACAATCCAGCGCGAGGCGAAAAAGTATCGCATTTGTTTTATCGCATCCTCAGCAGCAGCCAAGTCAAATGGCCTTCAGAGTGGACCAAGGACCCTTCTCGCTCCATAAGTCAAGAAGCGAAAGATGTTGTTAATAGTCTGTTGACTCGTCAACCTGACAAACGCATAGACCTTACGGAAGTCAAGAAGATGGCTTGGTTCAATGATTGTGACTTGGATGTGGACATGGCTTGATATTGACCAAAGAAAAGTACCGCTGCCAATGCCATTTATTTTACCTTCTTGTATTTTCCTTCCATTTGGAAGAAGATCCTCTCTCCAGTCTAAAGAAAAAACGAGTTTAGTGATCGCCCTCACTCTGAATTATACATCTCACCCAACCCCCACTTCTACTTTTCTTGTTATTATATGTTCAACCCTAGTATTTTTCTTCTACAGCCCTCACAACTGTATACAACCCTTTTCTTCAATCTGTACATGTTTATTTCTCCCCTCTCCCGAACCATCTTGCGCTTCGTCGCAGAAAAACAATGAAAAAATTATATAAATTAGTATTGTGCACCTCCCCTCGTAAATCCCACTACTGGCCAGTTTTGGAATGCTTGCATCCAATTTATTAGGATATCAACTTGGTAAAATCTACAATAGACTATCTTTGCGAAAGAGCAACATATACTGGTACCCAGTGTGTGCTATGGTGAACTCCGAGCTGCTCAATCCGACCTTTTCATAATCATATTCGGTATCCATAGAGATCTGCGCATTGGGAGGGATCAAAGACTCCACGAAATCTTGTATTATTTGGGTCGCTCCATCTGGCGATGAGCATGGCCGGTATTCGACCTGAGAAAAATATACCAACCCATTAGCATTTACTAAGTCTCTTTTTCTTTTTGACCACTGATGGCGCTAACTCACCTCCAACAGCAAGCCTTTGTACGTTGATCCAAGCAGAATATTTGCCACCCGTAACGTGAAATCACCTATATCATAGCTAGTACCCTGTGATACGCGATGCAGTCAGAAAAAAGGAATCGTTTATGGTTGAATGATACATGGGTCGTGGGTGTACTTGCCTCTATCGTCGCACTTTGTCGCACGACCCACAAGTTTTTCAGTCTGCTGAATATCGCCTCCACGTCGCGCTCAACTTCCACTACCACGCCGCCATCCACCATGCAATACAGCTGCCGTGGCTGCTGCGCTAAGGATATCTGATAGAGAAGTTTTCCTGTGTTGTTGCGACTGTTGTCTCGGTAAACTTTGCAGGTCAGTCCCCATCGACCCGTGTTTTTGCCATGTAACGTTTTGATTACATGTTCGTCAATGGTGGTGAAATCTCGCATGCCCGTTGCATTCTTCCACCGAACAATACTAGAGACAATATTGGTAAGATTGTGCGGCGAGATTGCGGTCAAAACAAATAACGTTGTTAGAAATTTACCATGTCATGCCCATTCTTGTAAAAAAAAATAAAGTGTAAAGGTAACGGTCGAACAATGACAGGCACTCCGCTTGCTCCAAATGTTTGGGTAAGCTCTCAAGCGCTTTAACAAAAAATCTCAGCATCACTTTTCATTAAGATCAGAACTGTACATATGACACAGCCAAAAACGAGTAGAGCGACATACTCAAGAACGAGAACTAAAAGTTTCATAAACCACCACCATGCTGAAAAGCAAAACATCAGACCGTCAGGTACTTTTAGAAATCCAGATTATATATTCCACTGTTATTTTTTAGAAAAGAAAAAGCAAAGAATTAAAGAAAAAAAAAAAAAAGAGGGGAATAGAGTTTATCGGAATAGTGATGTTGGATATGTGAGATATCTAACATAATCGAATAGATACAGGCTACGTTTAGATACTGGAGGTGTACAAGAAGGGTATATCACGCAAGAATATGGATGAAAGCGACTTTGCTTAAAGCTATTATCCGAATTTAACGGTTTCCTCAGGTGGTACTCTATTGCGGTTCAACATGGATCGAAGACCAGAGTATATCTCGCGAACACCTTCAGCCATGCTCTTACCGTGGCTGTCTTCCCATGCTGCTTCATTGATGTCGCCACCAGGTGGCAAATTCATCATCATGTTGGGCTGGTCATTGATTGCGTGGGCTTCTATGAGCTCCATACGCTTCTTCTGAGCGTATGACCACAGGCATGCTGCCCAGTACATCTAGACAGTGCAAAAAAAATTATTATCAGGTTAGATTCAATGCATATTGTACATCTGAGATTACAGTGTCTGGCTATCACTCACATATATGATGGTAAAGACGATCCAAACAACAATTCCAAGTTTGAGTTCATCTTCCCACATTTTGTGGCAGTTGTAAAGATCCATTCCATTCTGGCTTGGGTTGAAGCTCATGGTTATTTGCGTTCCATTTCCGAGGATGGCGGTCACTTGCTCGTCTACATAATTGCGAGACTTATCCAAGCACCAGGTTTCATAGTCGCCTCGCAACACGCCAAAAACAATAATATTGATGAAAGAGTCCGTTAAGAATGCAATGACCGCACACCAGGTTAACATGTGCGAGAGACGAAGTATATGTGCTTTGTTCTGAAAATGCGATTTGTTAGGGAACCAAGTTGCGGATGCCTTGCATTCTTTCCATCCATCTTCCCGCGCAAATTTTGCTAAAGTTATTTACCTGAAACAAAGCGAACAAGGTCCAAAGCGTGACCAAGCAGAACACTAAGCTTATGACGCCGGTGACCATGAAGGCAGTGTAATTTAAATAGGAATAAATAGCTACAGAACCGACAAAGATAAGCCAAAGTGAAATTTTCCCGGTTTATGCCAAGATCACTCTATCGATGCTACTTACGGCTTCGTGATTCGAATGAAAGCACAGTGAGATACAAGTTGAGTCCCTGCATGATGTAAAACCGCCAAAAGGTTTGTTAGTAACTGCGAGGCACAAAATAATTTGAAACATCGTAAATCTTACCAGCCAAACGAGATTAGCAAAGGTGCTTCCTCCTCGAAGAGACATGCAAAGACACCATTTTCCAATGAACGGGTTTCTTGGGCGTAGTCTGCGACGTTGTGCAGCCTCGTGAGCGATCCAGCCATTCACATTCATGATGATATGATAACGCCTCGAGAGTGATAAAAAAAAAAGGTAGGTTAGAGAAGAAAGGAAGAGGTTGAACTTTTTTTCTTATTTCTTCCTACTTTACTTTTGGCCGGTTTATCTTTTTTTGTTATGATTTTGCAGACAAAAACACCTTGGGGGCAATAACAATATACCATTTTGGGTTTTGTGCACAGGAAGGCTTTTCGGCAATGCCTGACTCTCCCAACGTCATCCGACAAATTATTTATGGTATACCGGGTTCAACTTCGACTTGCATAGTCAAAGGGACATTTTTGAAATAAATAGTTTATAACGTAGGGACATGATTGCCATTGACATGCACAATTCGCATGTCAATATACGAATTCTAAGTGGCTCTAGCGGTGGCCACCTTTGCAACTATCCGTGATATAATACTGCATTAAAAAAAAAGTGGCCGTTCTGTCTCTTTTATTTCCTCGGTCGTAGTCCTCTTCGAAGCAGAGATAACTGGCTACGCTTCTTCTCCCTTTGCTTATGTATGTTCTGCATTGCTGTGCCCGTTAGAGGCTTGTCACCGAGCCAAATGGTCTGATATCTGACATTGATGTCGGCAAAAAGTCGTTCAAACTCGTAGTGTTCGAATTGACAGCATTGTAATCGATGACAGGGTTTGTACGCTAGGCTACCATCCATGCTTCGTTCATCACCATGGATCTCTACAAGCATAATAGATCGGATACTGTGCACAATGGCCACTTCGATGGACTTGGAGTTCCGAACATCCCGTTGTTCTGAGGCCGTGATCAGTTGATCTAGACCGACACTCTTGGTTCGATTCATTTGCAGTTTCTTCCATCGTTTTAATCCATCCAACATACCTTGGAACTCTATAATGTTGATAAGCTGGGCCTCAACTGTTAAGCCAAAATGGCTGATTCTGGCAGAGATTTTGGCTGGAATACACTGGGCAACCAAAAAGTTCTTGTCCTTTGGAAGAGGCAAATAGTGTCCCGAGTTATTTCTGTTGGTGGCAAAACTCAAAAATGAAATATCGCCCTTCTTGGTAGCTAGTTCATTCAGAACTTTGATTCGAGCATCCCATTCCTCTCCGTAGCCGAGCGGTATATTTAGGGAGAATATTCCAATCAAAGCATACGACATATCTTCCACATTCGTCGTCTTTCGTGCATCCATCCTTGCTAATATTTCAGCAGCATTTCCGGGACGATAGTAGAGACTGAGGTCTAACTGGCATAGGTGTACATTTTGTGTCTCTGCCAATTCCTGCATAGAAACAAGTTCTGCTTTTGAGTCTTTTTCAAGGATTCCATAAAGTAATCCTGCTGCAGCTCCTTCCTGTAAGCACCATCCTCTACTTTTCCATACATCGAGCGAAGTATCCGAGTCTAGTACCACTGCGCGGCAGCTTGCATACCACCTGTACATTGAACGAATAGTCTTGTCCACCTCCGAAAGACTGGACCTATCCATACATATGGTGTCTATCCAAACGTACCTTGCATGTTTTATGATCACTGACCTGATTCGTTTTAACTTTTTCGAATATGTGCTAATGCCTCTAACTTCTGCAGAGACTTTGCCTTCATATGATGTTTTTTCCGTTATGTCCTTGTACTCAACTTCGCCATTTTCTCTCCATCTATGGGTGATGAAGTAGACTTGGCGAATGTCAATGTTGTTTACGAGGGTGTCGCTGTGTAAATCCCACACTCTAGGCAATATTCGCTTCTCGTCTCTGGCATGCCAAACAGCTATGCCCACGGCTTTGGCCGCCGCTACTGGCGATAGAGGTCGATGTTCATGGCTAGACCCGCAATTGCACTTCCTTCGATGTAGCACCTGCTGATCAGTAGATTTCTGAAGATCTGTAGTTCGAACCGTTTCTGAGTATACGCTTAGAATCGCTTTGACGAGCATATCGGCATTATTATATCCTCCTATCATACTGGTGATGGCTAGGCCAGCAATCAAAGTCCCACGCAAAGGAGTCGAGATATTCTCTTCCAAACAGCCAAGGACTCCCGAAAACGCTTGCGAGCTCACTTTGGGGGACGCCATTCTGCATACGCACACGGCATTAATGAAACAAATCAAGAGATTCTCATGGTCAAACCAACCTGGTATAGATAGATGAGTATTCTGTTTGGGCCGAGGTACAACCATAAGCTCTGGTTCTCGTATAATACTCATTTTGTTAAACTGAGCCGCCCATGGAGGAGAAGGGCCATCCGGCTTGTTATTGAGTTTTAATACAAAAAGGGATTCGTTGTAATATAGCGTGACTCCACACCACTCAATCAGGTACTCTATCACCTTGGATGCCCACTCGGATGTCGATCTATCCAGTATAGAATTGAAATAATTGGAGATAGTCTCTCCTGCAGCATCATAGATAGAATTAGATAATTCGCTTCCGAGCTCTTCAGACTCCATCATCGATGAGCTTGGCGATCTGTCGTCTGATAATGAAAGTGTCTGTGGCCTTGAACTTTCGTTGGATTGTACATGCGTCAACGATTGATCCTCGTCATCGCTGTCTTGAATATCCTGTGAGGCTGTTTCTCTGAATAACGGAAGACCGTGACCGTATTCATTCCCTATCGCACTCAAACGTTGGGCATCACTGTAGCCTACATCTATAATTTGAAACAAAGAAGAGTTTAATAAAGAGAAAACGAGTTGATTTCAATTTTTCTGCTGCCCAGATTATTTATACTTGCTTTCAAAGTTCTGTATTCTGTCGCCAGGTACCCACTTCAACCAAATAGCGTCTTCTTTTTCCTCTCGTAACCCTTTATTTGAGGACTGTACTTCACCTTGGTTTGATTGAGCTTGTGATTGTAACAGAGGGTAAGTGGTAAACTGTGAACCCGATTCAGCACCAGCTTTGATCAGCAACCCAGAAATGACCACATTGCTATCTTGAAGCGCCAAATCAAGTGGAGTAGCGCCAAAAGAATTTCGAGCATTTAGTCTGACATTCTGCCGCAGTAGCAAGCTCACAATGATATCTTTGCCGGTTCTCACTGCTGTATGTAATGCTGTATCTCCTGCATCTCCCTTGGCATTGACTCTAACATTATGGTCCAGTAAAAGTTGAATCATGCTCAAGTTATTCCTCTGAATGGCACATTGTAAAGGTGTCGCTTTGATACCATGGGTAATTGCATTGATATTGATATCGCAATTGATCAGAAGCTCCACAATTTGAAAGCTATCGCATTCTACTGCTGTGTGAAAGGCGGTCCTGCCATATTTGTTTCGAATCTCCATATTGACTCCCCTCTTCACGAGTAATTTCACTGCCGCTGAATTATTATTTGAAACAGCATAATGGAGGGGTGTATTGCCGTTGTCGTCAATCGGTTCAATGTTGCAGCCACAGTTCAGTAAAAAGTGGAGTGCCTTTGTTTTGCCCATCTGAATATAATGATGTAAAACAGTTATGTTATCCCGTTGGTGACATCTTGCGCTGATATTGACTTTGTGATCTACCAATAGTGCAATCATCTCTGGATGATCGGCTGCTGAGAAGAGTGGAGTCATGCCATTGCTGTCCAAGATCTCAAGATCCACTTTTCCATCTTCCAACAAGAGGGAGACCATTTCAGCATTCCCTTGTGCCACAGCTGTATGCAGAATAGCACCCCGGTATTCATGGTTTTTTTGCGTATCATTTTGATATCCAAGTGCCATTTTCACGATATCGACATGTCCCGCTTCAGCAGCAACTTTGGTTAATTGAGGGATTGTTTCGTCCGCGCTACCACCCATTGTGGCCTCGTTGTCTAATAAAAACGAAACCATATCGACATGTCCTAAAGATGCGGCTATATGAAGTACAGTATGTCCATCGCGGTTGACTGCATTGACGTTAACATCAAGAGCAAGCACAGTCTTCATAGCTTCGAGATAATTGTGCTCAGCGGCAATGTGAAGTGCGTCATTGCCACTCTCGTTTTTAGTGATATGATTCGCACGATTTTGCAACAACGTGGATACTTTATGAACATTTCCATCCTCCATGGCTTCGCTTAAAGATGATCGCAGATAGGCGTCTCGGGCAACATCTTTCTCGTTATACTCCAGTAATGCAGAGATAATATCCAAATATGCATTCTTGGAAGCAATATAAAGCGGCGTCCATCCGTTCAAATCAGCCTTCTCAGTTTCAGCCGAGCGTTCTAGCAGCAGATACACCATTTTCACATCTCCTCGTTCCGATGCAAGATAGAGAGGTGTTTGTCCATGGCTAGTTGTTTGATTCACATTAGCTTTCTCGTTACACAGTATAATTGCGATCTCATCGTAGCCAAGATGCGCAGCAATATGCAATGCCGTCCATCCTTTGTTGTCAGTTTTGTTTACTTCAGCTCCGAAATGCAACAGTATGGTCAGCACTTCTTTAAATCCACGCTGCGTCGCTAAGTGTAGAGGTGTACGCCCAGATTTATCGATAGAGCTTACATTAGCCTGACGTTTTAGCAACAATGATACAACAGAGTCGTTTCCCCAGTACGCTGCAAGGTGCAATGGAGTCTGGAAATCGGTGTCTCTTGCTTCAATATGCGCATTGTAGTCGAGAAGAAGTGGTATCAAAACATCATTATCTTTCTCAGCGGCAATGTGTAGTGGTGTTTGTCCCCAAGTATTCCGGTACTCAATGTGTGCTCCACGCTTCAGTAATGAAGCAGTCAATTCCTCCACCCCCAGTTCAACTGCAAGATGCAGGTCTATCGTCCACGTTAGCCATACCGGTCCAGCTATACTTGCCCAATAGCCACTCCGTATCTCAACTATGCGAGCTCCTTCGGAAATGTCGTCTTCCGAGGGGTAAGAAAGGTGGTCACAATCGAAGTCGAGATGTTCTTTGGAAAGTCTCTGCGATAAGAAGAAATTGTTGTCTATATCTCGTAAAACTAAAGCGTCGTTCATAAGGGAATGTAGCGAGTGCAATTAGTCTGGGCAAAAAGAACTTGAAGCAAAAAAGAGACTGATATATTATTTCGCAGGACCTGCTGAGTGCTTTGAACAAAAAAGTCTGAGCGCGATAACGTGATAACATCCAAAGCTGTATCACGTTAATTCGTCTATACTTTTGAGAATCGTAAGTTTACTTCTCTACGCTATGTTTTAAACAATTTTGCAAACTGTAGTATATAGTACATTTATTAGTATGCTGGTGTTTAGTTAGAGTAAGTGTCACAGAATAAATGAAGTAAATGTCTACAAAGTGAGCTACCCAAAGGTAGTTCCAAGGTACATGTAGAGTAGTATATCGCGCCAAGCAAATCGCAATTTGTATTTAATACTTGCAATTGCTTCTCGATGCCTTTAGAGCGTCATAATTGAATGCATATGTTGAGCAATCAAACTGTTATATCCCATGGAAGAATAGATATAACCCCATCTTAGTCCAAGCGATTGATTGCTTACTGTAGAAAAATAGCTGAGCACATTGCTGTTCACATTTGGACATACGATGTACTGGCTCATATCCTAATTTAAGTGAGTAGCTTCGACTGGGCTCGGTCTTTACGCACCCCATGACACGATGTTTATCTCGAAATAGCAAACAACTGCATATGTGAAAATGCCATTACTTTTCTATTGTGGAACACTTCTCGTAATACCTTGCATTGCATAAAGGATAACTTTCGTTTATTGCTCGTTTCTTCAATTTTAACAATTATCTAGCATACTGTGCTTTGTTGCTTGCCAATGAGAACAAATTTAAATTAACATTAGACTTGTAGCTTGAGATGACCGCATTGGTTGAATGCTTTACTAGTTGTACGCTGATTTTCGTTATTTCCATAAAGTCATGTCTGATTTCCTTCTTTGTTGTGGTTTCTTGCTTACGTTCGAACCTTTATCGAATCTACAACTCCTGCCGCCACATCTGATCTCTTTTCTTCTTGAAGCGACGCTTCATGATTATAATGAATCTTGTAAACAATCCGAAAGATTCTAGATTGCACGCTCTCGGTATATTCCGGTTGTGGATATCATTGTGCGTACTCGATGCTGAGAGGTTGCCTACTATATGCTCTGTCATCATGCTTTCACCTACCTTGCCGAATTCAAAAGCACTAGAGACATGTATATCTCCAGAGTCATTAAGGTACGCTACCTTCCTGGTCTTGTCGTCATGATTTATGGACTGCGCTGATATCTCTATATTTTGCCCGTATTTTCGCCAGGTATAGATAACTCCTATTAGTGCTAGCTGGTACACGCGAAACTTGTAGTACGGTGGCATAGGACCAGTAAAATCGTTTTCCGAACCTAAGAAGCACATGTATTCTCCGGTGAAAGCTGATTTCGCAAAGTCGCTGTTAAACCGATAGCTCAATAGCATAGATACCGCACTAAAATTTGCCTCTGCCACTAGTTCGGCATGGATGGTCCGTAGTTTCTCAGTGACTTCATATCGATTGCGGTCTCCCACCTTCTTTTTCCATTTCAAAGTAGCCACCTCAGCGGCGCTACCCATGTCAACGAAAGGCACCCCTTTAGTCGCTGCTTTGACGATAGCTATTACTTGTTTTACCCTGTTTTCCAAACTTTCGGCAGCGTCACTTTCTCTACTTGCCAAGTCTTTCACCGTCTCTCGATACATGTGAACCTTCTTTACTAGCCATCTAGTGTGATCTGATGATTCGCCTTCCTTGATTTCTTTCAGATATGCAAAGTTTTGATCCGGGTAAATGTGAACAGCGTCTTTCGCAAAACAGAGTTTGATGGTAGCTTCCCGATAAGCTGGTGGTAGCAATGCAAAGGCTATCATTTCATCGCATATGTGGAATTCTTGGTCATAAGGGATTATGGGTATTGTTCCGTGCTTGTATCCATCCATGAGCCTGTTCAGAGATATCACGAATAAGTCGTTTTCAGAGACTGTCATGCATTTCAAGCGTTGAGATAAACTGATTTCCTTCAGATTCTGTCCGCAATCTATTCTTACAGAGATGTTACCTGGCGTAGAATAATGATAGACACTAGCTAGGATGCTATTTCCAACCTGATCTAGGTCAGTCACTATACTGACTGCATTGGGGACGACACCGCATTTCTTGCAGGGGTAGTAAGGTATGATTGGATTCGGGTTTTCCCATATACCTGCTACAACGATATTCTTTCTTTCACTGCCAAGTAGTTTCAGAAATGCTACTGCACCTGGAGTCAATGTGCAATATAAGAGGCAGTGGTAGCTGTCGTTTTGCTTTTTCGCTAGCATGTAGACATCCGATATATTCCCTTTCACCAATTCTGTAGACATTTTTATAGCCACGATACCCTTAGTATCTAATTTGTCCAGTAACTCACGGTCGCCATTGACATGCACAATATCGGTGGGTAGGATAGAATCGCCGTTGTGAACTTCTGATGTTATTTCGATATGGTTGTCGACAAGTCCCGTCAACGAATAGTGTTTAGCATAAACAGTTGTCATTAGCTTGGTCGAAAGCGGTACCCGATCAGTACAAGTTCGCATTTTGTTCTGAAACTCTCTAAGTTCCGGCCGGCAGTACACCTCTAGGAAGGCAAGTAGGATTGGAGTGTTGATTATTTCTACGTTGTGGTCCGGAATTGTTGTCTCCTCACTCATCAAAACATCCTTCATCATTTCATACAGCCGGTAGTGCAGTGTGCCTACTCTACTGGCTAAGGTGTTATCATCTCCGTGAACTTCATACAATGCATGGCGTAAACTTGTCTCTGATTTCTTGGCCGTGGTAAATATGTTATTCGCTAATTCACTATTTAACAGCACGTAGTGAAAGATAGTCGCAACTAACTTGACTGGCGAAGGGTGATTGTTGTCATGCTGGGCATGCCTGATCTCTAATGTTTGCACAGAATCATCATTCAAAGCGGCTCCTATTGCTATGATGGCTTCCACTACATCGCTTAGCAAATACTGATGCTTACTGACCAGTTCTAATATGTGACAGTTTCGGTTGTTATCAGCCACGTTGCTGCTCTCTGTATAGTGCCAGTTTCTAATGGGCTTGGTTGTACGATATTCATCATCTTCCGGATCACTGTTTTCGCTATCTTCGTTTGAGATGCTTAGTGAGTGGTTTATCGTACTCTTCTGTCTAAAGGAGCTTTTTTCAACATTATCAACTGATTTACTCAGGCCTAACAATGGGTGTGTTTTACGGTGACGGTTCTTCTCAAGGCGAAAGAAGTGTTCTGCACTATTTGAGCTAGGCGCTCTGTGATATGGAAATCGAGGAGTTGTTGGCCACTCAGCGCTTCTAAAAAGATTAAGTGGCAATAGTTTCTCCACCTTTCTCTTCTGTGCGTCTTGCGCTGATTCACCTATCAGGGGTTTGTCTCCAAGCCGGATGGTCTGATACTGCGCATTGAAGTCGGAAAATAATCGCTCAAACTCATAATGTTCGAATTGGCAGCATTGTAATCGATGATAACTTTTATACTCCTGGCGACCCATATGTTGTTCAGCACCATTTATCTCCAAAAGCATGAGAGATCGGATCCTGTGCACAATAGCCACTTCAATGCGCTCGGAGTTCCGAACATCCCGTTGCTCTGCTGCTGTGATCAGTTGATCTAGACCGACACTCTTTGTCCGATTCATTTGCAATTTCTTCCATCTTTTCAATCTATTTAGCACACTCTGGAACTCTACAATATTGACAAGTTGTGCCTCAACCGTTAAACCAATATGACTGATTCTGGTAGAAATTTTGGCCGAAATGCATTGAGCAATCGAAAAAATCTTGTCCTTTGGAAGAGGTAGGTATTTCCCAGAATTGTTTCTCGTGGTGGCAAAACTTAAAAATGAAATATCGCCATGCATAGTAGCTAGTCTGTTTAAGACTTTAGTTCGAGCATCCCATCCCTCGCCATAGCCGAGCGGTATATTAAGGGAGAATATTCCAATCAGAGCATACGACATATCTTCCACATTAGTCGTCTTTCGCGCATCCATCCTTGCTAATATTTCAGCAGCATTTCCAGGACGATAGTAGAGACTGAGGTCTAGCTGGCAGAGGTGTACATTTTGTATCTCTGCCAATTCCTGCAAGGAAACAAGTTCTTCTCTCGAGTCTTTCGCAAGGATTCCATAAAGTAACCCTGCTGCAGCCCCTTCCTGTAAGCACCATCCTCTACTTTTCCATACATTTAGCGAGGTATCCGAGTCTAGTACCACTGCGCGACAGTTTGCATACCATTTGTACATCGAACGGTCAGTCTCGTCCAAATCTGAGAGACTAGACCTATCCATACATATGGTGTCTATCCAAACGTACCTTGCATGTTTTACGATAACTGACCTGATTCGTTCTAACTTTTTCGAATATGTGCTGATTCCTCTAACTTCTGCAGACACATTATCTTCAGAAGATGATTTCTCCATAATGTCCTTGTACTCAATTTCGCCATTTTCACTCCATCTATGGCTGATAAAGTAAACCTGTCGAATGTCAATGCTGTTTACAAGGGTGTCACTGTGTAAATCCCATACTCTAGGTAATATTCGCCTTTCTTTTCTGATATTCCAGATAGCAATTCCAACGGCTTTGGCGGCAGCTACTGGTGAAAGGGGTCGATGTTCATGACTAGAACCGCAATGGCATTTCCTTTCATGTAACTCCCGTTGATCTTTAGATCTCGTAAGATCTGTAATGAGAGCCGTTTCTGAGTATACGCTTAGAATCGCTTTGACGAGCATATCGGCATTATTGTATCCTCCTATCATACTGGTGACGGCTAGGCCAGCAATCAAAGTCCCACGCAAAGGAAGCGAGATATTCTCTTCCAAACAACCAAGGACTTCTGAGAATACCTGCGAGCTGACTTTGGGAGACGACATTCTGCATACGCACACGGCATTGATGAAACGAATCAAGAGATTCTTATGGTCAAACCAACCTGGTATAGATAGATAAGTCTTCTGTTTGGGCCGAGGTACAGCCAAAAGTCCTGGCTCCCTTATAATACTCATTTTGTTAAACTGAGCCGCCCATGGAGGAGAAGGACCATCCGGCTTGTTATTGAGTTTCAATACAAAAAGGGATTCGTTGTAATATAGCGTGACTCCACACCATTCAATTAGGTACTCCATCACTTTTGATGCCCACTTGGAAGTGGTTCTATCCAGTATTTGATTGAAATCGTAGGTGGTAGTCTCAGCAGCTACATCATAAATAGAATCGGATAATTCGCCTCCGAGTTCTTCAGACTCCATCATCGATGAGATAGACGATCTGTCTTCTGATAACGAAGGAGTCTGTGGCCTTGAACTTTCGTTGAATCTTACATGCAGTAACGATGGATCGTCTTCATCGCTGTCTTGATCATCTTGATATGTTGATTCCTTGAACAACGGTAGACCGTGATTATATTCATCCTCGATTGCACTTAAACTTTGTGCGTCACTATAGCCCACATCTTAAAAGTATGAAATTTTTAAAAATTCAATGAATTTTGGATTTCAATCTTTTAGTTGACCAGGTATTGGATACTTACTTTCAAAATTCTGTATTGTGTCGCCAGATATCCACTTCAACCAGTTAGCGACTACTTTTTCCTCTCGTAGCCTTTGATTTAAAGTCGGTGATTCACTCTGGTTTGATTGAGCTTGCGATTGTGACAGAGGGTAAGTGGTAAATTGTGAATCCGATTCAGCACCAGCTTTGATCAGCAAACCAGAAATGACTATATTGCCGTCCCGGAGTGCCAAGTCAAGTGGAGTAGCGCCAAATAAATTTCGAGCATTTAATCTGACATTCTGCTGCAGTAGCATGCTCACAATGATATCTTTGCCGGTTCTCACTGCTGTATGTAATGCTGTATCTCCTGCATCTCCCTTGGCATTGACTCTAACATTATGGTCCAGTAAAAGTTGAATCATGCTCAAGTTATTCCTCTGAATGGCACATTGTAAAGGTGTCGCTTTGATACCATGGATAACTGCATTGATATTGATATCGAAATTGATCAGAAGCTCTACAATCCGCAAGCTATCGCATTCCACTGCTGTGTGAAAAGCGGTCCTGCCATATTTGTTTCGAATCTCCATATTAACTCCTCTCTTGACGAGTAATTCTACTGCCGCTGAATTATTTCTTGAAACAGCATAATGGAGAGGTGTGTTGCCTTTATTGTCGATCGCTTCAATGTTACAGCCGCAATTCAGTAAAACGTGAAGTGCCTTCGACTTGTCCATCTGAACATAATGGTGTAGAACAGTTATGTTATTCCGTTGCTTACAACTTGCGTTCATATTGGCATTGTTATCCACCAGTAGTGCAACCATCTCTGGATGGTCGGCTGCTGAGAAAAGTGGAGTCATTCCATTGCTGTCCAAGTTCTCAAGATCCAATTTTACATCTTTCAGCAGAAGCGAGACCTTGTCAACATTTCCTTGTACTACAAACGTGTGCAGCATATCAACTGGATACTTTTCATTCTGCTTCATATCAGTTTGGTATCCAAGACCCATTTCCAAAATGTGGGTACGTCCTGCTTCAGTGGCGAACTTGGTTAAATGAGAAATTGGTTCGTCCGTGTCACCACCCATTGTCGCTCCATTTTCTAATAAAAATGAAACCATGTCGGCATGCCCTAAGGATGCGGCTATATGAAGCACAGTATGTCCATCGCGGTTGACTGCATTGATATTAGCCCCGATAGTAAGTACAGTCTTCATAACCTCCAGATTATGGTTCTCAGCGGCAACATGGAGTATGCTATTAATGCTCTTCGTTTTTCTGCTATAGATCGCACGTTTTTGCATCAATGTGGACACCTGATGAATCTTCCTATCCTCTGTAGCTTCTTTCAAAGGTGATCGTAAATTGGCGTCTTGTGTGTCAGTATTTTCTTTATACTCCAGTAATACAGAAATGATATCCAGATTTGCATTACTGGAAGCAATATAAAGCGGCGTCCATCCGTTCAAATCAGCCTTCTCAGTGTCAGCTGAGAGTTCCAATAAAAGGTAAACCATCTTAACATCTCCTCGTTGCGATGCAAGATAGAGAGGCGTATACCCAAGTATGGTTGATTGATTCACATCAGCTCCTTCCTTACACAATATGATTACGAGCTCATAGTAACCAAGATGCGCAGCAATATGCAGCGCTGTCCATCCTGTTTCATCAATTTTGTTAACGTCAGCTCCGAATTGCAAAAGTACAGTCAGCATTTTTGTGGATTTATACTTCGTCGCCAAGTGTAAAGGTGTACGTCGATTTTTATCGATAGCATTGACATAAGCTCCATGTTCTACTAGCACTGATATGGCAGAGTTGTTTTCCCAAAGCACTGCAAAGTGCAGAGGAGTCCGATAATTGGGGTCCTTTGCTTCAATGATGGCGCCATTATCGAGAAGAAGGAGTATGATACTATTATCTTTCTCAACGGCATAGTGTAGCGGTGTACAACCATATTTATCTATAGGATTGACATAAGCTCCAAATTCTAACAGCAATAAGACATTGGCTTCTTTTCCCATCATCGTTGAAAGGTGCAGAGGAGTCCAATCATCAGTGTCTTTTGCTTCAACGATCGCACCATACCTGAGAAGAAGGAGCAGCATTGTATCATCATCATTCTCGGCCGCAACGTGTAGAGGAGTTTGTCTCAAATTATTTCTGGACTCAATGTCTATTCCATCTTTCAACAATGATTCGGTAAAGCTCTTCAGCCCCAATGCCACTGCCTGATGAATATCCCGCATCCTGAAATGCGGTAACAATTCAGTTACCCTTTCCGAATCTTCGAACTTCGTGATGTGTGATGGCTTCCCATGATCGGAGTCGAGATGCATTTCGGCCACTTCCTTCGGTAACAAATCTTGGAACAAGTTGTCTTCGTTCATAACAGGAGATGTAGTGAGTACTTTACACGACCAAAAAGAACCCTAGCCACAAAGCGTACTTGATGTTCATTTTTCTCGCGAGCCTTTTCGATAAGACAGTCTAAGGCTGATAACGTGATAGCTTTCAAGGCTGTGTCACTATCAAGTCGTCTACACTTTTTGGGCATGACAAGTTTACTTCTTTACACTACGATTTGTACTTTTGACAAACTGCAGAACGGTACATATGTCAAAATACCAGTTTTTAGTTGGAGTAGCATCAGCGAATGAGTGAAGTACGATAAAATGGGCTGTCAAAGGGAGATGTGTAGGTGCTTATCTGACGCAGCAGATAGAAATTTGTACGCTCATCAACGCGAAAACAGCAGAGAACATTATCTATTCCCGCTCGTACAGTTAAGCCCGCACACAATCTAGCGGCTTCCTTTTCAAGTTCTCAGCACAGTGTAGCGTCCAAATCCAGGTATGGTTCTGCAGACAAATAGTATTCATAATCTTTGCAAGTACTGCAATGAGAAAGGTTTAGAAAAGATACCGATAAAAAAAAAGATCAACTTTGAGACCCAGGATGATAATGGCACAATTGGGAGTTATAGTGTAGCAGCCAGCGGAACCACAAAGATGCCTTTAGCGAATCACAGTCAAAATCTACCTCGGTGCCTGACGCACAGACGTCGGCGGTTTTAATGTTGATGTCAAGCACGCTGCCCCTTCATGAAACATAAGTAGCCCTGTGTAAGCAAAGTGGCAAGAAATTGGATTTATGTTAACGCGCTTTGCTAACATTAGATTCTCCGCATACTTTAGCCCTTAGATCTTTTCCAAGTGCTGGCCGAAGCCATGTCTCAGCCTGGCTCCCCAAGGGCTAAGAGGAGAGAGGAGAACTTCCAACCGCCGCCTGAAGAGACCAACTGTGAGGAGATACTTCTCATCCTGAACGTAAGTACTTACCTCTATTCTAATAACGCATACATCGTTTGAAATTCCAATTCATCTCTCCCTTCAATCAAGTGTAGGAATTCTTCGGCGACGGTTCGAAGGTTGTAGCCGGTGGGATCTCTGATCTTACCGGCTCAGCGGGAGCGCTATACGTATAGCAACGTTTCACTGCATATAAATTTGTTCGTCTTCTTGTGCCTTGGTAAGTACCTATTTTCAGAGTTAATGGTCTAGAAATAGGAAGATCTAACATACTTTTGCTTTGCAGAACTAATGTATAAAATACCATCAAATCAACATCCAATAACGGTAGTTGCGACACAAATAGTAAAGCACCAAGAGCAATACAATAAGGTAGAATATCAAATACAAGTAATGTAGTTTTTTGAGATCAAATTCGTAGTCTTTAAGACGCCTGACGTGAGTGAATAAAGCAAACCTCAAGTCGTTACCTATTCATAAAGACGTCATCTTCGTTGCATTAAATCAAATCATCATGCAAAGCTGTACTTGAAACCGTGAACCAACAGAGAGTGTCTTCTCATACTTATTAAATCGAGCCTGTTTGATTTCAGTTTATGAAAAGACCAAGTGAGTGCGATTTTTTTGCCCTCCATGCTGCTGACTCGGTCGGACATTTGGAGGTTGACAAACTATTTATTTGCAAGGGCCTGCTTTAGAGATTCATTTCTACAGCGGCGCTAAAGCTATTGACATTCTTTTACTCTGTCTTTGGGCATACTAATGTGGTTTTTTTTTGTTATATTAAAAAAAAAAATGAAGCTTAGCGAAGCAGAGACAATTTGATATTCATTTAGTGATATGAGATGGATGAGGTAACAACGTGTATATAAGAATTACGATCTTTGAATGTTATAACTTTTTTTTTGCATGAATATCAAAGAATGAATGGAAGGATATTTTCTTACGAGAGTATAGAAAGAATGAGATTGTTTGAAGAGGTGCGAGAGAAAGAAAATCGACAGGCAGAAACGCCAACTGAAGCTGAGATTGGGCTCACTGCGCAAAAGCTTGGAAAAGTCTTAAAACGGCAGTGCTGATGCGGTATACGTTTCGTACCCAGACTCACTCGCTTGCGTTTCACTACTTTCCTTTGGCAACTCCATGCAGCATCGTATACCTCTTACTCCTGCTGCTTGGAGCAACTGGCTAACATATGAGAAGCCAAGCCAGGAACGACAACACCAACATAACTTAATTCTCGTCTCTGACCCTTCACAACCCGTCATTGCCAACTCTGATAAAGAGAATCAGCAACCTCAAGTTCAATCCAATAGCCTTCATTTGTTATGCCTGATATGCCATGGCCGCTTTATCATAACAATAACAAGTCAATTGGAATCAGATTCTCGGACATGTACCGGCGTGGACTACAAGACCCACCATTTCCACCAAGACGGTGCCTACTCTGATCGCTGCTGTGGTTGCGACTTCCAAGTGACATGGGACTACAAAGACCCGTTGCTGGCTATGTCCGTCATAGAGAGCATGTCTGATACTCGTAAGGTCAATATTTCTTATGCAGACCATGCACAAGGACAAGTAGCTTCTGCTCCAACCGTCGCTTCTGCGCTCGCCACCATACTGGTTTACATACGCGATATGCTTACTGGCGTTCGGCGCAATATCAACATTCAGAACAAAAGCTTCGTTGTACGAATAGGTGCAGATAGCGCTAGGTAGGTTTAAAATGGCCATTGTGATCAAATGGGGGCACGTTCATCCCTTGAAGTGTAGTCGCTAATGATCTTTGTCATAGTACACAATTGTTCGGTACCTTGGGGTTCAAACTTGAGGAAAACATGTTAATATCAACTTTGGGGACTGAACCTGAAGATGAGCTGCTGTTGCAGATTGTGCGCCAAGAAATAGAAGCGACCCTGGCCAGCATCCGCAGTCCACATGGTTACCTCAGCATACCAGACGAAAGCATCGTCCCTCACTTTGAATCAGCTATCCCGGCATTAGAGACTTTCCTCGGAGGTCAATATGACCGAAGAACCGCAAACAGTACTGTTTCTACCAATGAAGAATTCAGCTTGCTTGGAGGTGTTCCAGATATGGCCGACAACGTCATAGTGTGGTTATATAGGCTATTAGTGAATGAACAACCGCAAAATCACTCTGGATGGTTGGATACCCTGGAAAAGATAGCGCAAGCAACTAAAAGTGAAGAGCTTCCAACAGAAGTGGCTATAGAACATAGCCAAGGTGTATTTGGTCTCACAGATGTAACCAGAGCCTATCAACACTTTGACCTTGCTGACCCACAAAATGTCGATGACGATTTAATTCTGGGCTTATACGACATCAAAGTAAGTTTTTGATCAAATTTTTAGAATTCTTTTCCAGATTATCTGGCCATGTGCTTTTTTGTAGAGAGGATCATTTACACCACTTTCAATAGATGACGGATGAGCCGGCCAATGCTAAACATCATCTGGACATGCTCCGTGTCATTGCAAACCATAGGCAGAGTGACAAACTGTTCCATTTACTCAGCTCTGTTGGCGACTATGAAAGACCGAAGAAGCTTAATGTCGATAAAACTGGTGAGTGGTGATGATGCAATGTGACCTTGGAAAAGCGATATACTCCCTTATTAATCTATTCGATACAGCATCTGATGTTCCTGCCGCACCGTTTACTGCGGAAGCAGCATTTTCAGAAACGTAAGTCCATTTCTACTTCTTTTTTTTTTTTTCAAATTTATGTGTGGTGGGTAGCGGGGATCGAGGCGGTGAGGTGACGACTGGGAGATCAACTGTGACAGCATTCGGTAGTCTTGTTCGACCAAACCCCCACCCAACTATCGGTCGATGACCTTAAAACCGCGTCCATTCATCCGATTCTGGATATGGTGATTCTTGTGAAAAGCGACAGTTAGCCTTCTTCTTAGGTTATCTGATGTGAACTAACAACAAACCGGTTTATGTCTATCTTCTATACTTGGGTTGTGGTTTCATGGCTATCTCTTCGATGTGGTGTGATGTGATTGGGGATATACAGTAAAAAGGTTTGGCAAATGGCCACCAACCGATTGAAATCTGAAGTATCACACGCAAAAGACATGTTGATGGAATACTCATCTTCTCCGCCCATTTTCTCCCTCCCTTCTACCAATCCTTCTTCTGCAATGGCTCATCATCATGTATACCTTCCTGGAAATGTCGGCATGTTCTCTCTTCCACCACCTCCAATGCATTCTGTCTCGGAAACTACAAAATCGTCCAAAAAAACCACACAACCCATATCTAAATCAACCACCAATTCCATCAAATCAAATCATTCAACCACGGATGTGACCATATCTGACAACTCCTCCATACTTACTGAAAAACGTTCGATACGATCCAATTCTACTGCGTCTATTGCCTCTCTTGCTGTTGCAAAATATTCCTCTGCTGTCAATGCCATCTCCAATGCCGTCGCTCCCGCTACTCTGGCTGCGACAAATGCTTTGGCAAATTTATCCAACTTAAATATGCCTCCTTACCATTACAGCCCAGTCGGTCTGAACAATATTGGAAATACGTGCTATTTAAATAGTTTGCTTCAGGTAGGAGGATATATACACAGTATGCCATTTCGTAATGCATTTACTGACATTGGGTGTTGCAGTATTATTTCACCTTGAAGGAACTTAGAGACACCGTCCTAGACATGGATATGTATGTAGAGCATGAAGATGACCCTGAATGGGAAGAAAAAAGAATAGGTGGCATCAAAGTCGGTCATAATGAAGTGAGACTCGCTAAACAATGTAAGTGAAGAGTCTCAATTGCTTCGCTGCGGAATTGAATTATGCTAAATTCATCTGCCATAGTTGTGACTCTGCTGAGGGAACTGTTCTTAAACTTGACTCATACGCATCAACTTTCCATTGCTCCACAAGAGAACCTAGCCTACATGGCCCTTACTAGCGCTGACGAAATTGCAAACTCTACTGAGAACTTTTTGGCTCCCATCACCACAGCTCAGCCCTCCTCCGATGAAACAAGCCTAGTGGGTCCTGTGAATGCCGATACCGGTAAAGAAAGCAATGCCAAGCAGGAACTGGAAGCTGTAGCCGAAGAGGAGGAAGCCGTGACACCTGATTCCCAAGGGAATGCCGAAGTACCAGAAGCCATGGATGTACTCACGGAAGAAAGTAATCCTGATACAATGGATGAAATTGTCACATCGGAAGCGGATGCCCAAGCTCCTTCTGTCCATGAGAATGATGTTTCTGAAAATGACAACATGAAGGTCGATGAAGAAGGCGACACGTCATCTACTGAACTGCAACTTGACCAAGATGAAGCTACACAGTCACCTCCTGATGAAACTAATCATGTGTCTAGCCAGCTACGAAGTACACCGTCCACAGAAACCCTTGCGACTACTGGAAGTCAAGCTACTGTTAACGAAGCAGTCGATATACCCCCATTGCCAGAACGAAGACCAGTGCCTCCTCCACCATCTTATGCCACCACAGAAGGTAAAGGCAAGGTCACCGAAAGCACCAATCCTTTCGAGTCAAATGTTCGTGCACAAGATCCATCCAAAATGTTATTTGGTCGCCAACAGGATGTAACAGGTAAATTCATTACGAAATAGGAGGCAGCATTGTTGTTGCATACAAGCTAATGTACGATTTAATATAGAATGCATGGGCAACTGCATGTACTTTTTTGAGGCGGCTTTACGACCCACAGCATCGGATGAAAGCTCGTCTGACGAGAAGACAGATCTAGTCAAGGAACTATTTTACGGAAAAGCCAGACAAATTCTATCCTACAACAACGAGGAGACCAACCAGCTGGTCACCAAGATTAAGGAAGAGGAGTTTTCTCATTTGATTGTGGATGCAGCGGAAGGCAAAAACTTGTACGATGGGCTCGATGAATACTTTTTCGCAGACGATGTTGATGACTATCAAGGAGGCAACTGTGCTGTCCGAGAGGTTGCTGTGACGCAATTTCCTCCCATTCTACAAGTGCAAGTGCAGGTAAATAGATTTGCAATAAGGCTCCGTCTGGCGCTGAGTAGAAAGAAAAAAAGGCTAATTTACAATTTTTTCAACTGCAGCGTGTCCAATTTGACCGCCGGTCGGCCAGAGTTTACAAGTCCAATGCTTTCGTACAGTTTGATGAAACTATCTACTTGGATCGCTACTTGGATAGTAATTTTGATACGCTAGCTGATCGACGCAAACGCGTTACTGAATGCCGAAAGGAAATCGATACTTACAAGGCTGATATCACTGAGCTGACTGAGAATAAGGTAAATGAGATAGAATGGCCAAGGGTTACAGTCCTTCATTACTGACCTTTAAAAATAGAAATACCCCATGCCTGTTGCAGAGATGCTAGAGATCACGACCAAGATATTACAAGATAATCAAGCTAATAGCAGCATTTCCAGTGAAGATCATGAAAAGGTCATGCGCATTTTGGAAGAAGAAATCAAAGCCGTCAAAAGTAAAATAAGTGGTAAATATTTCCCCCAAACAACAAGGGTCTACTAATTTGATTGTTATTATCATATGGTAATGATCGACGAGTGTTGACTTTGACCCACCTCACTTTCAGATCGGGAAAGTAGAATTGAGAGTCTCATAAAGGAAGTCAGTACCAAGTACGACGATTTACAAGAGTGTAAATACCAGCTACATGCAGTTTTTATTCATCAAGGTGAGTTCATGGTCCATCCAACCCAAACCAGGTCATACTACTGTTTGAGTCCTTATGGTATTGCCCTCTATCTAGGACAAGCCAATTACGGTCATTACTGGATATACATTCGGGACCATGTTGGTGGAAAATGGTGGAAGTATAATGATACAAATGTGAGTGAGGTCAATGAGGCCGAGATTTTCAAGGATACCACGGGTTCGACGGCCAATCCATACTTTTTAGTGTATGTGCGATCGTCAGGTAAGCAGGCATCTGATAAAAGTCCAGAAAACGATGATCTCATTACTAACAATGTATACTCAGATCTCGCTAAGCACGTTATGACCATCTGTCGAAAGAAACTCAGTCAATAAAAAACCGCCTTCTACATTTTTCTGGATAGTTCACTAACTCCGAAAGAACTGCGGTCATGACTAAAAAAGAGATGATGGATTACCATGGCAACATGACTGCCAAACGACAGATCAAGGAGGTCATGCCTTCTGACACGTACCTTATTAAAGACATGTCTTCTGCACAATAAATAGATTTTAACCCATGCACGTTTTCCACTTTACGTGGTGCTCACGTTGACTGCTGATTGTGCGGAGAATGAAGCATCTCGAAAAATTTGCTAGGAACAACAAAAAAATTATATAAGCAGCTGCCGCTGGCTGAGAAATCCCCCTTTTATTCTTCAGTCTCTCACTTACACATAAAGAAAAGATGGATCTCAACTGGTGTGTCATCTGCGATCAACATGTCGATGAAGCAGTAAGTATGAACCCACAGCTTTCGTCCAACATAACCGCAACTAACCCGTATCTTCAGTTGGACTCTTCTCTCTACTGTAGTGACCTTTGCAGATTGAAGGATCAAAAAAACGCAACCACAGTCAATCTTTCAACGTCACCTTCCACTTCCCTCAACTTGAACACAGCCAATCGTATGATGAAGACGCCGTTCTTGATCTCTCGTTTGGCTAAGAAGCCAACGGCGGTTGCCCTCAGCACTACTTCCTATCCTTGGGTTCCTCTGTACCGCAAGCGTCATGGTATTGCTGTTGCACGTCGTTGTGTTCCCGCTCCTGTCAGTACGTTGGCCACCAAACCCTTCGCCCCCTTGGTGGTATAAACTCTTCCTTCTATGAAATTTTCTTTTTTGCTCTTCTTATACGTCGGTATTCAGGAATGACTGTAAATATCCCCCCCCCCACTTTTTTTCTCTCATAACGTTTTTTCATCGAAAGCCCCAAAAAAAAGAAGCTCACAAAAAAACATCAAAAGAAAAAAAACCAGCACACAAACTACTCCACAAAAGCATTTATTATGATCTATATTATGTATACTATTACTTCTCATTTGCATACCTGATACCGCAATCAAATCCACACTCCAATAAATAACATAAAAGCAATTGCATTTTCCATATTAACCATCCTAAAATTTCTGTCCGTCTGTGCGTACTCCCCCCACCTGATTCCCTATTTTTTTTACCACCATGAACATTCCTCGATCGTCATCAGGCACGTTGCCAGCAACTTCTCGTCGTAAGAAATCCTTGGCCAAGAGTCTGTATTCATTTGGATCGCTTCCATCCTTTTGCCTTTTTTCCAAACGCGCATTGCTCAATGAAAGATCCCTACCGCATGAGGTTATACCCTATTTTTATCCCGCCAATCTACCGCTTGATCTTCAAATGATCGTGGTGGGCGCCATCTCTTCTCTATCGGAGATGCTGAATGACTTTGCTTGTCGTTTAGACGAAGACGATTCCGACGTAGATAGTATCGATGCATGTGACTCTGATAGTGGTAGTAGCCAGGATGGACGTGGTGACAGCGACGAAGAGGATGATGATGACGGAGATGGTGATTCATTAAGTAACGGTTTGGACGATGATGCTGGTCAACTGGAAGATATTCAAGCGTCTTTTCGCATTCTCGCCTTGGATGGGTTCAAGGTCGCGGTTTGGGATGAGCTTTGTGACGGGGTTCTCCTGCATCGAACAGGCGCGAAACGACCAAAAGGAGATATTTGTTTGGTAAATTGCGATATAGTTCAAGTTTTCTCCTACTACACGCCTGTCTGATCCCCATCCCTACCTTAGGCTATCATCGTATCCTATGCATTGCCCGACGTGTTGATCTCTACCCACCTAGAACATGTAGCGAGATATTTGCATTTTTGGCGCGGCAAGATCAGCATTCAGCATACGGTAAAGCACCTTGAACTGAGTGAGGGGCAGCACTATTATTCCATACATGGACTGATACTTACCCTTTTTCCTTAGCGACACATTGAGGATCTAGGAAGAGAACTACATGCTCCCATCCTTTTTTGGTTTGGTGATGTAGGGCGGCATGGATCATCCTCGCCAACCGAGCATCGAGCGTTTGGAGCCTTGCCAGGTCTGATGATTAAACAAGTAAGCAGACAAATGTGCCAGAGACAGTAAGAATGGAGTTGCGCTGTGGCTGACCTGACCCCCCGTCACAGACATCAGGATTATCACCCAAAACGACGGTTGAAAAATCAAAAGCCCTGATTGACAGTATTCATGAGTTCAAAAAAGCCGAACTAACCCCTAAGCCGATCGCCATAGGCATGGATAGACTCGATGTGAGAGTCCATACGCTAGGAGGCATGGTGACTTACCATAGAGGGTGAGCTACCAAGCGCTTACCGGACGGCCGGATGGGTTGGGTGAACGAATTGTATTAACTGACATTGTATTTCTAGGTTACTCTATGGTGATACCCCGTGTAACGTGAATCTAATGCTACGAACCGTGTTACTTGAGGTAAGCAAATTTCCTTTTACCTCTGTTATTGCCTGAACACACCTGTGACAAAAACCTCCCCCGACCTTGGTAGACTCATTTCCGAGACAACCCCGATAGCATTGTGCTACAACGTGTTCACTTGGCGTCAGACAAACTGCAGCAATGGATGCCTAACGATGAACCATTTGATGAGGACACCGAATGTCTGCATCCGTATACATGTATATGGTGCCTGGAGCCATCTACCTTGGTTGTTTCACTGTTGCTGGCTGTCTCAACGCCTTCTGGTATAGTGGGTGACAATGACCTCATCAAATTGGAGCGATGGGCGGAAAAAGTTAAGGTACAGTGGGGCGGCGGGGATCGGCAACCACCCTCTGAACTAAAATATATAATTCCAAATAGGCTTTCAGTCAATTTAAAAGCAGTAGGATAGGTCAAGATGTGATGGATTTACAGCTCGGTCCTTCCTTTGACTTGTTGGGCCCGATTACGCATGCCATTAGTGCTAAAGACTATGTGGTCCAATACACCCAAAGTTTGGAATTTGAACAAATGAGCGATGCCAAACTCCGCCAAATGTAAAACAAAAAAAAAAAAATCCAGGGCAGTAACATCGATCAAAAAGTTCAGTAACAGACAAGAAAAGGCATTATACCCCCCTCTTGAAGGATTTTTTTTTTCATAAAGGTAGTTTCTACTACTTGTAAATATCTATAAAATCATGGTTGGGTTGGTTGCAAAAAGACAATCGACAAAGAGGTTGGTTGCACCAAGTTCATAATTTTCATACCCGCAAGCAAGCCAATTTTTGAGGGTGACTTTTTTGTTGTTTTTCAAAACAGGACACGTCCCTTGTTGGCTTTGTTCACACCCCATCCCACTCCTTCACCTGCTGTTTCCCTGCTTTCTGTCGTCTTTGATATGATAAAGTCGGCCACTTCCACGCCAGACTCATTGCAGGGTCAAAATGACCAACTGTGGAAAATTATTGAGAAACAAAGACTCATCATCCAAAACCTTCAAAAGGATCTCACTCGAATGACCGCAGACAGAGATCAACTTCAAAGCAAAGTCGACGAATTAGAAAAGAAGGCTAAATTGCCGACTTTGTCATTGAACTTGCCGCTAGATGATGACCTTGATTCTCCCTCATCACCAGTTCCTCCACCCCGCTCTCCTTATCGGCAAAACACTACCAAGGAGCGTTCTCAGTTGGCCACCGTCGAGTCGCTTCAGATTACTTCTCCTGAAGACCCTGACGTACCGGCCCCTCGTGAAAGCTTCATTGATACCGATGCCCAATTGTTTGCGAAATACCATCAAACCTCTCGTCCTTCGCGTGACTCCATGCTTCCTCCTGCCCGTCTCATTCCCGAACACGATGTTTCATTGCGTGCTGCTTCGCCTCCACCACCACGAACTACCTATCGCTCTCCTTCCCCTGTAGATATACCTTCATTTAGTCATGATTCCATTAGAGAAAGTACATTGGGTATGTCGGATTATGAAGACCTCCCTACCCCGCCACCAAAAGCCATTTCACATGTGAGCTCTCCGCCCCCTTCCAGCAATACTCTCTTCTCCAACGATATGATTGCTGGCATCTGTATCAAAGTCACTGGTTCCAATATCACCACCAATGAAAAGGGCAAGGAAGTTGTCTCCTTCATCATCTCGGTTGGAAAGAGATTGGATTTGCCAGCGGATGCACCCGAGGAAGAGATGGAAGAATTGTGGCGCGTTGAAAAATTGTACTCTGATTTCTTGGCCCTTGATACAAAGGTAAGGAAGGGTCCACAGCTTTTAAGCCGTGTCATCATCGCATCTGACCCCTATTTAGATAAAGGCAAGCGAACACCGAGCTGTATCCAGTAAGCTAGGCAAGCTACCTGACAAGGCGTTGTTTGCTACGCATGCTCCTAGTAAAGTAGACCAGCGTAAACGAGCTTTGGAGCAGTACCTCAAGCTAGTCATCTCACTTCCCTTGAAGGATGTGACGGATCTGTGCGAGTTCTTGAGCACCAATGTTATTGAACAAGAGCCCGAAACAGCCAGCGTAAGTGGTTACACTAATGGCTTAGCTAGTTGCCTAATTACCATGAATGACCGTTTTGCTTTTAATTAGATTCCTGGCTACAAGGAAGGGTATTTGACCAAAAGAGGTAAAAATTTTGGAGGGTGGAAGACGCGCTATTTTGTCCTAAATGGGCCAATATTGCGATACTATGAAACGAAGGACGGCCATCATCTTGGTTCCATTCGATTGACCGATGCTCAGATTGGTCGCCAGCAATCGAATACCACCCATGAGCCGCATGACTCGTCGGTCAGCGCGTATCGCCATGCTTTCCTCATCCTGGAGCCCAAAAAAACCGCTACCAATGGCATTGCCAGACATGTATTATGTGCTGACTCGGATGATGAGAGAGACGAATGGGTCGAGGCGTTGATTCAATACATTGGCGTCAAGGAAGAAAGTGTTTCTTCAGCCACACCTCGAACGTCTCGCGATCGGGATGACCGCAAGAAAACCGCCAAGAAGATCCGTAAGGTGTCCAAGGATGAGATCGTGCCTATCTCAGCTGCTCCTATTAATCAACTCATGATTGAACGAAATGAAAAGCTCATGTTCCCTCCTGGTCCTCACCGTTCTCCTTCGGATATTTCTTTGCCTAGGGATGACGCTAGTTCTCCGAAGACTCCAGGCACTCCCAGTACTCCTAATGACAGTCTTTCATCATCCATTCCTACCAACTCTCCTCTTGCTCAAACTGCCTCTTCTGATCAGCACCGTGCTAGTTTGGACCAAAATTACAGCTACTTTACCCATTCAGCCAAGACCGTCACACGGCGCAGTTCTATGATTCATCTGTCGGGCCGAGATGGCGAAATCCCCCCTCAAAGTGAGACCAGGTCAGAAACCTCTTCGCCCGTGGCTGGTGGCAAATCCTCTTCCGAACAAGCTGGGGAAGAGCTGGAGGCTAGTCTAGCGGAAAAGAAGGCCAAGCAGAAGAGCAACCGAATGACGTTCTGGGGTAAAAAGATGTTTAATAGCTCCAATACCGACCAATACGCAAGCAATGGCGCATCCCTAGGACCTCGTCCTTCTACCTCCACTTCCACATCCACCCCTAGCCCCAACCAATCCTCATCTGGTCTTCGTGGATTCTTAAGTCGAGGTTCGAATGACTCGCCTACCGACCGTGCCAACCACCATGATCGAAGGAAAAAGGGGGGTGAAGAAGCAGTCAAGCGACCGGCCAAGCAAGTATTCGGTGTTCCACTTGAAGCTGCGGTGAAGGTCTCGCCTGCAGCAGAAGGCTATGATCTCCCTAGTGTTGTGTTCCGTTGTATTGAGTATCTAGATGCTAAGGAAGCTGCCAGCGAAGAAGGCATATACCGCCTTAGTGGCAGTAGTGCCGTCATCAAGGGTCTCAAGGAGAAGTTCAACAATGGTGAGTTTTTCGTGACATTAAGCAGAGATGATGAATGCGCTTTTTTTCTAACCCAAATTTTTCTTTTACCCCCTCATCAGACGGTGATTTTGATATCCTTGGCTCCAAGCAGTATTACGATGTTCATGCCGTTGCTGGTTTGCTCAAGCTCTGGCTTAGAGAACTGCCTAATAGTGTTCTTACCAAGGAATTGTTAATGGACTTTTTGCATACCATTGATCTTCTTGACCGACGAGATCGTGTCAATGAGTTGGGCCGCTTGGTATCGATGTTGCCTCTTCCTAACTACACTTTACTACGGGCCCTCACTGCTCACTTGATTCGAGTTGTTCAAAATTCAGACGTCAACAAAATGACCATGAGAAACGTCGGCATTGTCTTCTCGCCCACTCTCGGTATCCCTGCTGGTATCTTTAACTTGTTCCTCAGTGAATTCGATTACATCTTCTGGACAAGCGATAACAACGATGAGACGAAGACGGCTGAGGAAGTTCAGTTCTTGCAGCAACAGGAAGTCTTTGGTGCCGTTCAGCAACAACATCATTTGCAACAGCAGCAACGACGAAAGCAACAGAAGCAGGCCGATGACGAACAGCGACAGGCTTCTCCGATTATGAAGGATGAGCAGCCTCAACCGTCTCAGGACCAGCAGCTTGCCAAGGAGTCTAAGTTACCCTCCATGCCTCTTGCCCGAACCCCAACCCTAAGACTTTTGGAACAACAGGGACGCAACAATCGCAATAGCGTTCATTACATGGACGGAGCTCCAGATGCCATTGTTGGACTTGAGAAGAACCTAGACAGTGAGTAAAATGGGGGTGTTTGTCTACTTGTCCGTTCTGGCCATGGCTCATTCAATTTTATTTTTTTTTGCCTTAGATACCCCTGTTCTAGATGAGTATGACGATGATGTGGAAGACATTGCCCGCGAAGACGATGATACTACAGATGAAGACGATGACGACGATGATTCACTCAGTGTTGCCTCTAGCGAACTCTCCCCTCGCTCATGAGATATATACCCCCAACACATTCCCCACCTAAAAAAAATAATCCCCTCCCCTTTTAATGGCTTGCTCGTTCGGTTTGCTTGAAGGCTCTAGTCGTACTTTCATGTTTGGTCTTTTCGTTTTAATTTGGTCTTGCTGATATTGCTCAATCTTATACTCCACAACGTTATATCTCTTATCCTACCATAGTTTTAGTTATACTCTTTTTTTTTTTTTTTTCCAAAATCTTGCTTTCTATATATCATACCTGTTTTATATCGCTAGTGTCATCGTCGTTTTGATATAAACAGTAGTTTTGAGTTTCCTGTCATTGCAGTTATCTTTATTGTGCGGGTCGGTCAAAAACAATATGTATGTACAAAGTATATAGGACTACTTCTGCTGCTTCTTCTGTTTAGCTAATTTACGCTTGTGTGCGCGTTCCATCTCCTCACGCTCACGCTGTTCCTCCAACAGATCTTCCTGCCGAGCAATGCGGGAACTTCGAGTCTCCTCACGTAACACATCACTTGCACCAGCTTCCATATCGTCGTCAGAGAATGTTTCATCGCGGTATCTAAGTACAACGAACGATTAGAAGTCACTCTCACACACACTCAAGAAAAGATAGAGGCATTCATTACCTTTTACGATCATATCGGAACATCTTGCTGATGACGTCCGAATAATTGTTGAGATCCTCTTCCTCGTCGCCGTCATCGATGAACCCATCCAAATCATCGTCTTCCTCTTCATCACTATAGCGTCTTCGTTGATTGGGTCGGAACGGCATACGGCCAGCAGGTCGTTGCGGTCTAGGTCGAGGAGAAAGAGAACGGCGGATGGGTCGTCGTTCCGGTGCTCGCGTGGGAGCAGATCGAGGAGAAAGAGAGCGGCGGATAGGTTGACGTTCACGCACTCGTTCTCTTGCAGGCTTTTCTTCATTCGGCGCCTTTCCGAGCTGTCTTCGTATGTCCTGTTGGATTTCCTCAACGGACCGCAAATCTCGTTTCACTGTGTTCAGTCGCTGCGGAGGTGCTAATGCTATGTTCTTAAGCCTATCACGGACAGAGGCCATTTTGGCGCTTCCCGCTGCTGCAGAAAGGTTGCTAGACGGTCGGCTGGTATAAATGGACGACTTTGTGGGTTGTTTGTTGGGTGTGGTATGAGGCCTGCTAGGCGTTGAAGTAGACGCCTTGGGTTTACGGCTGGCTTCTGAAAGGGAAGGCTTTGGTCGGTTCGGACCAGGCTCGGATGGCAGTGGTTTTTTCTGCAAACTCAGCGCCTTCTTGTCAGTAGGTACTTGCTTCGCTCGTTTCATAATCTCATCAAAAGAAAGATCTTGAACAATCTAAACAGGAGTGAGTGAGAAACAGAAGCATGAAAAAAAGATGATTCACAATATGCTTCATCGGCGCACATACCCTCGGCTTCTCCGGTACCATATTTTGACGGGCAGGTTGTTTTGATGAAGGTTTGCGGTCAGTAGTCTTGCGTTCGGCAAGTTTGCGATCGTTGGCATTGCGCTGTTGCTGCTTCTGACGCTGCAGTAACTCCTGTTCACGGCGCTCCTTCATCAGCTTCTGTTTCACCAACGATTGCTTCCTACGCTTTTCCTCTTCTTCCCGAAGCTTTATAATCGCAGCCTGAGCATCCTTTTTCGATTTCTGACGTCGCTCTTCCTCCTGTCTTTTGCGAGCTTCCTCCTCCCGGTTTCGATCTGCTCTTTGCTTCAAATCCTGTTCTTGCTCCCTAGAGATCCTAGTTGCCGCAGCTAACAGATCTTCAAACTAGAGGAAACATAGATCGAAGTTTAGTAGCCATGAATTGGCTTGGACATTAGCAGTACAATGCTATTCTGTCTACGTACCTGGACATCGCTCATGAGTTTTAGCAAACTGGAAAGTGAATCTGGAGCTGCAATAGGAGGTTCAAATCGTGCTAGGCGACTTACGTCATAGGTAGTGTGAAATTTAATATTGCAATAAAAATTACCAGCCTCCCACTTGGACGAAGTACTGCTCAGTTGCATTTTTATGCTTTGCTTAAGAACAAAATACCTGCAAAATAAACAGGAGAAAATACACCTGCAAAAAAATAATGGGAAAAAAGACACCACTCTGTCCTGCTTCTTTAACAGCCATAGTCCAAAAAAATAACGCATTCGTCTTTTATTTACATGCAGCAAGTACGGGATCAAACTCCTGTTCTTTACTCAATTGAATAGTATCATTTGTCGGCTGTTCTTTCGTACACTATTAAACTGTCTTGACCGGAAATATTTTTTTTGCGATACAACGGTGCGAGAACCATCACCTATCCATATACGTTCATAATCCGCATCGATGTCTTCAAACAATCTCTCGAACTCATACTCTTCGATTTGGCAGCATTGCAATCTGTGGCAACGCTTGGTCTCACTTGCCAAGCCGTTAATTCTTCGATCAGAATCGTAAACCTGTAAAAGCATAATAGATCGAATATCGTAAACAATTGCAAGTGCGATATGCTGGGAGTTTTGAATTTCCCCACTGTTTGCCAAGGCGATGAAATCATCCAAACCAGCGGATTTTGTTCTGTTCATGTGTAAGGCTCCCCAATGGCTTAGACATTTGATGATACTCCCTGCCTTGTTCATCTCTATGAGTTTAACTTCAATGGTGAGGCCAAAGTGGCTCGTCATTAAAGAGGTGGACGCTACCAAGGACTTCGCTACCAGGAAATTGGCGTCTGTGGCTGTTGGTAAATGTTTTCCTATATTTGTATTCGTTGTTGCAAAACTTAAGCATGATAAATCGCCTTTCTGGCTTGCTAGCTCGTATAAAAGCCTTTGAAGTGCCTTTTGTCGCTCGCCGTAAGCCAAAGTCATATGTATAGAAAATATACCGGTCAAGGCGTAAGCCATATCCTCTATCTGTGTTGTTTTACGCCTTTTCATCCTTGTCAATATTTCAGCAGCATTTCCAGGTCGATAGTATAAACTAAGATCAAGCTGACAAAGTGTCATTTTCTGCTTAGATGCTAAGTCTTGGATGGATACAAGCTCGTCGTTGTACATGCCATACAAGACTCCAGCTGCAGCTCCTTCTTGTAAGCACCATCCTCTTTCCCGCCAAGTTTTTAGTAAGGTTCCCGAATCCAACACCACAGCTTTACAGTCAGCGTACCAGTTGTACATGGATCGAATGGTCCTGTCTAATTCAGATAAATTGGTCTTGTCAATGCAGATAGTATCTATCCACACGTATCGCGAATGTTTTTCGAGCACTCGTTTAATACGTTCAAGCTTTTTGGACTCCTGGCTGATATCTTTTGCTTTTGATGATATATTGACGTGTTCTATCTCCCCGTTGTGAGTATCCCACCGGTGGGTGATGAAAACGGTATCTCGTACAGAGTGATCGTAGACAAATTTATCCTCCAATAAGTCCCAGACTCTTGGTAGCCTCTCTTCGTTCTCTTGATCATGATTTTTCCACACAGTTATACCTACCGCTTTAGCGGCACCTACCGGAGAAAGTGGGCGATGTAGAAAATCGGAAGAGCATTCGCACTTGATTCGATTCAAGACTTGCCAGTCCAACGATGGTGAAATTTTCATGCTCTTGTCAACTTTTTGGTAAGCATGCCAGTCCAGCCATGGTGTAAGTGTCGTACTCTTGTCACCTTTTTCGAAAACTTGAAGGATTGATTGGACAAGTTGTTCAACACCGCAACTGCCTCCAAGTATACTGATAATGCTCAATCCAGCGATCAAGGTAGCATGTAAGAGGGTCGAGAGGTTTTGTTCAGGGCAACCAAGAACTTCCGAAAACTCCTGTGAATCGATATCGTTTGATACGCTTCTGCACACATACACTGCATTGATGAACCGTAGGATATAGTTGTCGCTGTTGTACCATTCTGGTGCGCCGACGGCCACATCACTTGGTAATATTTGGACCACCATAGTGCCTGGCTCTCGAATAATCCCCGCCATTTTGTTGAATTGAAGAGCCCAAGTAGGAGACCGGCCACTGATATTTTTGCTATATCGTAGCAAGAATATTTTGTCATTCACATACAGGGTGGTATCATTTGAGGCAAGTAAAGAAGTTATGACTCTACTTGCCCAGGCACTCATCGATCGGCCGAGAATACCTTTAAAGTAGTCAGTCGTTGGCCCGCCAGCACTTTCCATCTCGATTAGCTTGCTCTTCGAACCATTACCCTCCTCGAACAGATTACGTGAGATTGAATGGTGGTATGAACCGTAAGAGTTAGCGTTGTTCATAATTTGTAAATTTTCCGGATGTAGCGTCCTGGATGATGGAAAGCCATGGGTGTACTTTAACTTTTCGTTGGAAATTATGCTTGATATACAAATATGAACTGAGGTGATAGGTATTTGATTAAAATTTTGACGCTACTGACAGGAAACAATTGTGTCAAGATTACCTTCTAGTGTTTTTTGGTATAGAGTTGAAAACCTTTCAATGTGGTCAGCAAGGCTAAAAACTGGTTGGTGCTGCTGTTTCAATGTTTGTACATCAATGGACGATACAGTCTCTGTCTGTACTGACAACTTTTTACGTCTCTCTCTTTCTTCTGCGTAAGATAGAGTTGTGGCAAGATTTGGCATGAGGCCTCTAATCTCATTGTAGCTGTAATTCAAAGTAAATTTGCCGGCTTTGTTGATCAAAAGACTCATCATTTGATTATTGCGTTCAACAATGGCGATATCCATTGGCGACCCTCTAGCATAATATATAGCCTTTGTTATTGCTCCACCATCAAGTAGTCGTTCGGCCAACGATAGATTTCGTTTTTCTACGGCCAAATGTAAAGCTGTCTTCCCCGCGGAATCGATCAAGTTGACATCTGCCCCTTTTCGAATAAGTAAGTCCGCCATTTCGTTATTTTCATTTTTAATAGCCATTTGCAAAGGTGTTCTTAGCGTCTTAGATGTTCTGGCATTAATATCGATATCCCATTTTAGCAATAATTGTGCCAGGTCCAAAAGATCGTACTTTACAGCAGTGTGTAAGGCGTTCTCTCCTATATGATTTTGAACATCAACGTCTATGCCTCGTATCAAGAGCAGCTCAGCTGCCTCAATGTTCTTTAACGCAACTGCATGATGAAGCGCTGTCTCTCCATTTTCGTAGATGGTCTCGATATCGTAAGTTGTATTTAGTAGTACTTGAAGACTATCGATTTTGCCATGGGATATATAATGCTGTAGTAGAGTTATTTTTGGTGCATAGGACTGTTCCTGACTCTTTTTACTGATGCTGTTGTTTTCAATTGTAGCGTATACGTTGGCGCTACGATCTATCAACAAGCTTATTAAATCCGGGTGTTCAAGTGCTAGAAACAAGGGTGTCATCCCGTCCTTGTCTTTTGTTTCAATGTCCACTTTCTGGTCCAACAGCATTTTTACAATATCCATGCGACCTCGCTTTAGAGCGGTGATGAATGTCACTTCTCGAATAGCGTTCCTAGCGTCCATATGTTGATAGTATTCCAAAGCAAACTTTACTATTTTCTTGTTACCAGCTTCGATCGCCACAGTAGCAAGAATGAGAGCAGTAGCCTCCATAGTTCCAAGCATAGCTCCTGAAGTCAATAAACTAGCCATTATATCCACGTTACCTAAAATAGCGGCTCTATGAAGGGGAGTTTCACCTAGGTTATTTGCCACATTGATATCAGCGTTGTACTCGATCAATGTCATAACGACATTCAGTTGGTTGGAATTGATGGCAAGGTGTAAGGCAGTATCACCGTTATCGTTCTTCGTATTAGGATCGCACTTCATTTCCAATAATGTAGTCACCACATCTATGTTTCCGACACCAGCTGACCTTTGTAACGCAGTCCAGGTGTTATAGTCTTTAGCTTCTTTGCTCGCTTCATAAGTCAGTAGTAAAAAAATGACCTCTAAGTAACCTTTTTCAGCTGCGATAAATAGCGGTGTGTACCCTTGGCTGTCTCTAATTTCTGTGTCTGCTTTACATCGTAGCAATAGTGCAACCATTTCTGTGTCGTTGCGTAAAACTGCTTTATGAAGGACGGTACATTCTTCCTCGCCCACTTGGCTGATGTCCGCTTTATGGCGTATCAGAGTAACCACAGCGGCTTCGTGACCAAGATTGGCCGCAATATGAAGAGCAGTCTCGTTTTTATGACATACGGCGTGAACGTTGGCCTGTCGTTCCAGTAATAAAGATATGGTTGCATCACATCTAAAATTTGCAGCTAAATGAAGTGGTGTCTTTTTCTCCACATCGGCACTGTTTATATCGGCACCATGAGATAATAAAACTTCCACGACTTTCGTGTGGTCATGGGTCGAAGCCAAATGAAGTGGTGTCTGTAAGTTTCTGTCCTTAGCGTTTACGTTTGCTCCACCCTCTAATATGGCTACTATAGCTCCTACGCGGCCATGTCGTGCAGCTACATGAAGAGCTGTTTGTGAGTTTTCATTCACAATATCAATATCGGTAAATGTTGCTCGGCTTATAAAGAGTCTTACAATATCACCCCACCCACAAGACGCTGCTAGGTGAAGTGGATGATTTGAACCATCTGCATTTGCCTTCAGAGAAGCACCATGGTCCATTAACAAGGACACAATTTCGACATGTCCACCATCAATAGCTAGTCTGACGGCCGACTGAGACCACTTGTCGATGGCTGTAATGTCCGCACCAAGGCTCAACAATTGCTGAACAACATTTATGTTTCCGCGCTGGGCAGCCAGTTGCAGGGGAGTTCGGGAGTCCTCGTCCAACGCATTAATGTTAGTATTATTCTCCAGAAGTAAAGACACTACATCGTGGTGTCCCTGACGTGCAGCAATATGAATTGGAGTTGTGACCCAAGACGGATTTTCCGCGCTACAGCCATGACGAAAAAGCAAGGACAACATCTTAGTGTTACCGTAGAATGCCGCATAGTGCAAGGCGGTCATATTATCATTTTTCGAACTGTCGCTGGTAGAACCAACGTCTAACAGGATGGTTTCGCTGATGTTGTTTACCCCTTCAGAGGTTAGATGTATAGCAGGTGTGATTTTTGTAGGTACTGGCTCTGGAAACGCGCCTTGGCTTAATAACAAATTCGCCATATCAAGGTTACCTGATTGCACAGCAATGATAAGTGGTGTTTTGAAACCTTTATCCATGGCTTCCATATCAGCGCCATATTGAAAAAGCACCTTGACAGCTTCCAAATGCTGGTTTTCAACTGCAATGTGAAGAGGTGTCCTTGAGTGCCCATCGCACCCCTCAAGGCAAGCACCTTTTTCTAATAACATTTTTATCATTTGCGACTCGCCAATCTCTGCAGCTAAATGGAGCAACGTCGACCTAGCTTCATTCACGGCGTTGACATTTTCACCCGCTTGTAGATATGCCGCCAGTTCGTCAAGGTTGTTGTTCGCCACTGCTCTAAACATAGCATGTTCAGTTTCAGTGAGTAGTACGGCTTCGTTGTCCGGTGCAGTTTCGATGATGAGGATGTTCTCTCCAACCAGAGGCCGTTGCGTTATGCTGAGTTCCCTATCTAGAGGTTTGTGGACAATAGCCATGTTGCAATAAAGGAAACATGAAAGTGGAGAGAACTGTTTACTGGCCTGGCTTTTTAACTTTTAGTGTTTACCCAAGGCTATTCTGTACAACGTTCGGTTAAGAGCTGTACGGCTGCTTTTTTTAAAGTTCGTAATGCGCAGTTCATACATCTGCTACGGCTAGTCTATATTTTCCACTCACAGTAAATCATCAAAAACAAGCTCTATTTCGACTTCTTTTCACTTATGATGAAAGAACTTTTGAACAAAAAAAAAAAAGGAAAGGTAGTATTTAAGAAAGTACAGGGTCATTCTCGCCAGTCAACAAATCCGGTGGTTCGACACGTTCAACTTCTTCATCTCGCTCGAAAAACCAATCAACTTGAATAATGATGGACTCCACCACAGTGTTGACTAGATCGCCATGGATGATACTGCTCAAGTCTTCTTGGTATGATCGCAACAGGCCGACTGAGAATATAAGAGAAAGGTTGGAGGCCTCCATTTTGTTTTCTTCGCTGTGAGCCGCAACACGGTTCAGATGGCGCATAAGGTACTCTAAGGTGTTGAAGTTCACAGGTGGAAGGACGTGCAGCAGTGATTTAATAGCATACATTCGTTCGTCGTAGTCTGAAATGCGTGCGGCGTCTAGATACGACTCATAATATTCGTAAGTGAGAAGAGGGTCTTGAAGTTCGCGAAAGTACAGTTTTAAAAGACCCGTTGCTACATTGATATCCTGCTCTTGCGACAAATCAACATGCTCGTCTGATGGAGGAGAATGTTCAGTAACACAGACAATATAGTCAATGCAAATGGAGCAAAAAAGCAAACAACACTTACGATTATTGAATTGTGTACGGTACTTTTGTATAGCAGCAGCGGGACCAGATAATCTATATATGCCAACACTATCCAAGCCTACACGACCATCATCATTCAGTAATCGCCTATGACTTTCGATGATTCTCAGTATGCTTACCTCGGGCATCAACTTGTTCAATGCACAATCGAACAATTTTGGGTATATCTCGCTCTGGATTAGATATTTGCTTAACCAGGTATCCTCCAAAAACATCGCCTGGCTCCGGTGTGGACATTACCATGTCACCAGGCTTTTCGGCTTTGCCAGACTTGGTGAACCAGCCGCCTCTCGTCTTGGCTTTATCCTCTCCTTTGCTTCCCGAATTGACGGATCGCGACATGGCCGCCTTTCCGTGACGCTCGTCGGGACTTTCAAAGTCTAGTGTCCAACGGAGCAGATATAAAAAGAGTCAGCGGAAGGTGGGTATGAATACGTGAATGGGCATGACATACCTTTGCTGCTACTACGCGGCCGCTCCAATTTCTGATTGACCTTCATATTCTTGGAATTGGACGTCAATTTTCGAAGTAAAGAGAGTAGTTCTGTATCCTATCATCCCCAGAAAACACAATGTCAGTGGATGGCGTCGGCAAACCACAATGTATATAGCTTGCAATATATTTTTCAGTGGTTTACCTCGTAGGCACCTTCTTTTCTTGAAATTAAATCTCGCATAACACCGTCAAGCCAAGAAGATAACTCCTTTTCACTTGGTAGCTGGATGAACAGCTTGATAGTGTTGGGCGTGGTGATGAGAATAGTGTGCTTTCGCTTGGTATCATTTTTTCCCGCTGGCTCAATTTGACAGGTTTCGAGGTCGAAAGAGCCAACAGGCGTATTAGGCTTGGATGATTTCTAAATTAAAAAAGCCAATAAAGTTTAATTGACCTGTTTCAGTCAGGGGAACCATAGACTGTCTGTCTGTACCTTGGCCTTTCCATGGTTATCCTTGTAAAACAGAAGGTAGCCACAGCTCAGGACACACATATACGATTTCCATGAACTAAGCTTCCCTCCGTCTTCCTTCTGAGCAATCATTTTCATCTGAACCATACTCTTGCGCTTAAGACGATCTTCTGGTATATTTTCCAGTTCCTACTCATACATGTCAGCCACCCGTGAAAAAAACATGCCCTCCTTTTGTAAGCATTCCACTTACCAGTTTCTTAAGCTCGCTTTCATCCAGACTACCCAACGTCTGGTCCAGCACTTCTTGGTTATCCAACTCTTGCGGACTTTGGACATGAGCAATCCTCAACTTTGCCAGTTCCTCAACAGCTTCCCCATCCACTTGCTCTTCTGAAGCTTCATCGAAGCTTGGTCGCTCCCAACAGGATTCGTTGGTGATTTCATTAAAGTAGTATATCATGCCACTCTCATCTATTTTTGACAACTTCGGGGTTTAGAACATCACATGCGTTGCGAATATTGACAAGGAAAACGCGGATATTACCGTAAGCTGCCTGCCAGCCGGGAGGCAAGCCATAGGCCTCTGGTGGAGCGATAGAAGATGCCTGAGAGTGAGGCGAAGACGGCTCGGTACTGACGTTGAGTCCACCAGAAGTGTCCTTCTGGCCCATCCCTAAACTCGGTATGAGGTCGTTATCATCATTGTCATCTTCTATAAATGGTCCCTCCTCGTAATATACTGCTTGCCGGTTTGTGCGAAGGCGATTCTCCGAAGCTGCAGAGTGAGGAGAGTGGCTACGAGGAACGGCAGCGTCAGACGTGTTCTCTTCCTCGGACTGGGAATCATGTGAGGTAGATATGGAATATGATCTCGAAGACTGCTGTTCTGGTTCATTAACTATATCCAAGGGAGCTTTTTCTGGCTTTTCTGGTATATGTGGAGCCTATAGCGTTGATTCAAATTCAAAGAAACGTCAGAAACGATGTGTATGCTGGTTAGACCAAGAATACAAGAACTGACCTCCAGGAAACTGTCAGCATCATCGACGTCTTGATGTTGGACATCTTTTTAGAATGGTGTATATCAGCTATGGTGTGAACAGATGTCAGTCACCATGAAAAATATTACTCACGTTCGTCCTCGCCTTCCAACCGAGTTCTATTCGCCGGGAAAAACCCAATTTGGTCGTTGAGCTCACCTGGAGAATGACGTTAATGGAACAGAAATGACGAAGTCATAGTTAGCTTATATCTGTACCTTCCCACCTGTGCGGCAAGAAGTGGAAATGTTGAATATTACGATGAATGGTAAGCAAAGGGGTAAGAAATGCACTACATGTTATGACCATGAACTTACCAATCATCATTGTGTCGCTCGAGCAGTTTTATTTTATCACCCTGTTTGAACGAGAGCTCAAATTCCCCTTCGGCAACATAGTCCCAAACTGCTATAAGATAATGGGACATGTTTTGAATGAAGTAGTCAAGGGAACCAAGTGTCTCCGACTGAGTCCATTTGCGGTGAGTCCCAACGCTTCCCCACCCACCAACGTCACAGTTTTACTGAATTAAAGGAAAGCGCTCTGATGAGATTTTTCTTTCTTTCTTTTTTTTTAAAACTATTATTACGGATGATTTTATGTTTAATCTTGGAGAAAACATCGTGGAAGTGGGAAAATGGGCGAAATAAAAAACAGGAACATGTACAAAGAAAAAGCAATCGTAAAGTGAGAAAACAACCTAAAAATCATACACCTTGGCTAGCTACACTTTCAATACTGGGCATATGATATTGTACATGTTGATGAGGGTCAGAGAGACTTCGGCTTAGGCGAGTGGCAAGATAAGGAGAAAGGGCAGGCGGACGTATTTGCAAAGGTTGTGAAATGGAAGCAGTGGGTGATTGAGGGACAGGGGAAGACCGACGTTCCCATGATACCGAACCTTCACTTTCCGTTGGGCTTTTTGGAGGATCCTTTTCGAGTTGGGATGATGTCGCGTATCGAATGATCCGGCGCTTGGGTATCTTCTTCTTATTGGGTATGTTGTGGCCGTTTCTCTTGACGGTATGTGGAAGGCTACGATACGTGTAATGTTCTAAAGCAGGCGTGAAGGGTGAAATGGTATGGTGAGCACAAGACAACTGAGCCAATTTCGCAGCCATAGCATTCTCTGATGGTTGTAAAACAATCTCTTGGTCTTGTGGCAAAAGTAGTGTGACAGGTGTGAGCCCAAACTGATCTAGTGCTAATGACCCGTATTCATCGGAAGGTGAATAATCCTCATAGGTCACCGAGTTGGAAGAGGATGGTCCAAATACCAATGAGCCATCTTCAGAAGGTGCCTCTGAGCATATATCTTGATGGTGCTCTGTCGTATATTGCGGAGCGGGGTCTAGTCCGATGTAATCAGTAGACCGCATAGAAGATGTGTTGCGGGAATAATCATCATAATTTAAGGTGGAAGTGCCATTCAAATGGCTTGCATATGCGGCGGATTTTAGGGAGATGGTGTCGTGGTAATGAAGGTCGCCGAAAGAAGCAAATTCTTGTTGTGGTCGGTAAATAGCAGGATGGCCTTCCGAGAGATATCCCGAGTAGGATGCTATGTCATCCTCGGACCGCAAACGACGGTTTCGAAGTGAAGGAGGTATTGGCGGCGTAAGTTCAGGCATGGACATAGTATCATATTGACTAGACAGCATGCGCGATTTAACATCCGACATAACAGACGCTGGTGGTGAAGGAAGCGCTTGTCGTCGTTGTAATTCCTGTCGTCGCTTTTCTTCTTGTTCCTTATTAATATATCGAAGACTCAAATTATGAATCATAACAGGGAGGTCTTCCTGAAACATGGTGCGTAGTTGCTTTTCAATCTCCCTTTGTAAGAAATTCCGGACACTGCTCACACTATCGAAGGTTGAACTGATCAAGATGTTTTCCAGAGGGTCGTTTTTGAATACCAGCGTGATGCCCTTGGTTTTGGACACAACGAGAACCACAATACCTCGAAGCTTGAGGTCGCTGATTCTAAGCAACATAGGTACCACTAGAGGTTGATCCGCGGCAAGTATACCAGGACGAGCATGTCGTGGTAGCTGACTTTTTTTGGAGTGCATAGGGTTCGCCTACAAGAAGGGAAAAAATAAAATTAAATACTAATTGCAACCGGCAGAGGCCCCCCCCGCCTAGACGTCTAAACAAACCGAAGTAAGCTTTACCTGAACTTTTGTCTGCAACACAATGTACGCATCCCCACTGTAAGTCAATTTGAAGATGCCACGGAATTTGTCAGTAGCAAGTTCACCGATTTCCAGAATCTCTAGTTCGGGTGGCTAATAAACCGAAAAATAAAAAATCCACAAGAGTGAGTCTGACGTATTCTGAAGCCATGGAGGTCTAGTTAGTTATCAAACTTTACCAAGGTGCCCATGTCGAGTTCTTTAACGGTGATATGGTCGACGATGTTTTTGGGTTTGTTACCCTTGTTCAGAGCAACTTCCAGTTGACTCTTTGCCTCGTCATAGAACTCAGCGTCGAACTGAGGCCAGTTAAACTTGAATGCCATTTGCTTTCAGGCAAATGTGAGAAGGGGGGTTTGATTGAGTGAATGGTTTGGCTGAGAAAAGCAAATAGAGACCAAAGCGCAGAGTAAAGGAGAAAGAAAAAAAATAATAATTGGGAAAAACACTCAAAATTGCCCAAATCCCGATGCGTCATTCTAGTAGGCTGTCCGACATTGCCCGCTTCACACCCTGGTTCACGTTTGGCTCTACGTGATGAATCAGCTTGAATCACAAAGTGATGGGAGAATACAAGCTGTGAATGTCGTTTAACAATAATGCATGGGCATTTCCAATTTACTATTCCTTTCATGAATAAAATCCACCTGACTGTTAAATTTATGTCTCGCTTCACATCATACAGTGCTGACCTACTCGCATATGCCTGTCTTTTGACCTTCCGCACATTTTCCATAATTGAATGTTTCTTGCTACATTCATCTTGCTGCTGGTGATCGGCACAGAATCCATATTATGGCTGGGTTATGCCTACCTTACCGCTCTGGTACTTGAATTCTCCCACAATAATCCCCATTCTTATTATGCATGGTCACCACTAACATCTAACTTGGATTCTTCCAGACTTACGATCTATATAGTAAAGTTAGCACGGATCAAGCTGTTGTTCGTCAGAGGAAGCTTCGAAAACAAGTATTGCAGCTTCGAACCGAGCTTTCGCAAACTAGCTCCCAAGATCAATTTGCAAAATGGGCCAAGATCCGTCGAAAGTGCGATAGCGCAACTGACAGTTTAGAAAAGACAAGTAAGGAGTGACCGGTACTCGTACTTCATATTGTGTCCATCTAACATGCCTATGTTCTCAGATTCAGACATCGCCATAAAACGAGCAGCATTTGAAGTCAAGGTGAAAGGCGTCCTGTACTTTGTTGTGCATGGATCGCAGCTTTTGACGGTGATGTGGTTTAGAAAAAGTCCTGTGTTTTATTTACCTCACGGATGGTTTGGACCTGTTGCCTGGGTGCTAAGCTTGCCTTTCGCTCCGCGTGGTATGTTGCTGGCATATCATTGGGTCTCACGTGCTGCCATTGCTTCTAACACGATTGTAATTTCTTAGGATCCGTGAGCGTGGCTGTGTGGTTTGCGGCATGTAGACGTGTTTGCAAGACATTGGCATCCTTGGTAAACGATTTTTATTTGAAAAAGAAGTTAGACGAAGCCGATGCCACTACTGCCAGCCCCCAAACTGGCACTCAGCCATCACCCAAAAAAAACTAAGACTTGGAAAGCTCAATAAATGCCACTGTTCAATAAAGTACATGCTCGCGCAATGCTATATGATAAATGGAAGAAAAAGTGGGATTTGATATCCGTGATTTCATTCAGCCGGTTACACATTACCTGTACGTAAGGCGGTCACGAGCATCAAGAGACAGTGGTCCGATCGAAATTCCCTTTGGTGGGAGAGCGAAGGAAAAGACCGTCACTTTGCACTCACACTTTCAGCAAAATGGAACAATCAAAAGCATAAAGCGCCAGGTACAACTAACCTAAAGGGCATGCAAAAACAATTCGATCGTTATCTTCCAACTAGAGGCATAATAATAGACATATTGAGAGATATTAAACCATACCAATCATATTCTTTCAGTCAGACACGATGCTGGCCATAGTAGAGTTATCGTCGTTATTTACAACAAACAGCCTCCCAGGTTTGTATTTCGGCTCTCCATTTGCGCTTTATCACCGCTTTCTCCATGCAGATGCGAATGCAGTTATAAATGATATCAGCCTGAAAATGACAATGCTGACATTCAAAGGACTGTAAAATAACAATTTTGGAGGAGGAAGGGGGAGCTTAATTGTCCCTGAGTCTCCTTCTTGTCTGCCGATAATTTTCAATGCAATCGGTTTACCAATTGTAGCAGAAACATGCGTAATGCTCGAAGTGAGGCAGGCCAACGGTACGAATCATAAGGGGTCCTGTTAGTATAAAGTGAGATGCTATAGACGATCACACCAGTTACAATGGCAACGTGATCGTCTTATCAACCTGACGATTTGGTTCCTTTTTGACAGCGTGGATGATCGCTCTTTGAACACCAGACGCTGAAACAGAAGTTGAGTCTGGGGTAAGAGAGTTTAGGTTCTATTCCGCCTAGCTTCCAATATTTCCGTCCCTAATACTAAAATTGAAAGAATTATCACCGATAGCTTCAATCGTTATGTTGTAGCTCTCTCAAGACATGAATTATATTCAAACTCTCATATGCATTATTAAAAAAGTGATCTACATTCTTTTTACCGCAATCATCTAGTTTCCAGCCGGATCCCCTGCTAAAACGTACAGCCGATCCCCCCATCATATCCAGTATGTGCGTACAGAGTGTCGCTCGTCCATAAAATGATAAACTCAACCGATGCAACCCAACAATGGGGGATTACCCAGCAGCAGCTTAATAGACAACAACGGTAAGCGGGGATAATAAAAAGGGCTGCGCACAGGTTCTGAGACTGAAAATCTCAACATTGAAGAATTTAGAAATCCAACGGTCAAGTAGTGAAACATTGACCTAATTATGACCACCAACCAAATGACAACGTTTTCGTAAACATGGCAATTCTTACTGAATACCTTCTTCATTAAAAAAAAAAAGTATTACTGAACATAAAAAATTTGGGGATTAGCTGAAACCTTTTTACTTGACAGCGCAATTCCTGATTTGGCAAATCCAATGGGGTGCGAAAATTTTGAACACTCTCTCTGCGTCATTATTTGAATTTGATTTTTTCCTTTCCAATTTCTTTTTCTTTCTTCTTTCCATTATATTCATCAGAGCTCATGCCTAGTCAAGGCTGCATTTCGATGACCATACCATTATTACCATTTGACCATAAAGTTGGGGGCCATGTGTCTATCTTTCGTGTGTGTCCAGGCGTCATATGTAAGGAGAGCTCATCGCGCGAAATTCAAATGTACTCAAGAATGGTACCGGCATTGAAGCCATTCACTCCATACTACTTTGGTACTATCAACGTTACGTACAACAAGTACAATGCACCTCATATTGAATTTGATAATAACAGGCATGTTATATCTTCGGTCTTACCAAAGTCTAAACTCCAAGAATTATTACTGCATCAAGTCATAGACGCTCAGGCAACCACCGCTCTTCACCAACAGCCAGCATGGCCAAGTCCTAATGATCATTTGCCTTCTCCTCCGGTATCTACGCACATACAGGAGGAATCCCCGCTAGCTTCTTCGCCGGAATTATCATGTGATGATGGTGAAGAGGAGGAGGACGACGACGAAGTAAACTACTTCTCCATACCGTCTGCTACACCTTATCAAGATCCGGTGTCGAGCTGGTCCCCAGCACCAACCATTGTACCACAGAATTCAGGGCATGCCAGCCATCAACAACAACACTACGTTGTCATACAAGACCTTACCGACGGTTTAAAAAGACCATGTATTCTGGATTTGAAAATGGGTACACGGCAATATGGCGTCGATTGCACGCCCACCAAGATGTATAGTCAAACCAGAAAATGCCAGGACTCTACCAGCGCATTACTTGGAGTGAGAATATGTGGAATGCAGGCACGTGGAGCAAATTGAATGGTCTTTGTTCAAAAGGGGTCACTAATTTTTTTATATTTTTTTTCTCTTAACAGATTTTTAAGGCGCACACTGGCGAAATCCATTTCGAAAACAAGTACAGCGGCAGAAAGCTTACCGCCCAATCGTTTGAGCAGCACCTTTTTGACTTTTTGCATGATGGAAACAAACTGCTGACTCAACATGTTTCAATGCTTCAAAGAAAACTCAAATGCTTGTTACACTCGATTTCTCAATTACCTTCCTATCGTTTCTTCGGCTCCAGCTTATTGGTCATTTATGACGGTGACCCTTGTTCAACAAGTGATATTGAAATCCGCATGATCGATTTTGCTCATTCGGTTCTCGATGATGAGATGTTTGCTGGTATGAAAGACATGACATACCCACCTTCCCATCCCGATCAACCTGACCAAGGTTACATCTTGGGATTAGAGACGTTATTGGACATACTCAACCGTATGCAGGAACGGTGTGATTAGACACAATCTCTTCAAGCTTTTTCTTTTTGTAAATCTCTCTTCTCCTGCCCAGCCGTTGTGCCCTCTTCCCATCGTTTTAAGAATTCCTGCTCATTTGTTTGCTTGTACATAGTCTTCACCCCTACCCTGTTCTCACTCAGATACCACCGCATTCGCACCCCATTTTACACACATTTTTTTTTTTTTAAGCTGCATCGGCTCGGCATGCTATCATAATTTGTCCATAGTACTACTCCACGTTTTGAACAAAAAAGTAAAATAAATCACAAATTTTAACCCAGCTGTTCTTTGTTAAAAATCACGCCCAGCTTCAGCCCACCTGGGTAGTTCTTCATAACGCGCTGTGGGTTGATTTGCCTTGATTGGCTTGTGGTGGGTGAGTCGTTCGGGTTACCCAATACAGAAAGGCATAATCGATTCACGTTCTGTCCAACATCATTGTCCAGTGTAACCTGTGAAGGGTAGAGTCTGCAAACAATTGACCGGGGTATTATCGCACCAATCGCACATCTAACGCACTAGCTACCCCAGTCGTAGATGCCCAATAAAGTGTCCAAAAAAAGGTTGTGGTCGCCGCTTTTGGTTGGTACTACTTTACATCAATACCATTCCAACAAACTGTTATGTTCATGACTCGGAAGTTCGTTCCCAACATTTGGGTGAAAGGAGGCATGTACCAGTATGCATATCGTAATGAATGTTTCTCTAAAAAGAACTAGTAGAAGCTGTTTACTAAATCACCGAGAAATAAACATGGTTTTCAGTCCAAGTTGCTGCTGGTTACAAGTAGCCAATCGATTTGTTGCATGAGTCCATTTTCCAAAAACCACTTGCAACACGCAGCTTAGATTGTAGCCATCTATCCAGCTTATCGTCGCTTATATTCACCCTGGATAATGCCATGGTACATAAAAATTTAGTAACCGGGGATAAATGTTGTTTCGCTTATCGGTTGGCTGTTTTGACATACCTCACGCCGTTAAACTCGTTGCAGTGATGCTTTGTCCCACGCAGGAACCCAATTTTTTTTAACCGAACACATGCGCAAGGACATTTCCACTGTCGCACACAACACAATTTACTTTCATTTTCTATGCTTGTAACGGTAGGACAATGCACACAACAGGATATGAAAAGTATAGTGATCTTTCAAAGAGTGTGCAAGATCAGAATGATAGGATTGTAAACTGTTCTTATCAAAGGATTTCAGTCGATGCGCAGATGCATGTCTCGTCACTTTATACAGACGCCAATCGATATCCGTCCCATTACTTTAGGTGATAAAGACAAAGTTTTAAAGAGAAATCCTCTTAGCAAATGGCAATGCTCAACGTCCGTTGATAAAGGCGCACATATATGCAGTAGGAATTCGGAGGGATTTTGAAACGGTTTTCCTGCTATCATGCTAGCTTTTGCCAACAATGCTCCAATGCAATATTGCTACTTTCATATATTTATGACGCTTAGTAAAATGAAAAATATTTAGAGATGTGCAGCGCATTTATGTTTCATAAAGCTCGGGATTCTCGAGATTTCATATCAATCTTTGGACAGTCGTTCATTGAAAGTAGACTATGGCAGAAAATAATACCGGCTGCAGCAATAGATCACGTTTACTTCACCGTTACTGTGTTTCTTGATTTGGGACCGAGATGAAAGCACAGAATGTGATGATATCCGCCAGAAGGGGTAACTTTTCTTTTTGAAAGGGTGAGAGACTCGATCGCGATGGATAAACGTGACATCGCTACTCTCCGCGAAAATCGTCGAAAAAAAAAGAACTCATTTTTTTGTATGCTTCGCTTCTAGGCTAGAATTTGGAATCAATTGTCAATATAGCTACACATGCGATTAAAAATAAAATAAGGGTGAAGCTTAATGCGATGAAGCGTTTCAATTGCAAGTAGTAAATTTCTTGATCCAACTGATAAACAGGTGTAGCAGTAGTACCGTCAAGCAGCCATAGCTTAAGCTGCCTCAAGGAGCGTTTAAGCATCAGTATATTGTAGAATTTTTATATCCTGACAAAATGTGCCGATAATGAGGCCAATATGTCATAATGGGATAGTGCTTTATTCATAACCCTTCAAGGTACATTTCTTCCACTAATAGCCGCTCTGTTCTGGGTGATAAAATATTGATGTTCGAAGTAGAGACGTTGCGACAGTTTATACGCCTGTCAGTGGAAGGAATTGAAAAGAAATAACTTATATCTTTGCTTCTGCCTCAAGCAAATCCAACTGTAGCAAATGATATCAGCGAAGGCAGCTAGGAAGCGTCGCAACCTCCACCAAATGACTGAGCATAGCCAGATATGGAAACTCGCATTTTTAAACGCCGACAAGGAGTTTTGGGCTGAGATGAAGAATGTCAGAGCGTCCAAGCCAAAAAGTAGCTTGGAGCTTGCTCTGTGCACTTCGCTTTCAACCAATTCCTGCATGCTATTCCATTGTATAAATGCCATAATACCATCAACCATTTCAACCATGAATAATAAAATATTTAAAAAAAAATTTCAGCTCTATTTTTTACTGGTGCTTGGCTTTGATACACCCCGGCTAAAGGCACAAAGCCAACAATTTCCTCCGAAAAAAAAATCATCAAGCTTCAACACGAAGACAATGAACGCGTATACGACGCGACATCGAGTTTAAGGAACAATCAAATTGAATACACACTTGCTTAATACTCATGTATTTCGACTTTGAGTCACATCATTTTCTCATAGTATCATAGTCTATTTCATTATCTAACATTTAACAGTGTTAAATGGTGACCAAAGCACATCCCTTGCCTCTCTTCAAGGCAAAAAGACAGGAAGAGAAGGTCGCCAAGAGGTGTGTCACAATATGAAATAACCCAGTCGGACTTTGATTTTATAATACTTCGCTACACCGCGCTCACCTCTTTTCTCTTTTGCCCACCTGCATGCCATTTTGTTCATGGAGACGCAGACTGACAGAGGTAAGGGAATCGCCCTTAGATCAATCACTTTTAAGTTACCTGTGCTCAATTCATATTTTTCCTTTCCCATTGCTGCAATCGAATCCACTTGCAGAGGTATGTGCTTTGCATTGGACTTCCTTTTTTTTTGGTAGCTGCAATGTCCCAGTAACCATAATACTTTTTTACCCTAACATTCACCAATACTAGCTTTACTTTCTGATCGCGCGCTTCCTAGCGTCGGGTCCCTGTAAAGCCGCCTCAGCAGCCCTAGCGACGGAACTGACTGAGCAACACCCTGAGCTACTACCTTGTCGATTCAATTGGAAAGGCGAATCTCACCCATTAACTCTCGAGGAACTAGTAAGTTTTTTTTAAACTTCACGTTATACCTCCTGCTGTCCGTCTAAATCCAGTGCTCTATATCTCAATAGACCTCTCGTAATTCTCATATCGCGAGCTCTCATCTTCATGATTTGTTGCAAAGACTCGTTCAACATACCGATACCCTCTTACCACCGCCCGCCAAAGGCTCTTCTACATTATTGGGACCAGGTGACGCTTCATTGTTGAGGACTATCTCCGTACATAACGACAAGCCTTATATTCCTAGAGCACCACGATCACGCCTTGGAAAGCACATATATTCGCATCCAAATCGTCAAGTCTTCAATTCTTGTTTAGCGTTGACAGGCCGTGAATTGGGAGGCAATGTATTGCGAGATCAACGACAACCTACGTTTGTATCAAAGTCTTATAAGGAGCTAGTGACGCTATTCGGGCATCGATTTCCAATTTATTGCGTTACGTTCGATAAAGCTGGTCTACGTGTCATCACTGGCAGCGACGACTATCTCGTCAAGATATGGTGCGCTCGAACTGGATACCTGATATATACTCTGCGTGGACATCAAAAGGAAATAACCGATTTGACATTGAATGAAGAAAACACCCTTTTGGCCACCACGTCTACTGATGGCGTTATCCGAGTTTGGAGTTTGAAAGATTTTCGTCCTATTGCCGTTCTCACTTCTGGCACCACCGCCGTAAGTTCAAACAAACAGATCTATTATAATATAACTCATAATTAACCCTTCTGAACGGTTTCTAGAGAAAGGGATTTACCACCGTTAACTTCTCTCCCTCGCCCATGAATGATACTCGCTACTTAATGGCGACTAGTGAAGACGGCATGGTGCGATTGTGGAAGTGGGATCGTCAAACTCTGCAATTCTTCGATCCACACGCCCCTCTTACATTTCCTTGCCGATTCCGACTTAAAGATCAAGTTCGCTGTGCGTCATTTAATCGATCTGGAACTCAATTCGCTGTTGCTGGAGACGACGGCATCGTACATGTCTTTTCTACCTTGAAGGGACAGACAAGTATTGCCGAATATTCAATGAATGGTGCCTCTCAGGCGGTGGAGAGTGGTAGCGGTAGTGAATTGGATGGCAATACCTTGAGACGACCAAAGAAAAAGGGCCGACCTAGCTTGATGCAAAACTTCGATATGTCGGCTCTGGAATCTTCGAATGTTATTCCCATGGCCAACTTAGAGGGTCACCATGGCGGTATTACAGATATTGCTTACAGCCATGATGGAAAGAAGATCTTGAGCGGTTGTATGGATGGCACAGCTCGAATTTGGTACATCGATGGCGTAACCAACGAATGGAAATCTCTTGTTCTGGACATCAAGGAGAAAAGTACATCTACAACGGAGCAAACGCAGCAGCCAAATACCCAGCCGCAATCAACTCCACAGCCTGCTAGACGAATGTCAACTGTCGCTACAATCCAATCCACTAATAATGAGACACCTGTGGCTCCTTCCGATACGAATCAATCAGCTGACCCAACTCAAGACCCGTCATCCAACGGAGACAGACCCTCGAATGCTCCTGGTGACGATAGAGACCATATGGGAGAAACTCCAAGCTATAATATGCGTTCACGTCGAAATACAAATAACGTCAACCAAGAACAGAATGGATTCGATAATTCAGGTGTAGCTGGAGATGTTCAAATGCAAGGCCCACAAGGTCCTCCTTCCAGGGAATCTGCATATGTTTCCATGATCGCTTGGAGTTTGGATGATTCAGCATGCATTATAGCGACGACGTATGGCGATCTGAAGGTGTTCAATTCCACGACCGGAAAACTCATGGGATCACTTATTGGGCACACTGAAGAGACGTATGCCGTGGATGTTCATCCTACGGATCCCAGAACCGTGCTATCTGCTGGCTATGATGGCCGTGCAATTCTATGGGACCTGGCGACCTATACGCAGATGAGCTGTCATTACTATCCTGAGCGCAATTTACTTGACTGTAAATTTTCGAAAGACGGTAAGCAGAATGGTCCACACTATATGTCAATCAAATTTTCCTGAGTCCTAATAAGATGTTGCTCTAGGTATGATGTACGCTGTTACGGATTCTGAAGGAAAGTGTGTATTATTCGGTGTTGGTCAACCAACTCAGCCATATGCACAGACAAAGACTTGGCAACGCGGACAGCAGTTCTGGACAGACTTTTTGCCTGTTCGATACGATGAAAATTGGAATTTTATTGACGAACAAACACAGGTAAATGAACTAAAGTCTTTCATGCATGTGTTGAGAATCCTGTTCAGTACAAATATCTTAACCCTTTTTCTTGACCATAGCTTCCACCACATATGATGGACCGCAGTCTTATCATTGATTGGGGTGGCGTCGAATACCCACATCAGAAGCCAGCAGGTTACGGTAAGTATTGTGCTGTGCAAGTAGACATATGCATCTGGAAAGACGTTTGAACTAAATGTCCATTTAATCAAAGGTCGAAATTTGCCCTTGACAAACAAGTACTTTGAATTCGAAGAACAGCAACGTCGTGCTTGGTACAATGAGGAGATGCAGCAGTAAGTAAACACTTCTTGACAGGATTCGCAATGCACGCTTTGACACAATATGGTTGACTGGAAATTTCCTTGTAGGGCAAAGCAAGCTCGTATTGCGGCAGTACCTAAAATCGACCGTGCAAAGGCGTCTAAAAAGCGAAAAGACTTCGTTCATATTGAAGAAGAAGAAACCGAAGACTTGGCTATCTTTGATATTCCCATACGTGCTGCGGAAAATGACGAATCTGACGATGAAGACTACACGGATGTGCAAGATGGTAGTGCTAGCAGCGACGAATCGGAGGATGACTCCAATGGTGGCCTGGCTGCTGACGACTTGGCCTCAAATGCTGGTATTGACGATGATGAATTTGTAGAGGACGATGAAGCTGGCGATAGTGGATATAGAGCAAGACGTAAAAGTAGAGGTCGACCGAAACGCCGTGGTCGACCACCAGCAGACAGAAATGGAAGTTCTAGCCGACCCTCCACCTCCACTGGACGGAGGCGGCGAGGTCGCCCAAAGAAGACAAGAAGATTACAGAGTGCCGATTCTGATGGGACTGATTCATCACGTCATATGCGACGTAGTCGAAATCGACAAATCTCTTATGCTGAAGATGATGATACCGATAAGGAATTCATTGAAAGCGGCCGTAGTGATGATGAAAGCGAAGATGTCGATGTGGTTGGGTCTAACATTTCACAACGAAATGGAGCAAAGACCAGCGATGATGAAGATTTTAAGGATGAAGCCCGTGAGACTTTACCGACTACAACACGACCTATTAAACGACGGGCTATTGTCTATGATGAAGACGAGGATGATGAGGACGATGATCAAGATGATCAAGATTTCATGGAGGGACCTTCTGTCAAACGACGACGTTTACAGTCAGTTGAAGTCCAAGAACCCGTCGCTATGCCAGTAAAGAAACGTGGCCGACCAAGGAAGAATCCTCCCCCTGATCAGGCCGACAATACCTCGTCTTTGGAGGCACCACAAGGGCTGGAACTCACGGACTATGAGCCCACCGAATGGATTAGAATGGAAACAAGACGGCTGTCGCCTTACCATCCTCAAGTAGACGACATTATTGTTATATGCGTAGAAGGCCATGAAGAATACTGGAGTCGATCTGCCTATATCCACAACTTCAATCCTAGACACGGGCCTGTAACCACTTCTGGTAAAATGCTATTTGCCCGTGTCATTGGCTACCAATGGCAAGTGGGGCCGCCTACCTTCTGTCGCTTAAAACTGCGCTTGCAAACCCTTACCAATATACAAGAAGCTTTATTCCAGAAAGCTGAACCCAAATGGCGTAGTTCAGGTCGCGATATCACCATTGACTATTGCGATGAGGACAATTGTCCAGAATTCTTGGTATTATGGAACCGCTTCTTGTCGTCTATGGAAATCTGGAGCTATCTAGCGATAGGACAACAGGTTGACGCTGTTTATGATAATGGCGCTTATCCTGGCACGATTGTAGGGATCCAAACGGATTGTGGTCATTGGGATGAGCTTAATTTACCAAGTCCTTGGGCCTATTTCCACATTGTTTGGTAAGTCATTTATACCAAATTGGACGCTGTATTTTCTTTATTGTTATTGACGATTTCATTTGCTGCCTAGGGATGACCCAACTTCACCACCTGAAAATCTTAGTCCTTGGGAGCTGGTTCCGCGAGGGCAAGATCTTTTCCAGCGCTATGACAATGCAGAGTATCTTGCCGACGACGTCAAAAAACGTGCAATCGATGTACTGCACTGGTTGAAAGAGGAGGAAGATTATGAGCTTTTCGTAGAGCATGTTCCTTGGCATGATTATCCGGACTACTTGTTACAAATTGCATACCCAGTATGTATCAACATGGTGCTTAATAGGCTTAATAACAACTTTTACCGCCACGCAGAGGTAAAGCGCAATTTTTAAGGTATCCCACTGTTTGACAACCTCATTGTGACTAACCCACCACTTCAGGCTGTGATTGAGGATGTAGAACGGATACGAAAGAATGCTCAAAAGTATAATGACGAGACCTCCATAATCTATAAAAATGCTGTCAAGCTGGCGCGCATGTTCAAAACTCGGCTCCAAAGTACGTCTCTTTCACTAACTGTTTTGGTTTCGTGGCACTCCCATCTAATGTGACCTCTCTTATAGATCCAACTTTGCCGCTTGCGAAAACGGAACGAGGTCGCAGAAGTACAAGAACAGATAACGATTCTGACGAGGATGAATACCAAGATCAAGTGGACGACGAAGAAGAGGAGGAAGACGATGACTTTGTCGTAGATGATCCTGACGATAGACCATATTTGTAATCTGTAATACCTTTTTTTTTTCTCCACAACTGTTTATAATTCAATGCAAGATTGCACCCAAACTGCCATTTTGTTTTCTTTGGTTCAATTCAGCAACTAATGTGTATGCTAGTACTCCATGGGATGTAACTCCATGGTATGTATTATATACAAAAATATTTTGCTAGCTGTTTGGGAAATGTAATAAGTAGTTTAGCACTTTGTGTGCACAGATGTCATGCTGAGGAGCAGCACATGTAGTCCTATTAAGAATGTCGTCTGATACATACGCTGGACAGATGGATTTAGCTGGGTGGAGAAACGTTTGCTTCGAATTGTGTCAAAGTATTTCCATGCGGGTAGTAGTTGCAGGAGTAAAATCTTGGATTAAAATCACAGCTGCTCCTTGCACATCCTATTGTAACGGAGAATGAATTACCAAAAGGTTGTTTTTCGAAAAAGAAGACGACGTAGACTGACCAAAGTGATTATTACTTACCAATGGATACGGTTGATTTCCAAACTACCTGAGTAAAGTGTAGTGTTTCAATTTGAAGTTCTTCTGTATTAAAGTTATGGTACTGGGCCTCCTCCGCCCATCTGTCTGTCATTAGTTCCCAAGTATTGTAGCCATATCCCATGTTCTCTCCATAGATAGGCTGGTGTGCAGTATGAACAGATCAGTTTTACTCTTATAGATCATTTTCAATATCACAATCAACTTACACTTAGACTGTGTGCGTTTATGCACTGATTTACCCAGCTTTCAGCGAAGTCTGCAACTGTTGTGTTCCAAACAAGAGGTGCAGCACCAGACATGGCACGATACTGATTATGAACAGCCAATATTTCCAACTGATCTTCTGCACTCACTGTGGAGGCCGTAGCAGCTAGAGATGGCACAAAAGCAAAGGCAGAGAGGACGAAAGCTGTTATAGATAACATAAGAAAGACAAACAAATGAAAGAAACCTGCAGTGTTTCCATTCGTAGAAGCTTTTATTGCTTTTCACTGAATTTTCCCTGTAAATTCCTGACACGCCAACCAATATGACTTTAAAACACTTCAATCCTCTGTATTTCGTGCAATTAACACCAGAAAGGACATGCACTACACGGGTTCTATCGGTTCTTGCCATACCCAGGTCATCATCATTATTATATCAACGAATGTCACTCCGCAAAACTATATTTTCACAGGTTATATCGCGTAGACCTAATTTAACGTGGTGTTAAAGAATAAGTTTTGTACGAAAATGAACGGGGAACACACATTAACCTACAATTTCCTTGAATTCATTTATCTAAATTTGAAATCAATCGCTTTTATTCAGCTTAGTGCATAAAAACATCACACATATCGTTCATTCCCAGATGATCGGTAACATGGCTGGAACAAAACACGCAAAAACGTCAGGAAAATGAAGGCTGAGATATGGATGGACATCTCCTATAGGAGGCGGCACAAAAATTATAATCTACATAAAGTTACCCTTTTCTTTTTTTTTTTTTTACAGATCTACAGATGAGAGGATTAAGTCAGAGTATTGAATGATTCTATCGTACCAGGCTGGTATGATTGCGTCCTGACGCGGAAATACGGTCTCGAAATCCGTGAAAGTGCCGATGGAAAGCTCGCTTTCCACCGCTAATTGTGTATCGACGGGTACGCCGTATAGGAGGTAACTCAGTTGATCAACACCGTATTGAAGGAGGGACGCCACTCGAAGACAGCTGCAGATGTTTTTGTTTGGACATATTCTGATATCCTCCTCCACTGGTTGCCCAACTGGCGAAGTATGTTCAGAAGAAGTGTGATTGGATTTATCACAGGCAGTACAACTTAGATCCCATCTGCCTTGGCGTAACTTCTCAACAAGTATGCGCATGCGTCTTTCTCTAGCAACCATATAGACCATGGATCGGACGCTGCTTATTCTCGAAACGAGTTTGACCATTATGGCCACCAGTTCAAAAGACGGAGAGGGTGGATAAGGAATATTTGCCATATTTTTAGCAAAGAATCTTGTACGTCCTTGCTGATCGTAGCAACAATGGATGGTGATGAAGAACTGAACCGTGGAAGAGTTCAAAAGGCCCAAATAGAATAAAGGGTCTTGAATAGCTGTCGTGGGTTGAATGGTAAAGTACATGCATTGGTTGGTAACACACTGTCTACGAGTGTCCAAGAAAAACCGTTGACGAGGTTGGGATCGTGAAAAATAGCCAAAGTTGATAGGATGAACAATCTTGATAGGACTTTCTATACCGCACTGTCGGAATGGACACCAAGCAATCTCCTTGTCGATTTGCTTAGGCTGCAGTTTCTCCCTTGCATCCTTTAGATACTGGTATAATGGCTGATCTGTTCCATCACGTTCTAGGATGGATGCATTAGCGCTGTCTACTAATATCATAGAGTAATGTTTGTCTTCATTCGCCAAGTCTTCAAAGCGAAATGGAACATAAGCTTCTGCTGGCGAATTCTCCTTGTGACTAACACGCAAGCGATCTCTGTCCTTCCAAAAAAGTATTTCTTTGCTCTCGCTTTTTCCAGTCGTGCTATTCTCCCGCTTTCCATTCCAGTATATGGCTGGTCGCATCCATTTTTCGACGACATCAGTACCGAATGTTTTAAGAGCCCACTCGGTGCGAACTAGCAGAGCATATACAGGGTTGGTGTTAGGTCCTCGATTCCATAGTAAAGGTGACTGGATTCCAGAAGAGTCATTCTTGCCACCACAAATCTTGATGAAGTCTTGTGTGAGTTGCTTCATTTGTTCAGAAACAGGAGAAGCAGGAGTAAGTGAGGAAAACGAACAGTCTTTCACATTTTCCAGTGCATCAATAGTTGCTGGTGTCAGTCTGTATGAAATCCGTGTATGGGTAGTAGGGTCTTTAAAAATGAAGGACTGGTAGTCGCTCAGAACGCTGTCAAGAGTCAATGTCCGATCTTCATGCCGCAAAAATAAAGTGCATGCTTCTTCTAGGTGGGCTGCAGATCTTGGTCGCAATCGGAAAATGAGTGAATCCGTTTGTATCTTTGGCCACACCTTGTAAGGCTCAAACTGATAGATGACATCAAGGATATAGTTCTTCCAAAGCCAAGATCTAACAACATGTAAATAAGTATAGCTACCACAAGTTGCTGTTCAGTACAAACGGTTCTTACCTCAAATTTTTGGCAAACTCTAAAAGAATCCACTGGCTAGGAGTGATAAAGCATAGCCTACCCCGAAGTGGATGACAACGCTGCAAGCAAATCCACATAAAGTACATATAAGCTTGCGTTCCTCTTCCGCCAATAAGAGACATATCATACAGTGAAGTATCTGGCACGGATATAAATCCAGTCTTTCGAATCATGTAAGGTGGGTTGGTGACCATGTACTCGAATTTTAATACTTCAGGGTCTCTCAATTTTTTGAGCTGTTCGAACTCCCAATTATTGAAGTGATTGGTGGCCGGAGGTAACGACAGCGTTAAAATATCATTACAGAAGAGGTTGAGCCTTGGTAATCGAAAGTCTAAAGGTTGTCCCGTTATACTCATCCAGCGACACAAAAGAGGGAAAATGTGAAGCATGACATTGAGTTTGCCCAGCTGTACTACAAAATGATCAATCTCGATTCCCCAAATATTGCTACACATGGAATTGATCATCGTTTTTAAAGCATCTGAGTTGTCCCACGACGTGCTTCTTTCTTGTAAACACTGAACTATTCGCTCTATGTAGCTGCTCAGGAAGCTACCCGTGCCCATGCATGGATCCAGCACGCTTGGGCAATATGAATGGAGAACATTGGACACCCAGTCAGCATCGTCCTTCATACAAGTTGTCCACATGAAATCCACTACTGAAGTTGGAGTGTAGAATTGTCCATGGTCTTTCTGGTGCCTTTGTGCTGCGAACCGTAGAAGATGGTTTGTGTAAAAGGATGACAAGATAGCTTCGGCCTGGTGAGGTTTTTCAACGGTAAAATTTAGCACTTGTAGTTCTTTGCAGATGCTTGACGTGACTGAACCCAAAAAATACCGTTGCTCGACATAGTACCAAAAATACATATCCTCTGACGCGTCGTGGAAGATGTTATCGAAGGGATCGAAGCTATTCATGATGGTTTCGAACGGTAGAGCCAGGAAGCCCAGTGATTCTTTGGACGCCATCAATGATGTGGATACCTCTAAAAATGAAACGTAGACGGTCATGAACGCTACTAGCAAGCAGTAAAATTCTACAGCGTTACGGACATCAGGATCATCAGAGCGAACTAGCTGTGCGCTATTTTGACCTTGTGGTGTTTCCTTTTTTAGATGGGTTTGCAGCTGCTGGTATACAAAGCTCGAAAACTTTTCGTCAACTGGCCACTTCTGCCCGCCTGCAATTATCATGTTAGATCGAATAGGTCGCATTTCGGTCGTCTAGTCCTCAAGCTATCGAATCATCGGTCAGGAAATAACTTACATGGTTCTAACAACTTGGAACTTATCGATTTGAGAATCGCTTCTTTAACGGACATCATTTCGGATGCTAGTACTCCAACAATCAATGAAAACGATATCGCAGATGATCGGTCTCCTGATGTATTGGTCTCTTGAGAATGTGTACTCGGTGATGGATCCCTGGTCGGAACCTGGGAAGAGGAACTTGAACGAGAAAGGCTACGCGCACTTCCTTTATCAAGAGTTGGAAACCGCAATGGTACGATTAAAGCGGATGGATTTTTGTAAACTGGTGTGATGCTTTCTGATGCATCATATCGCGGTTGATGCTGTTCAATTTGACTAAGAAAATTGTCATGGAAAGGAGTCGGAGAATCGCTGCTCGATAAGACTGAGGACCATTTTCGTTTGGGGGCATTAAAGGATATCGATGCTCCTGCATGAGGCGCGATACTCGAATACTGAGATATGATTGAATTTTGCATTGACTGGTGTAGAAATGGAGGACATTCAGAACAAGATCTTGTGCATTGAGGATTCAAAAACTTTTTCGCAGTTTTGGGTGAGACCGATGCTGTACAGGGTTCGCGGCGGGCTGAGTTTCCAGTGGGACTGCGCACAGACATTTCTATAGCTCATAACGGACTTCTTTTCTGCCGTCTGGTTCAATATGACGTCCACTGTTCAAGACCTCGATGGCAGGCTCTGTAAAGTCATCGGCAAATTCAACGGTACCTTCCTTTGTTTGAATGCATATGTTTTTTCAACAATAGTTTCTGACATTCATGACTCAAATGTTTCACAGCAGGAACCGATCCAATGCAATTGAGTTATGCGCAGGAATTGGTATGGCAACATTACAACGCTTTTGTTTTGGAAATGAAACAAAATGGATGAAGGCTAAACCATTATGTAAAGTTGAACCAACTTGAATTCCTACTTGATGATTCACTGCCGTCAGAATATGTCGTAGAGAAGGCCAACGCAAGAGGCTATAGACAACGACTTAGTGAGCTTGTAAGAGCTTCTTCACTATGGGTATTGTGATATGTTGTCCTCTTTGTTGAAACTTTTTTAATTCCAGAATGGAAATCATAAAGTTAAAGCTGAAGGAGCCTCCAGTCGGCGGGATCAACTTCTAGTACAAGCGAATCGAATACAGGAATCCAGTAATAGACTCAACAATATCCAACGCATGGCGCTTGAAAATGAAAAGATAGGAGGTGACGTTCTGACCACCCTACGTGGACAAAGAGAAACGCTTGAGCGCTCAAGAGACGAGGTAAGGAACATATGAGGCGACAAAAATACATTGTCGCATTAGCCGAAGGCCATAGCTAAACGTCATATTGTGTAGATGACAGATGCAGAGGACAATGTGAATCGATCCAATAAGACATTGAAGAGTATGGCTAGCTGGTGGTAAATAATATTTTTTCATGAACGTACGGTAATGCAACTTTTCTGCCGCTAACTATGCTATATTTCAAAGGCCATTTTAAGAAACAATGATGGATCGTATTACATAAGTCACATTGTTAACGCTGTCATTGCTTTGGACAATGAAATCGCCCGTCTTAATACCCTTTCACAACTTCCTTGTTCGACAATGGCCACTTCCAACATGAAACGGAATCTGCCAATTATTTAAATATTTGTATGTGATCGTCGTGTTCCACTGCGCATACGATAGAGCAATCCAGGAACTCAATTTATCATAATTCTCAATGCGAGAGATCACCAAACCAAAAATTTTAACTCATTTCTTGTCATGATTTGATGTTTGAGGTTTCGTAATCTCGCCTATCAGACAATTTCTTGCTTGGAGAATAGTCGTAGTATATCTGCACATGAAGTTCTTGAATATAAACTTTATTATAACTTTTAGATATAGACTGGGGTAACCAGTTAAAACAATATTAGTTATATGCTTTTGGGGATCAGCTTTTGGCTAACTTATGTCACAAAAGACTATGGTTATGAGGAGTACAGTCTTTGCATGGACGAAAAATCGCGATGCAAAGGTTTGTTTTGCGCTTTCGTGATATAATGCTGAACCAATCTCATTTGATCGTCTCTAAGGTCGTCCAAGTATTTGATCACCCCGCCAGGTATGAGCTGATTCAAACTAACGATGGAATCCACGCATGCCTTTCGAGCAGATACCTGGGGATAATTACAGCCCTAAACAATCTTGATTAGCCGAGTTCATCAATTAGGCGTTATAAAAATTCTTACCTTTACAAGAGCTAGCTTCCCACCATCCGCCAAATATCGGTCGGCTGTCTCCGGGTTGCATCTGGGAGTTATCTTGGTCAAGTATGAAAATGCTGATGTTATAGGGTGATGATGTGTTATAGTCCAGCTATCTTGAGGTTCTGACACAGGTTGTTCGTCCAGCTCCAATGCCAAAATTTCTAAAAGGGTTTTCAAACAAACATCCCCATCCAAAGTGAAAAAGAAGGTATCCAGGGTGTCATCCACTGACGACATGACCTGTATAGTATATATGGTGTTAGCAGATGTTGATGTATAAAGTCCCCATTGACCGTAACTTACATTGGCCGTACTGGAGCTTCTGCATTTCAACAATAGCCTAGTGATGGTGGTAACAGATATCCCTTCATCCTCCCGGGATGAAATGGACCAGAATTTCCAGAGCCCTGGTTGACATAATAGTAATTGCTTGTAAAGCGCCAAAATGTCTTCTCTGTGAGGAGTGTTGCTTTCTGTCTGCTCTAGGTATGGGAGTGTGGCTATGATCAAATTTTTGAACAGGCTGGCATCATTGCTTTCACCGTTCCACAAGTCTGCACCGTCTGCACAGTTACCACCTTGGTCCCATCTCTGCATTATAGGGTTATCCTTTGCCAATCTGACTACTTTTCGGAAGAAAGCTTCGTCCAGGGCAGGGTTTCCTGATTTCAAGCGATCTATCAAGGGGATCAATAAACCACTGCGATTTTTGTTGGATTTAGAAAACGGCGATGGATTAGACGTTTGTGCTGGTTTGTGTCTCTTGCTGTTTTCTATACTGTCGTTGACAGCGATTGGATCCTGAACATCGTGATTTTCTTGCTCTCGTCGTGGCCATGACGGAGGGGTATGCATTAAGGCCGATTTTACACGATCTGGAGTTTGCAAAATTTCTTGCTCTGGGTGGTCCGTTTCGTCTGTAGCTGCTATTTCTGATACCACTGGTTCGATGTGCACCAGGACCTCAGGGGTCTCATGAGTTCCATTTCCATTCTTCATCAACCGTTCCGCAGAAAGGACTGCAAGAGTCGCAATTTCAGCTTCGAGCTCAGGGTCTTCTTGCTCCAGATGCTCAAGACTGATTTTCGAAATATCTTCTGTCACATCGGTATGATCGACATCCATGCCCGTGCGCTGAAGCAAGTCCGCGGCGGCTTCAGAAATGTTGACCGATGGCGTATAATCCATGCTGACTTGATTGATAGCTCGCTCCTGTAAGGGTGGTGATATCCCAAGCGCATGACAAACGCGATCTGCAACGCTTGCATCCAAGGACATCAAAATAGCCTGGAAGACAGATTCATGGACAAGTCGAAGGTGCCCAATCAGTTGTAGTAATGGAGAATATTGGCTTGTGGTAGGCGTAGTTGAAAGTAGTATTGGAATCAACTTTGTCAAGTATTTCCGCAAATTGTGATCTTGCTCAAACCATGCCGGTGCTAGATCTTCATTCTCACCTAACCAAGCAGTGGCAGTTTCGCTATCATCCTCTATACCGTCGACATCATCGGCAGACAATCCTACAACCACACACACCAGTTCATCCATCCACTCCAGTAAGATGGTAGCAATTTTATGGCGGCTTGACATGTCCATCTGAGTAACAGCAAATGAACCGTTCATCTGCTGGCGGTTAGCCATTGTGGTGAGAAAGCACTTGAGAAGCGTTTCTCCCAGGTTATCATCAAATTTCTTCAATAGCCGCTTCCATCGGCAAAAGCCTGATTTCAAAGTAGCGTAGAAAGATGCATTATTTTGCTCACGTTCCATCGATAGCAATAACGGGTATACGAATTGCTCGACCGAGCAAATTTTTCCTATGACACCCGCTATGCCATCCCAGCTCATCAAAGTAATGCAGGCGGAAGATCTCGGATACTGTAAATTGACCAGCAAAGCAGGAACAAGAACTGTGGTTTCCGGTAAATCAGCCGACAGATGCGCATCCTTGCCAAAACTGTAATTAACTTCCAAAAGCTTTTCAGCGACGGTCAATATTCCGGTACACCGCACATTATCATCATCACTATTGATGAGCTCTGTCACTGTGGGTTTACGAGTAGTGGGCTGTTTTGGTTTTCCAATCAAGCTGCGTTGAGATGCAGTTGATGAGGTTGCAGCAACACTGCTTTTGGTTATAGTAGGAAGTTTGGAAGTTGAAGACTTGGAGGAGACAAGTGGCTTTCGACTATATTGACTTATGTGCGAGTCATTTGACGTATTGGATGTGTTGGATACAGAAGGTGAGACTGCACGAGGATGAGCAATTTGAGTTACTGGAAGTGAAGTTTTGGACTTTGAGTGATCAGAATGAATCGAAGTTGAGCTTTTTAATGACGTATTAGATGTTTTTAAAGTGGGTCGTTTGGAAGCATTCGATCCTATACTGCTCGACGATGCGGTTCTGCTAGCTTGTAACTTAGAAGGGTCGGTGTTTGCTGATCCAGGTTTGTTGCGCAGCAATTGCTTCTGTGAAGCTTGATCTAGAGATTTGAGCAATCTGGCCGCGAGTAACAATTAATATCAAAACGGCTGTGTGATCTCATGAAGCCTTGCTTCTAAAACAAACTTACTTGTCTCCACGATCCTTCCAGAGAGATTGAAATACCCAAAACCCCTCTCTAGCTGAACTTCGTACCGCTGGAGCTGCATCTGATAGTCCCTTTTGAATCATTTTGGAAAAAAGATCTATTCCTCCACTTTTTTCGAAAGGACCTTTTGATTTAGCCCCGTGTGCTTGTGCAAAAGAACAAGCGTATGCAAAAGCAAACTGTCTGGCTTGAATACTCTTGTCATTAGAGAGAGCCGAAATATGTGACATAACCTTGGAGTGGAATGGAGTTTCTGTCAGGAAGGTGACCGTAGCCGTCATGGAGGCGGTTGAGACCAGTCTCTTTGACAGGAGAGCGCAACGCAACAGATTTTGCAACAAAGTGTCAAAGGTATAGTTATCTAGATGAGATCCAAGGTAACTTCCTAAATCTGCTATCAATGCAAGGGTTGCCAATGATAGTGTAGTTCGCAAGCTTTGAAGCTAGCGAGAAGAGGGGTTAGCGACTGAGGGACTTTGGCAGCAAGTGTTTCGGCTAAACTACGGTCACTCACGCCTTTGAGGATTGCATCTGTCAAGTTGTGTATGTCATGAGCGAACTCATCGGGCCAAGTTTGACTAGCGTTTCCGTGAAGTATTGCTCGAAGTCGTATTATGGAGGATTCTCGGGCTTCCCAGTTGAATTCCGATTCTTTGTCTTTGAAGTGGGTTTGTATCGCTGCAGCTTCCGCGTGAAGATCATGTAGGCTTGCAATCTACTTGTTTGGTAGTTGGTTGATCAGATGGTATTTTTGAACCGATCAGGAGGAGTAAAGGGCTTACCTCTATTGCTGCTGGGGTATCGGTAGTTGCCATCACCTTGATAATGACAGTTGTACAACAGGTCAAAGTAAAAGAGTACCTGAGACGGCTTTTGAATAAGTACAGCGAGCGATTCAGACCCAGAAGTACAACCCTCTTATTCGCGAAAATAACAAACAAGAAGAAGCTCACAAGCTTTTTTTGTTTACAGCAGTGAATTCTAGAGCAATCACCCTTCATGTTTTCCTCCATTAATTGTATTATACTACAACAATTTTGTCATTTTTCTTCTATGAGTTGCATGTTGCTATCTTTCGATTTACAAATAGAATGGAATGCATAGTCTTTTCGATACAAATTCCTATACAATGCGAGCTCAAGCATTTATGGAAGTAGAGCAGTTTTACGTATAAATCATTACTCAGTGCAGGAACGAAGAGAGAAGACTACTCAGTCATCATGAATGATCTTGCACAGCAGCTATAAATCGTATAATATGAGCAATTAAACTTGTGCTTAGTGTAATATTACTTTCCATTACTGATCATGAAGAAATAATTCTGGGTATGTAAAATATTTCTTTTAAATGCTATGTCTTCAAAAATGAGAAGCTTTTACTTCACTGTATTTATGCAAAGAGCACATATTGCGCCAACAAAATATGTCCTATCATTCAAGGTTTTTTTTGTTATTGCAAGGCAAACGTCTTTGAGATTCTTTGTTAGAAAGTGATGACATTTACAGCCATTACAATGAAACTGTTAGGCTTGAAGCGATCTTAGGCAGACAGCAACTTCTTACAATAATCCAAAAAAAAGATGCATAACGAACCGTACTAATTTTTAGAGCGGTGTATTAAGATCATTAAGAAAACCACTTTATCATCATTATTAAAAGTGTGTACCAAGACACCTTTTTAACTCAAATTCACTGATGGATTATTGAAGGACAGATGTCTAATTCTCTCACTACCGCATTCTTTATACTACTTCAAATTTCATTAAATTGAATGAATAGCTTGTTACTTTAACTCTCAAGCAGGAGGAAAAGTATTTCTTTTAGTCCCACGCACAATACAAAAAAATCCTCGAACAAGCAAAGCGCGGCAAGAAAGTGCTAAACCACGTGACGGCTCCATCAGTATGCGCTCTTAGCGTTCAGGTCCGCTTGCCTGACAGTTGAAGCGACACCCAATCCCGCCAAATGCCACCAGCAACAGCAGATGCTGTAACTGGTATTCCCGATGCATTTGTGTTTGATGAGAAAAAGCTTGCGGCAGCCGGGACAGTAGAAAAGCAAGAACTTTTCGTCTTCCAGTGGCTGTCACATGTTGAACATGAGAGCAAACTGATCGATGTCGTAAGTCAACCGCTCCAACCTGCACATCTAACCTGTGCAATGCAATCTAACTCTAGAAAATAGGAAATACTAAAGAAAGCTCAACCAAAACTCGAAAAGACACTGTTGAGCTTTGTTACTCTGGCTAGCCCTAAGCCAAGGCGGCCCATTCGGTGTTTAATTGGGAGATGCTTTATACTGCTGTATACTCGAGCTGAGACTCGTACTATGTTTGATACCGTGGTAACTCTGCACGGAATTGCAAGTGCGGGGAAAAATGTCGAGAAAGAGGCTAAAATGTATGGATTGATGAATGGAACGAACGCGAAGCAGTTTTAACGATTTGAGCTGGGCATTGACATTTTCTTTTTTTGTAGTGCCGCAATAACGACTATTGGTACAATCATGGGGACACTGGGAAGTAATATTCTCTCTCTCTTCACGGAAACTGCCAATATACTGTTAAAAGTATTGAAGAACAGCAATGTAAAGTACTTGCCTTAAGTGGATCATTTTTACATAACTCGCCACTGACGCCTTCATCACTTTATGACAACAGAATTCGCTCTTGATGCGTTTAGAAGCACTTAATGCGTTTACGCTGTTGCTGAAGGGTGCAGGAAAAGCGGCTGCTGACCCAACGCTGAAGGATCTACATAAATTTTTGAAGGCCGCTTTGCCCGACAAAGCTCAAGTCATACGAGTAGCGGCTGCTCAGGTTTGAACTATCTCAAAGGGTAAAAAAATGAACCGGTTTTCAGTTTTCTAAATTGACTATTGCAGTGTTTACAAGCATGTGTTCAACATGCACCTCAAACTCTGACGCTTAGTGACATTGAGCAAATGCTCCAGGCACTTTTCAAGGCGTTGGAAGGATCAACATTTCCAGTTCGACGAGCGGTATCCTCTACTCTTTCCGCCATATTGGCGTTCACACAACTAAAGGCTACCACTGATCCCAATAAGCCTACTGTTAAACGTATATCGACAGCTGTTGCAACTGATGGATCGACACCGGAAGATATTGCATCGAAAGAAACGACGTTGCTATCGATGGAGCAAATGTTGATGCAACTGTCATCGGCATATAATCGCCTAACCGCTCCAAAAGAACTCAAGGCTGGTATTATTGAGACATATGCAGCATTATTTATTCAGCTTGGAACGAGATTTGTTGAAAGCAACTATGCCGCTATCGTTAAGCATCTATTCACTGAGCTGCTTGGAAATTTGCGAAATATTATCAATCAGTCGGATGCCGCTTTTGTTCGAGAAGAGGTTTTCTTTCTGCTCAATGACGTTATTGGTCGGAGGTTGCTTAGCGAGCAGGGTCAAGCAAGTGCTGTCGACGTACTTATCAACGAATGGGTTAAGGCGTGGCCTGCGTTAATGCCGAATCAAGTTGCGCCAAATAAGCAGGCATTGATTACAGCCGTCAACCTGGTGTCGAGCCTCGTTTCCGAATTAGGAGGAGCAGTCCTTCCAGTTGAGCCAATCCTAATCAATCCGCTCATCACCTTGCTATCTTATCCCAGTTTTGCTGTTCAAGCTGCGTCAGCCTGGTGCTTACGATGCGTTTGCACTGCTTTACCAACAAACTTAGGCACAGTCTTGCCTACTCTTTTCGGACTTTTGGAGAAAGATTTGAGCAACTTGTCGAATGCCAGCGCGAAAACTGACTTATTTCGACGAACCATTGGGCATGTTCATGCTGTTGCTTCTGTGATGAGCGTATTTCCAACAAAACCTATCTACACGTCATTTGACCTGAGCCAGCGAGCATCTTCTTTGGCAAAGCAGCTGCTGGATAGAACACACAAGGATCCTGCCATCGCTAGCGTACAGGTACAGGTAGCGTGGACACTGATAAGCGCCTTGATGGGACTTGGTCCCAACATTGTCAAGTTGCATTTGCCTCAACTTCTTTTGATGTGGAGAAATGCGTTACCCAAACCTACAGGAAAGGAGTCGAATTCCATTCGAAACGAAGCCGAGTGGTCGTTCATCCTTCATCAGAAGGAATGTGTCATCACGTCTATTTTGAGCTTCTTGAAGCACAATTCGAAATCCCTTGTTACGTTGGAAATCGCAAAACGAATATCAGCTCTTTTAAGCAACACTCTTGCTTTCCTTACAACCGCACCGCTGGATTATGCTCCGACTACTCTATCGCCTTGCTTACCCTTTGAAACAAAGCTTACCGATCAGAATTATCTATTGAGAAAGCGTATCTTTGAATGCTTTGTTGCCATCAAACCATCTTCGATCTACGAGTCACTGTTCTCCAGTCTTCTTCGCAATTCCGTCTCTGTATTTGCCTCGCCTGAAAAGATTATACCGTCTTCAGGCGCTCAAGTTCATGTCACCGCTGCTGTACCCGGCCAATATGTCAGCATCTGGAACAACTCAGACGGTCATGGTTTTGGTGTGACATCCAAACTAGGGGGTTACTCGGCTAATGTTGCAGCTTTAGCAACTGCTCATGAGCAAGACGAGAATCGAAGTAAGGATTGGATGACAAGGGATAGATACAGAAAAATCGAGCAACAACTGGAACAACCGATCATGGGATCTTTGGAATTAGATTCACTCTACATCTACTCTACACTGAATTCAAGCCGCAAATCCACACCTCGACCAGTTTCACCATCCACATCTTACATTGATGCTAGTGTCGAACTCTTTGCTACACTCTTTCCATTCCAGTCTCCTCCTGTTCAGGAAGCTATCTTAGAGCAAATTATCAAGTTAATGAAAGAGCAGAAAGGCGATAAGAACTCGCCAAAGAAGATGGCCGTCTTGGTCAATGTGGTTGTTGCTCTACTGGGGGCTTTTAGAAATATCACAACTGGAGGCAAGAAAGGAGAAGGCGCTAAAACCACCATTGCAAGTGGTCGCACAGCTCAAATTTGCCAGGAGATATTACAAGAAGCTATAGTTCATCCTGATCCCTACTTGCGTAATGCTGCCAGTGATGCCTTGGGTCGACTTGTGAATGTCATTGGTGGCTCACTTATGTCTAGCCAAATACAATACTTGGTTGACTTGGTGGTCAACAACAGAGATCCTGATGCGCGTGCCGGTTGCTCACTTGCTTTAGGCTACATATATAGTCACGTCGGAGGTATGGCCGCTGGAAATCATCTCAAAACCATTGTTGGTATCTTGCTCTCCCTCAGCAGTGATCCACATCCTGTGGTACATTGTTGGGCACTGGAATCCTTGACTATGACCATTAGCGCTGCAAGTTTGATGTTCTCAGGCTATGTGAGCAGTACTCTCGGCCTAGTTGCGAAGCTTTATTTGGTGGAGACACATGAGCCTGGTGGTGGATCTACAGCTGTTTCCAATGCTGGTATGGCCATCGGCTTTACTGCTTATCAAGAGTTTGGTAGAATTATCTATGAACTGGTTGGTACTCTCGGACCCGAGCTGCAGGCTATATCCAAGGTTCGAGAATTATGCATGAACATTGTAGAGGAACTCAAACTGGAGCCCGATGAGCGTGTAAATATGGAGGCCATCCGTTGTACACAACAGTTCATCATGTTTGCGCAGTCTTATGTCGACCTCAAATTGCTAGTGCCATATCTTCAGGTTCAACTCTCAAGCTTCCATCTTCCTCTCAAAAAAGCAGCAGTGACTTGCCTTTACCAGCTTGTCCAGCGCAATGCCGAAGCTGTTTTCAGAACCGCTACTCCTGGGCTTGACACAGAATTGTTTAGTATGCTTGATACTGAGCCAAGTCTTATCGATGTGAAGGATGTTATTCGCAGCTGGTTGAAGGAAACAGCCGTCAAGCAACCATCGGTTTGGGTCAATATTACCAAACAAGTTCTATCTGGAGCAGTTACCAGTGCTTCGATCTCCAAAGGTGCTGACACGAGAAAGTCTGTGGATGAAATCAATATTGCCGACAATTTCGATGACGATTTTGAAGATGAAGGTGCTGAAGACTTCAATGACGAAGATGGCAACGCCGATATTACTACCACAGTGGCTGATTCTTCACTTGGACCTCAAACCTCCATTATTGCCAACGTAGACATACCTCCCAGATGGCGCACTCAGTTGTTCTCTCTGCTTTGTCTTCAGGAATGCATAGAGTTGATATCAGCATCTGGCGGCAGGGAGCATTTCGACTTGATTCTGGCACGAAGAAAGCGTCAGCAGGCTGGTGTTGGCGACTTCCTTGTGTTCCGGGTTGGTGATCTCATTAAGCTGTCGTTTACAGCAGCAACTGCTCCGGTCAACGACCTTCGTCTTGTTGGTATCAACTTACTTAGAACTGTTATTGAGGTAAATATTCGTTTTTGATTGGAGACTCAGCTTTTTTCATTTGGGTATTGATCCGTCTGCTTTGTGTAGAAATTCGCTGCTACTGCTGATCCAGACTTGGAAGGAACTCTCCTGCTGGAACAATATGCTGCACAAATTGGTGCAGCACTCACACCAGCATTTGCTGCTGACTCATCTTCTGAAATTGTTTCGGCCGCTGTTCGTGTGTGTGCTGTTTACGTTGGTAGTGGCATTGTCAAAGATCTTTACCAACTTGGTCGTGTGCTCAAATTATTGACATCAGCACTGGATAAATGCAAGGACGACGCCGATATCACCCGAGTTGGTGAAATTAAAGATATCAGTCCACATGCATCCATCATGGTCAAGCTTTCGGTTCTGAATGCTTGGGCTGAACTTCAAGTTGCTACTGTCCATCAAGATTACTTACGCCAGGTGGTGCAGCCCAACTTACCTGTACTAAGCCCACTTTGGCTTTCGTCTTTGAAAGACTATGCTCGCATCAGACTGGAAAGTGATATCTTGGCGCTGGCAACTGGCAGCGAAGGTGTGAAAGCTACTTCAGCAGGTGGAATCGACTCCATGTATTCGGCTGCTACCAAAGAAATTACACTACCGGTAAGTAACTTGTCAATTTTAAGAGATTTCATATTTGATGATGCTGCTATCGTTGCACTTGAGATCGTTCTCACCCTTTATTCATAAATTTCATAGTTCTATCGAAAGTCTTGGTTAAAGATTATGGGAGCAGTTGCAACATTGATGGAAAGCCGAGAACCATCCATGATGAATGCTTTGGCTGAGAATGATAGATCTGGCCAAGATAGTCCTCCAAATGAGCAAGGATCACCACTATTCTACGTCCTTTTCGGCCTGTGCATTGAAAGCTTGGCCCGAGTGTCTAGTTCCAGTGGCTCACGTTCAGACTCCACCATGACACTCAGCATATGCTTGAACTCTCTCAAAACATTTATCCACCCATCTCTTGCCGGGCCTAACTTCGTTCCAAAGGCGGTTTTCTTGGAGCTTATGAATGTTTTTGATCGACTCGTGCAAACCGAAGGTACACAGGTGCAGCTGGAGATTGTAAATATCACAGAACGTATTGTCAATGAGTACGGTAGCAAGTACATTTGCGATGATTTGGACGCTGACGGGTAAGCTACGCCTTTGACTTTTTACGGTCACTGACTTCATGCTAACACTAATCTCTATGCTAGCCTTGAGGTGTCGGACTTCGAGGCGCTAGACCGAGCACTGGATCCCGACTCGTTCCCAACTAATGCAAAGTTGTATTACCTCTTCCGTCTACTTATCACCATATTCGTTCAAAAGATACCCTCTTTGTCGTCACGCCAAACGCAGAAAAGTAAGTTCCTGCATTAAATAACCTCAGGGGGGAATGAGTTCTGACTCTTTTCTATTGTTTTTGCAGAAAATGTACCACAAAGTTTGGATCCAGCTACAGTTGCTGTGCTAAGTGTTTGTCTAGATACTTTAGGCTCACTTGTTTCAATTGCACCTGCAAGCTACAAATGCGACCTTTTTGCCATTTGTCTATATATCTACTCAGGTCAGTCACGCTGAAGCCATGGCTTACATACAAAAACACCATCTAACGCACATTACAGAAGCTTTACAACGTGAGCAATATCAATTGACACTTGCTCCAAAGTGTCTGCTGTCGCTCAAAAATGTCTTGGAGGGCTTGGAACCTAGCTTGGCCGCCAACTATATTCCAAGATTGTGTCGCGTCACTGGTGCCATGATACATACGTTACTTGACGATATGACGCAGAATTTGATTCGGTAGGTTAAGCGAATGATGAGAGTCTCGGTGATCCTTCCTTCTGACGCATATTGAAACTAGGGAAAGTAATGAGATAAGCAAAGAAGATATATCGGTTATTAAGCATAGTCTATTGGCATCAACCTTACTGGTTACTGGCTGTCCACAAGCCAACCTGGAAAATCGACAAAGCCTCGATCGTTATTTGGATACATTGAAAGAAAGTTTGCAAAACAGAAACACCGAAATTGTGTTGACGGCTCATCAGTGTTTACGAAATTTGGTTATGCTTCCCAGCAAAAAGGCTAATGTGCCTTCAGCCGTTACACTTGGACAAGTTATGACAAAGCGTATTATACCGCACATTATTGTCCCATATCTTTTGTCTCAAGAAGTTGATACCGACATTCAAGATAGCCAACAGGCGAAGGAAGAGGCTATCAAGACTTTGCTGATGGTGCATAATGTTGCAGAAAATGAAAAAAGTAAGATGAGTGTTCAATATGCCAAAGAGGAATTTTAAAAGAGTGGTTCGCTGAAGTCTAATCGTATTCCATTTACCTTCTTAGAACCAGTAGTTTTGACAGTGATATTATCCACGCTGACATCATTACTGGATATTTCAGGATCTGAAAGTGTTTCTAGCATCCATAGTGTAATTATGAAGCATGTACTTTCGTTGGCTTCAAGCAATCCTGCATTGTTCAAGGAAGCCGTTAGCCATATGTCTCCTGAAGTTCGTTCGAAATTAGAGACCTGCGTTAGAAATAGCGTTATGCAGCTTCAGCAATCAATGCAGAGACAGCAACAGGATCACGCTGGATCAAAAGCTTATGAAAAGGAGCCTACCATTCAGCTCAAAACGAACTTTGGAAGTTTCTAGAGAAAGAAATTCTTCAGATAATAAAAAAATTGTTACATTGTCGAGTATTCGGTTGTATGCGGTGATTGAATTTGATGTCACTGTCACAAAAGGACGCGCCGAAAATCAAGTCTACCACCAAGGACCAGCTTCCATTGTCGCTAAGCTAACATGGAAATCAACGATCAGACGTACGCTGCTTTACAGCAGTACCTTCAGCAGACGTTTGACCCCAGAACTCAGAAACAAGGTTCGCCTCTACCTTCCGAATATCTCTATAATATCTGATCATACTAATGCCCGGCTATTTTATTTTCATGTCGCAGCCGAGCAATCCCTGGCACAAGTAGAGGTTCAGCGTAACTTCCCACTACTGGTGATCAAGCTTATTGGTGACCAATCTGCCGATCAAACTCTTCGATTCGCGGCTTCTGTGTTCTTCAAAAACTATGTCAAGCGCCATTGGGTTCCGGTAAGTAACTCACAAGCAGGCACAGTAACTTTCTGTAGAGCATGGTTCCTTATCTAAAATCTCGTTTGATATGCACGTACAAAGGATGATGAGAATGCAAACAAGATTTATCCCGAGGACCGCGCTGCAATCAAAAGTCAGATTGTCGATCTAATGATCTCTGTGCCGGAAAGGCTGCAGTTTCAGGTGAGCGAAGCGTTAAGTATCATTGCTTCGTCAGATTTCCCTGAAGATTGGCAAGAGCTGCTGCCGGTATGTAGCGAAATATATGTGGGATGTTACAATATGAGGTGAATGCTATACTAACGTGAGGCTGAAGACCTTGATCAGCAAATTCAGCACCACAGACTATCAAGTGAATAATGGCGTCCTGCAAACTGCCCATTCTATTTTCAAGCCTTGGCGATCCCAATTCAGAACTGATACTCTGTTTATGGATATAAAATATGTTCTCGACAATTTCTGTGAGCCTTACCGACAGCTTTTCGCAGTAAGTTCATTGTCAATCACAAAAGGATTGCCGAATAGGACTGGCATTTTAACCTAAGACTTTTGACTAGACTACCGATAAGTTGATCACGGATTATGCCAGTGATGCAGCAGCTTTGCAAATCTTGTCACAATCTCTATTACTTCTTGTCAAGATCTACTACGATCTTAATTGTCAAGATTTGCCGGAGTTCTTTGAGGATAATATGGGTTATTTCATGGAACTCTTCCACAAATACTTGACCTACAACAATGGACTTCTGCAATCAGATGTAAGTGAGATGAGTGTTTAAAGAGAGTATCTTCGTATGCTGACCTTATGCATCCAGGATGAGGAGGAAGCTGGCGTTTTAGAAAAAGTCAAGGCAGGCATTTGCGAAATCATAGAGCTCTACACCCAGCGATACGAAGAAGAGTTCAAACAGCTACCTACTTTTTTTACAACTGTGCTTCAATTGCTCATTAGCACGCCGCAGGAACCGAAATACGATGTGGTATGTCTTTTTAAGCTCTATTACTCTATATGCTGTATAACTTGCTTACTGAGGTTGATGTTTTGAAGTTGGCAAGCAAAGCTTTGTCATTCCTCACAAGTGTTGTAAGGCTATATAAGCATGCTAATATCTATGGAGAAGAAAGTACGATGAAATTGATGTGTGAGAAGATCGCTCTTCCCAATATGGCATTGCGATGTGAGTACCTGATTGTATTTTCGCAAAAATGTTTTGAAGATGATGCTTCGTGCTAATGTTCGTATTATAGCCAATGATGAGGAGTTATTTGAGGACGATCCCATAGAGTACATTCGACGTGATTTGGAAGGATCTGGTGGGTATTCTCTATATTGGACAATGTTGTGGTTATTTTCTTATCCCTGACGTATGTATCATAATGCAGATTCCGACACGCGTAGGCGAGCTGCGGCTGATTTCGTTCGTGGACTTATGGAGCATTTCGAATCTCAAGTAACAAGTATTTTCTTGGGTTATATTCAACATTACCTCCAGGTATAATAACAGAAAAAAACATTATCGAGCATGTTGGGAGATACTAAATATTTCGCCCATGACAGCAATACTCTGTCAACCCTGAGGCGCACTGGAAGGACAAAAATACTGCCATCTTTCTGTTGACAGCTATTGCCACCAAAAGTGGCACAGCCCAGGTACTTAATTCATCGTGAGCATCCCACCAATGTTTATTGAGGTTACCTAACTGGCTCTTTTATGTTAGCATGGTGCTACCAGTATCAATGCCAACATTGATGTTGTTGACTTCTTTTCGAAATATATCTTGAGCGATCTGCAGTCACCTATTGCATCCGGCAATCCCATCTTGAAGGTCGATGCCATTAAATATCTCTATACCTTCAGACATCAGGTAAATCATTCGCATATAGTGATTTATATATGGCACACACACATGCTAACGCTGGCATGCAGCTGACCAAGGAGCAACTGGTTACTGTTTTCCCACTTTTGGTTGAACATTTGAAATCGGATAGTTATGTTGTTTACACATACTCAGCGGTTACCATTGAGCGAATTCTGTTTATCAAAAAGGGAAACGCCATGCTGTAGGTATTTTCGTACCTTTTCAATTTGACAAAGGAGCAAACATTTCTGATCCTCTTGCGTTACAAGTTTTACACAATCAGACATACAGCCATACGCCGAAACGCTCTTGGAGTTGCTCTTTAAGCAAATTGAGAAGGGCCAAACACCCGAAAAATTGGCGGAAAACGATTATTTGATGAGAGGTGAGTGTGTGCGATGCTTTTTCATATATGGTATGTCCTTGTGTCTAACAAACGGTGTTCCGCTTCAGCTATCATGAGAGTCATCATCACCAGCCGCCAAGGCATGACACCTTATGTCAATGTCATCATGTCCAAACTTACAAACATCCTTGCGATTGTAAGTAAGAATCCTAGTAACCCTCGGTTTAATCATTATGTTTTTGAGAGCATTGGCGCCTTGATCCGATTCATTTGCCCATCATCCCCTGCTGCCGTGGCTGAATTCGAAAATCTCCTCTTTGGCCCCTTCCAAGTCATTCTTGCTCAAGATATTCAAGGTATGCTTTTCATTTACGTTTCATCATTTTTAAGTTGAAGAGGGTACTAATACTGTATATCCCGCAGAATTCACGCCATATGTATTCCAATTGCTTGCACAGCTCTTGGATTTCCATACCGGCACCGAACTTTCCGCTGCATACATTGCTCTGCTCGACCCACTGCTGAACCCTGCGCTTTGGGAATACGGTAAATTTTTTTCCTCACATCCGCTTCATCATGAGATACGAACAAAGAACTCATGGAACATCTTAGGTAATATTCCTGCTTTGGTTCCTCTTGTCCAATCTTACTTATCACGAGGTGTCGACACCATTTTGGCTCGAAACAAATTGACGCCAATCTTGGGTGTGTTCCAAAAATTGATGGCTTCCAGACAACATGATCATTATGGATTTGGCATTTTGAATGCTATTGTTGTGAATGTACCTCTGTAAGTATGACTGATATTTATCCCAGTGCGTTTCGCTAATAGAACCCGCATTTTTATTGACTTCCTCCTCACCTAGCGATGTCATATCCCCATATCTACGAGCCATCGTAACATATGTATTGACTAGACTTCAGTCAAAGACAAACAAAAAAACCGGGCAAATGGTCCATGACAAGTTCACCCGTGGCATGTTGGTTTGGATTTGTCTTTTCCTCGCACTAGATAAGCAACCCGGTGGTCCTGATGTGGTCATCGAAGCATTCGATGCCCTGCAGCCAAGGCAAGTTGTCACTGAAAAGGAAATTACCTATAAGTTGATAGTCGATATTAATTTTATTTTTCTCTTTAGCTTATTTGCACAAATGCTCAATCTCGTTGTTCTTCCTGAGCTGCAAAAGGTCGCAGAGCCTAAAGACCGCAAAACGTGTGCTATCGGGTTGACAAGATTATTGACCCAGAGCGACAAGATGATGGCTGAGCCTTATGTCGGACTATGGCCAACCATCTTTACTGCACTTATAAAGTTGCTTGAACTTCCACAGGATTTGGCAGGCGACGATCTGGATGAGCTTTACACTCTTGATCTTGAAGAAAGTGGTTATCAGGCTACTTTTGCCAAACTGGCCACGGCAGCCCCAGTCAAGGAAGACGCCTTTGCATCGATACCTGAACCGACTGTTTTCCTTGCCCAAGGCATTGTAGCCTTGAGCCAAAGGCATCCTGGCAAAGTTGGCGCTTTGGCCCAACAGAGTGAGGGGGCCAATGAATTCTTACCAAAGTACTTCGAACGTGCCAATCTGAGCATGGCACAGTTGTCCTAAATTGAGATATTAAAAAAAAAAATGCGCGAATTATGCTGCAAGCCTTTTGCCCTTTACCCCAGCCAACCAAACAACCTTCCCTTTCGACGGACTTTGTATTGTTTTATTTTGCAATCACATATCCGTTTGATAGTGTGATCTCTTCCCTTACAGACTTTTTCAAAGAACAGAAATAAAGATTTAAATAAAATATTCGAAATTTACAACATTAATGTGATGTATTGTGTGATAAAGTTCCAGTGTTCAATTCCGGCGAGAGATTGTTTTCTTTTTGGGTGGGATACCAGTGAAAATTCGCGCTTTGCGGGATTTTTGCGGGAGTGAGGGAAGAGTGGAGATCAAGCACAATTTGTGCTCACTTTTATTTCAGTGCATAGCATAGTTTGACCATAACCCATTCTCTTTTCTTTATTTCTTTTACCAGTCTCAAATATCTCTTATTCTTCTTTGTTCACTTCCTAATGTCACTCAAAAAGATCCCAATATCAGAGAGAAGGGCGACTTACCCTCTAGAACATCGTCTAAAGACCTATTCTCCAGAAAAGATTCAACAACAATTGATCGACGCTGCCAGTACCAAGAAAATGGTGGTCAATGGTGTCAATATATTGAATAATCGAAGTATAGATTGCAGTACGGCCAAAGAACGTATTCGACAACGTCGTGAAACACACAATAAGGTGGAACGTCAACGCCGAGATATACTGGTAGGTGGATATGAACAGCTCTGCCATTTATAATGAACTGTTTAAACTTATTAGCTCCCATACAAGTGTAGAATTCTCTTATAGCGGAGCTTTCTGACATTGTGCCATGTGCAACAGATGCAAAGAACAAGTCTCAGCGAGCAGCTGTCCTTCGACGAACTGTACAATACGTTCGATGGGTTCAGTCTGAAAACCGAACCTTAAGAACACAATTAAATTTACCGGACGAAGACATTACCTTCATACCGTATGATGACGACCAACTAATGAACGAGCATTCTATGCCTGGCAGCAGGTCTCCCACTGTAGAAAGCTGCAGTAATTCAGACCAAGGCGACGACTCGGGCTCTTCCTATGGATCTCATCCCATACTATCCAGTGGGACTTTTCATACATTTTCAATAGCCACGAGCGATGCCATGATCGATGTACACACCGGCTGATGTGAACTATTATTCTATCTCATGTTTGCACAAACCATCTTCCCTCTGCTATTAGTTTACACAAATATTCCCCTACTTTCAATGAAAATATAGTCGCTTTTTTTCAAGTTTATCAATGAACAAACAATTTACAATTTCTCATAGTCAAGTTTGGTTTCCAATTTCTTTGCATCAGCAACCTTTCGTACTGCCTTCATAAAGTCTTCTTGAATAACGTAATCACGTTCATCACGAATGGCAAACATACCTGTTGATGAGTGATTAGTAATGGCAATAATGGTAAAAGATTCATTGTCCGTTTGCTTACCAGCTTCCGTGCAAACATTTCTAAGATCTGCTCCGTTAAAGCCATCCGATAGTTTGACAATAGCTTCATAATCTAATATTGGATGATGGGTGAGCAAAATTTTTCCAACTTGTGTGAATATCTATTTCTGAAGAGAATACCTATGTCACCGTGCTTTGCGATACCTCCTGAGTGAATCTTTAGAATCTCCAATCGACCTTGCTCGTTGGGTAATGGTATTTCAATCTTTCTGTCTAATCGACCAGGTCTTAAAAGTGCAGGATCCAAGGTATCCGGTCGATTCGTTGCCATGATGAGTTTAGTTTGACCAAGGTAATCGAAACCGTCCATTTGGTTAAGCAACTACAAAATGTCAAACAGTGAGCGATTTCTTTCCTTTCCATGCGACGTTTTTTTCCCTCGTTCGTTGAAATGCCTCATACCTCCATCAAGGTCCTCTGAATCTCACGATCGGCAGATGTACCTTCTGAAAATCTCCTTCCACCAATAGCATCAATTTCATCCATGAAGATGATACATGGCTCATGCTCCTTTGCATAACCTAAATTGTGTGATGAATTAGCATACGTAAGAAAGGGGGATGACCACTATTATATGCAAAGTTGAGTCATTACCAAACATTTCTCGAATCAATCTAGCGCTTTCTCCAATATATTTGTCGACAATGGCACTGGATACAACTTTCAAAAAGTTGGTTTCCAGCGTACTGGCAACAGCTCTGGCCAAGAGGGTTTTACCAGTTCCAGGAGGACCGTAAAGCAAGACACCTTTCGGTGGTTTGATACCAACACGCAAGAAAAGCTCGGGGTTCATCAAAGGCAGTTCGATGACTTCACGCAATTCTCTGATTTGATCTCCTAGACCACCAATTCCAGCAAAACTAACGGAACCGGGATCTTCCAAAGACATGTTGTATACCAAAGGATCAACTTCTCGAGGAAGAATTCGCATGATTGTGAGTGTGGTCATATCCAAGGCAACGCGAGTGCCTTGTTTCAGCTTGTCCTTGTCAACGCGGTTACGGCAGCCGACAACGTAGCGTGGTCCACTTGTGTTCTTGACAATGACTGTAGATTAATAGAACCTAATTAGTAAAGAGAGGAGGCTGAGGACGGTCTCGACCATGCTGACACTCACATCGCTCTTCGTCAAGTTGTTTCAACACTTCTCCTATAACTTGACCCACGCTCTGCAGAGCCTTTATATCGTCTTCTGATTTGTCAAACTCTTTATCGAGACCCTTAAGACCCATTCGTACTGTGTTGCCAAGGTAAAAAGGAATAGTAAGGTCCAATTAGCACGCTATATTACCAATGCTTGAACCAGTCTACATTCAAGATCTCAGGGAGGGGCGAGGACGACTTACGTTCTTTCACTTTTGCTTCCATTTCTCTATGCTCAAGGAGCTTTCGTCGGTAGGTATTGAGTGACTTTTGTCTAGCATCCTGCTCAGGGCTCGAGGAAGATGGTTGAGCAGACATGGTGTGCTGGTTATTAAGAATTGCAGTAGGGTAGATCCAGAGGCAGCTCACATAGATAGGTACAACGCGTAGTCCACTGTATGATGTCAGATAATTTCGATGATAAAATATCATAATAATAATTTTATAAAATTTGGTAATAAAATGTAGGCTCATACTGAGGCAGCTTCCTCATTGGTGTCCACTACTTCTGTTCACTCACCATCCTTTTATTTTTCAAACTGCTGTAGGCGGCTACAAGCTGTTATTGTTTGTTCTTCTTGGATTATAGCATGTCTTAGGAGCTTCTAAATGGTATCTGGATATATTACATTCTCTGGATGTATACTTGCCTACAATTGTATTTGAAAATCAACTTTGTATACACAATTTATAGTCAAATATGCTGAAAGAAGTGTCGTAAAAGTTGCAACAAGTTTAATAAAAGCTTTATGCTTCAGTAACGCATTGCTGCCTAAGTCGGACCTCCAACCACCAGCCTTCATATTATTTCAAATTCCGAACGGGCGTGCAGCAGAGCAAGCCTGAAAGCGTCGCCGTTCCCTACCCACTGATAGCTCCCTCTTTCACAGCCTCGAATCAAAGATGGTAAGCATCCATCACCGTTTTGCTATTCCATCCATCAATTACACCAATAGATGAATGGATTAAAGTACGGATGCAACCATAAAGTGCGACCTCTATCCTGAACGACAACATTATGAATCGCATTTCAGCCGTTGCTTAGATCGTAATAGACGATTTGTTCAATTTGCAGAAATGTTGACATTACGCAACTGCTTTGCAACTCTTGCTACATTCTTCACTCGCCTTGCCGACACTATGCGAAATCAAGTCAAATTCAATATAGAATCTCATTCACTACCGAATTTGAACCAAATCCACTTACCACTCCTTCCCTTTCTTCTCTCAGGAATCCGCTAAGACTCCCGTCAAGCTCGCCAAGGTCACCAAGGTTCTCGGCCGTACTGGCTCCCGTGGTGGTGTCACTCAAGTCCGTGTCGAATTCATGGATGATACTTCTCGCTCCATTATCCGCAACGTCAAAGGTCCCGTTCGCGAGAACGATATTCTTTGCTTGCTCGAGTCTGAGCGTGAGGCTCGCCGACTTCGCTAAAGCATTTAGTTTTGTTTTTTCAATATAACCTTTATGAAGTCAAGGTTCACTCTATAAACACCTATTGACCCTCCCTCAATGGTCAGCAGTAGCTTTGTGTGTGTGTGTCTTTGCGAATTTATTGCTTTTCCGATATACTCTTTATGGACTTAGCACTAGGGTCTCGGTGGGTTAAAATGAATTGAGCGTTGATATAATCGTTGCGGTCAAAACGAGCTATTCCCGCTTCGACAGATGGTTCTAGGGATACAGTGTCAGTTATCTTGAAAGCATCTCAGCTTTACAGTACAGTGTCTCCTTTACCTAATCCAGCCTGGTAGTGCCTCTGGCCCGTGCGAGTCCTAGCCTCGTTGAGGTCGACATCCACGTACCACATATCGTCAAAGTAGGACGGTACTTTGTCCCATGGTTCAGGATGCTTAAGTTGTAGATAGATACCTTCCATTATGATGATTTTGTGGCTACCGTTACAATACCGTATTGATTAGTCCCAACAAAACAATTGTTAAATCTGAGTTCATCAAACTGACCTTGGAAGTATCTCAATATCATCGTTTACAGGGTCTCCTTTAGCATGGTCGAACGATGGTGCCTTGATCGCAACATGTTGACTTTCAGGGTCTCGAAGCTTCTTCAAAAGATTGATAATGCCATCGGGGTCAAAGGTAAAGTGTGCTCCACGTCGAGCGTGCACTTCTTCAGGGTTCTAGGGGGAAGCGTCAAATATGCATACCCATGGCCGCTCTCCTGAACGAGCAAACCTTACCTCCATTCTGTCCAATGCTGATTTGGGCAGATGATATCCGTCCATGGACACTGCGATAGCAATGTCTTGTGTGGCCCCTTTCTTGCGATAGTTATCATTCACCTTTTGAACAAGTTGATTTACAAAAGTCGTCTTTCCTGACCCAGGAATGCCGCTCACTCCGAGAATGTACTTTTGATCAGCCGGCGAGCTTGATTGCTTTCAGAGTTAACCGTAGCTCAACTGTCAATATAATATATTAGGTAGCATAGCTTACCGGTCTGCAGCGTCTTGCAGCTTTTGGGCAAGCTCTATAGCTTTGGCTTCCATCGTAAGCCAACGTAAGTAACGTAACGGAAATCGCTAACCTTGTTTATTATTTCCCACCGATTTTATTGGCAGGATTTTTGGATTTACCTATTGACCATGGTTCCCACTATATATCCCTCTTCCATCTCGAACGGTCTTTACATATTTAATTTTAAATGGTCTATATAGCACACTATCAAATTTACTTTTATTACACAAGACTATCAATAGTTGCTATGTTACTATGACAGGAAATGATACGATCTTATGTTAAAGGTATAATAATGTTGGAGCATAATATTTGACAGCTGGCCACAGTTAACTGGCTACAGCTCCAAGCTATGTTGCGCAAGGTTTTTCTCTGCTTGCCGTGAGTCATGATTTGATGGATTCAGGCACAGTGGCTTGCCCTATAAAAAATTTTGTAGCCCAGACTTGTCACTTCCAACATCTTGTCATTTCACTGCCCCTTCAAAATGTCTTCATTAACCGCAGATGAAAAGTATGAACTGATCTCCCGTAACCTTCAAGAGGTCCTCGGTGAGGCTGAAATTAAGAAAGTCCTCGCTGAAAGAAATCTCAAGTTGTACTGGGGAACGGCACCTACTGGCAAACCTCATTTGGGCTACTTTGTCGCCATGACCAAGATTGCCGATTTCCTGACTGCCGACTGCGAGGTAACTTACGGGCATATGGACGTGGATTACATTTCCTTCCATGGCTTACCTTTTTTTCCAGGTCACTGTTCTGATTGCTGATATCCACGCTTTCTTGGATAACATGAAGGCACCTCTCGAACTTGTCAACCACAGAGCAAAGTACTACGAACAACTCATTAAAGCTGTGCTTACATCAATCGGCGTTCCTATCAATAAGCTCAAGTTTGTTGTTGGTTCATCTTACCAGTTTTCCAAAGAATATGCTATGGACAACTTCCGTCTTGCCGCTACTGTCACTGAACACGATGCCAAAAAGGCCGGTGCCGAAGTCGTTAAGCAAGTCGACTCCCCATTGCTTTCCGGTTTGATCTACCCCGGTATGCAAGCTCTTGATGAACAATATCTTGGTGTTGACGCACAGTTTGGTGGTGTCGATCAGCGCAAAATCTTCACATTCGCAGAAAAGTATATGCCACAACTGGGTTATGCTAAGCGAGCGCATCTTATGAACCCTATGGTTCCCGGTCTTCAAGGCTCAAAGATGTCATCGTCCGATCCCGACTCAAAGATTGATCTTCTCGATGACCCAGCCGCCGTCAAGAGAAAGCTGAAGAAGGCTTTCTGTGAAGTTGGTAATGTTACTGAAAACGGTATCTTGTCCTTCATCAAGTCTGTCTGGTTCCCATTGAAGTCACTGAATGATGGAAAGCCAGAGTTCACTGTTGAGCGTAAGGAGGAGTATGGCGGAAACCAGGTTTACACCAAGTTTGAGGATATGGAGGAGGATTTCAGAACTGAGAAGCTTCATCCTGGAGATTTGAAGGCTGCCACTACCAAGGCATTAAACGAACTTATTGCACCCATCCGAGAAGCCTTCGATAATGCTGAAATGAAGGAATTGGTTGAGTTGGCCTACCCTACTGCCAAGCCCGCCGCTAAGAAGGAAAAGAAGAAGAAGGTCAAGGGTCAAAACAAGGAAAATGAGGCTCCTAAAGTTAATGGAGATGCCAAGCCTGGTAAGTATTCAAAACCCTGGTGTTAGTCTATCTTATGACCCCGTTTATTCATTTTTCTCTCTTCAGAATCAGCAGCTGCAGAAACGGCGCCAGCAGCAGAAACCGCAGAAAAGCAATAAGAACTTATAAATAAAAATGGCATGTTGTAGACAAAGTAGAGATGACAAATTCAAAACATGGATTGACACCTTTTAAGTGTATTCAGTAGTTACAGGTGGCAATGTTTTTACAGGGTCTAGATATAAGCTATTCCAGGTTGAAATAACGCCGGATGATTTATTACACGTCTTTTAATCGTACCAGTCGAGAAACAAGAGAACAAAACTTGCACCAATCAAAAATGCAAGGATCATCTTTCGTGTACCTCTATTTCTCTCTCTCGCACGAACTAGTTGTTGATTGCCCTGTTCCACCCTATCCGTCGTAGCAATTGCCTCAGCGTAGAGCTGATCAGTTTGTGCAGTTTGAACAGCTAGATGACTTGTTAACTGAGACTGTAACGTTGATATTTCCAATAATGCCTTTTCTGCATCGCGGACTTGATTAAGGGTATTTTCCATTTCTGATAGCATGGCATCATTTTCTCTCTCCAACATCTGCAGTTGATCTTGGGACAACTGATCTTCAAACGCATTTCCTGTATCTGCTTCCCAAGGGTCGATTGAAGTTTGCACAGAAGGCTTTGGTTCCGCTGCTCCATCGTTAAAAAGTTGTTGGAACCTGCTCTCAACGCCACCGTTGGCTGAATTTCGATCCATGGGTATGGTTGATTTCGTGGGCTTTTGCGATTGGTTTGCTATGAATCTCGTTGGAGGAAGGCTAGACATATGCAATTGATTTTCGCTCTTCTCGACTGCTTTCATCAGCCTCGTCTCTTGCTGATTCTTCTGAAGCTGGGACACCTCCATCAAACGCTTGTTCAAAAGCCATACAACGCCACTGCGATGAACGGCCAACAAGTCATCACTTCGTGCGGTCTCAGTCGATGCAAGTATGTTGCTAAAAAACCGAGAAAGCTGTTTTGCACTTTGAGCCTTTACCGCATCCTGTCGCATCTTTTCCGCGTCTTCTAAATCCTTTACCCTATCCATACATCGTCTTATGATCATTTTGGCTTGAAAATCGATTTCATCTCTCTCCTTGTCAGTGAGCTGTGTAATAACCCTAGGAAAGGCTGAGAACAGTGAACCTTCAAATTGGGCTCTAGCTGGTATTTGAGCTGCAATCGGTTTGGTGTGGTGGTTGCCCTGCTTTCGCTTTGGTGCTTCATTACGAAGGTATGCCTTCCGTGTAATGAGAAGAAACTCCTTCAGGCTGATAATATGTTGCTCGATCCTATAAGCTTCTTTCATGAAGGGATCGAAGGAAGGCTCTCTTCGATTCTCATTCTTGCTCTCTGGTGGTTTTGGCAAACCATTTGCAATGGCTCGGAAATCGGTTGTAAGATCTGGCATGCAGAGGGATGAAAGTTGGAGAAGAAAAAGAAACTCAGCTTCCTTGCACGTATGCGGTCATGCCAAAGGCATTGCTTTCTACTATTTTGATAACGGTATCCTGTCCAACCATTGAACAGTAAAACTAACAAAGATAATAAGGCTATACATTAAAGATATGTATAAACTCTGAGTGTCATTGGAAAGTGTCTACCAATCGATAATACATTGCCAGAATATGGCTGTAAAAAAGGGTGTATCGTATTTGAAAAATTCTGTCAGTTCGGTTAAAGTCCTACTTGATACCTAAATGCCTCCAAAATCTAAAAAACCGCCAGCAAAAGCTGATCCTCCGAGTAAGGATGCGGCAAAGGAAAAAGTGAATCAAGCTCCCAAGAAGCGGATAGTGAAGAATGGTAATGCCAACTCCAATTCAGCTGGATCAGGATCAACCGCAGTCGAATCAGAGCGGAAATCACTGTTTGGCGATTGGACAGGAAAAACTCCTTCCACACTTTTATACGAACACTGTCAAAAGAACCAATGGGAGAAACCTGTTTTTGAAGTTGGTCGGACAAGGGAAGGATTCGTTTCCACTGTTGTTTTGGGCAAACATAACAAAAAGACCTCGCAAGTCGATCAAGTCAAGATGTCCCCACCCTTCCTTTTTATGCCTACTGCAGTGGAAGCAAGACATGTAGCAGCAACATACGTACTGCATCGTGTTAATTCTCATATGCCAATGTATCGCATAATGCCTCCACAACATCGGGATATGTGGCTCAATTTGGATAAAGAAAAGACAAAGCAGAACGAGTGGATGTATTCGTCTGATCCATTCAATGCTCGGCCACCAGAACCCAAACGGCAAAATTTGGTTGATAGATCAATCTCGAAAGAGTCAGACAACAGATCTGTTCCAATGCCGGTATCAAAGACATTTGGCGAGAAACCGAGAGAGGATGCTGATGTTCCCGAAAATATTCGAAAATACTGGGAAAGTCTACCGTTGGTGCACATGAATGCTGAAAATCGTTCATTTGTTGAAAACGTTATTCGAGATCAAAGCAGATATTATCCTCTGGTACGTAAATCACATTTAGTAGTCATGCAGAGCATACATATCTGATTGGGCCACTAGTTTCAAGATGAACCCCTCAAGACAGAAGCAGAGAAGAAACCCATTAAGAATACGCTTTGCAAGATGGGCTTTCGCCCCGCCCATGTTGATGAGTCGCTAGATTATTGCCGAGATGTGGACTCTGCGTTGGATTGGCTATGTAAGTATGAGACTTTAATATGGGTCCTTTTTTTTTTTTCGCTGGGCTGACATTAATTCAAAAAAACAGGCTTACATGTTCCTGAGGATGGTAATAATTTGCGCTAGATTGAGTATGATATTATGCTAAATGTTTCCACAACTAACTTTTTTCTCTTTTGAAGACTTGCCTAGCAACTTCTTGAGTCCAAAGTACAACCCGAATATGACTACCATATCGCATACCACCAAATCGCTTGGAAAAGACTGGCTAATTCAAAGAATGTCTACTTTGGGATTCCCACAAACTCTATGCGCAAGTGCTTTAGAAGAAGCTGGTGGAGATGAAACCGGAGCTTTGAAAATACTTCTGCAACGTCTGATCGAGGACGAGGATCATACAGAAACGGCCAGTAATCCCGATGTCTCGCAAGAAGAATTAGAGGGAATGAGACAGGACGAGATTTTAGCCTTGGAATCTATTTACGAAAACGGCGTGAATATTAAGAATGAGAATGACAATATGAATTTTGAAATCGACATCAAACCATCCAGTGGTGAAACGCTCCCAACCAACGGTTGTCCGGTTACCTTAGAAATACAGATTCCCAAAAGCTCCAACTATCCGTACGAACTTCCTCTATTCATCATACACTGCGAAGCGCTACCATCCTATATCCGTCTAGCTTGCATGAAGCAAGTGATGCAAGAGGCAAGATCAAACATCAACATGCCTATGATTTACATGTGTATTGAATATTTGAACGAAAACATTGTAAACCTCATACATAACCCTCCAAAATTGAGAGATGTCACAGAGTCATTCATTTCTGCACCTTCTATCCCAGCTCAAAAGAAGAAAACATCTAAACAACAGACACAGCGCAAACGAAAACTTACAGAGAAAGAATTGACCGATTTGTCTCAAAAACTTGTGGAAAAACTGAACGAGATGAACTTAGCCGAGCAGTATCAAGCCATTGGCAAAGTTCGCAACAATCTCCCGGCTTATACCTTCAAAGAGCAAGTTGTAAACGCTGTGTTGAAAAATCAGGTCGTTATCGTTTGTGGAGAAACTGGATGTGGCAAAACTACTCAAGTTCCTCAATTCATTCTTGATCAGGAGATCAAGAGCAAGCAAGGCTCCAAATGTAATATAATCTGTACGCAGCCTAGACGTATTTCCGCCATTGGTGTTGCAGGTATGCCCCTTCTCCAGTGAAATAACGCAATCCATTGTTTAATTGACAAATCGTTTCACAAATGTAGATCGTGTTGCTACGGAACGTTGTGACATTGTAGGAAATTCGGTTGGATATTCAATAAGAGGAGAGACAAAATCGTCTTCAAACACGAACCTATTGTTCTGTACCACTGGTGTTCTCTTGCGTAGACTACAATCTGACCCTCTACTGGAAGGTGTTAGTCACATCATGGTTGATGAAGTCCACGAACGTTCAGGTACGTCCAATCTTATTGAGGGAAATACATAGTAGATAATGCAACCTTAGCCTGACTGCTTCTTCAGTTGACAGCGATTTCTTGCTGGTTCTCTTACGAGATGTTTTGAGCAAACGAAAGGACATCAAGCTTGTACTGATGAGTGCCACCATCAATCAGAAATTGTTTTCAGGTACATCCCATACATATATCTATGAACGGCTATGGTTACACTAATGCTTATTTGCTTCATACCTTCTCCACAGATTACTTCAACAAGGCACCCACTATTGAAATTCCCGGATTCACCCATTCCGTCACTGATTACTATCTGGAAGACATTTTGGAAAAGACGGGTCACAAATCTAACCTTAAAACGCAGAAGAAGAAAGCAGGAGACAGTGACTTGGCAACGTGGCAGCAGCAATACCGAAATGCTGGTTACAGTGATTCGACGGTGAAAGCGCTAGAACCGTACCGCAACCAAGACAGTATTGATTACGAACTGATTGCCAGTACTGTCAAGTACATTACTGAGAACGACGTAAAGATGGACAACGGCTTGGGGGCTATTCTTATCTTCTTGCCTGGTATGATGTACACAAGGTGAAATGTTAGCCTACAAACATACAATATTAACCATTTGTTTGCTTAGGTGTTATGGAAATTAAACGATGTCTTGACATGATAGACGACTTCCTTCCAAACAAGTCATCGTTCGAACTATTTCCTCTTCACGCTGGATTATCTTCTCAAGAGCAAGCCCGTGTGTTCAAGTCTGTGCCGAAGACTGTGCGCAAAATTGTTGCAGCCACTAATGTTGCCGAAACTAGTATTACCATTGACGGAATTATATATGTCATTGATAGTGGCCGAGTGAAAGAGACGCAGTTCGACGCTGCTACGAATATGATGCGACTCGTAGGTAAGTACAGCAAAAGGGAAAATAAAGAAATCAGACCCTTGACTAATGGCGTTCCTCGCAATCAATGATAGAAACTTGGGCATCTCGTAAGTGAAGTCTCTAAACATTTATTTAGTTTTCGTCGTTGCTTGTTATTAAATCCCAGGTTTATAGGTGCTTCATGCAAGCAGCGAAGAGGTCGTGCCGGCCGTACTCGTCCTGGACAGTGCTTTAAGCTATATACTCGTGAAGCGGAGGGTAACATGCAAGCCCAGCAAACCCCAGAGCTTTTGCGAACACCATTGGAGCAACTTTGTCTTCAAATCAAGGCTATGGGAGAAAGCGACGTGACGAAGTTCTTGCAAAGAGCCATTGATCCGCCATCAATGCAGGCATTAGCCCAAGCTATCGTTACTCTCAAGAACGTAAGTGCTATAGATGAAACTCCTGAAGGAAAACTCACAGCGCTCGGAAAACATATGGTACGTTCATTCCCGGTCATTTTTTGCCAATCTCTTTTGTATCTAACATTTCTCTTTCAAACACACAGGCAAATATTCCTGCCGATCTCAAAATTAGTAAAATGATATTGTTTGGTGCTGTTTTCCGCTGTTTGGATCCTATCCTGATTATCGCTGCTATCATGTCCTTCAAGAGCCCGTTCTACTCTCCCATGGAGCAACGTGACGAAGCGCGAAAGTACGTATCAGAGCATCGAATCTCCGAGCCGAGTGATCAAACCATTAGAGCCCTAAACATTTCTTTTTATTCAGGGCACGGGAAAAGTTCTTTGTTGGAAATAGTGACTGGCTAACAGATATGAGAGCATACCAAGAATGGGACAGCCTTAGGAAGCAAAAAGTGGGCCAGAGCGCACTGCGAAAGTTCTGCGATCAGGTAAAGTGTAACAAATCCATAGGTCCTTTTAAGAGTACTACGTAGTCTAACACTGGTGTTTTAAAGAATTATTTGGCATACAATACTCTGATGGAAATCAGTTCTTTGAAAAAGCAGCTGCTAGAGGCTCTTCAAGGTGTCGGATTCGCGCAAAACAAGAGCGACTACGAAATATACAACAAAAATTCTGAAAACATTAACCTTATCAAAAGCATCATTTTCGCTGGCTTGAACCCTAATATCGTCAAGGTTAATCTTCCTGATGCTAAATATGATAAGGTGCTTTCTGGTACCGTTGAACGTGAAAAAGAAGCACGAGAAATCAAGTTCTATACCAAAGACGACGGACGCGTATTCGTTCATCCATCATCCATGTTATTTAGCGTGACAAACTACTCCCCTCCATTCTTGACCTATTTCTCGAAAATGGCAACGTCCAAAACGTTCCTTCGCGACGGCACAGAAATTCCATTGTACTCCATTTTGCTCTTCGGAGGTACAGTCAAGGTAGATCACCACAATCGTGGTCTGTCTGTTGGTAGTGACTCCTGGATTAAAATGAGAGCATGGCCTCGAATTGGTACATTGGTGCACCAACTTCGTTGGCTACTCAACTCACTTTTGGACGCCAAAATTGAGGACCCATCATTAGAAGGTAAACCCATATTCAATTGCATGCACTGTACGCCTGAACCAAACACTCAATGTTATCTTTGCCACAGTAACAACATCACCAATCATAGATGCCATGCTAAAGCTGATCAGCAGCGATGGCGTGTAATAGATAATAGACGTGTTTAAGTGTGGATAACTTCTTTATAATACAATGTTGAAAGATAGAGTCTCAAACATATTACAGTCGACTATTTCACTCTAACATTTCCTTGTTGTGCAGTTGATGGTTGAGCAGCCTCTCTTCTTGCAGCATCTTGAAGCAACGCTGTATCGACGGCTTGCGAAGGCAGTTGGACATAGCGAACCACTGAACCACGAATGAAGCAATTCTTGACGGTTATCTAAATAGAATGCGATGAATTGGATTTAGAACAGTCAAGCGTCGTATGAAAGTGGTAGGTTGATCGAAAGAACGGAATTTACCATGTGTGGGTATCGAGCTTCATCTACCACCTTTATGTTGTCTAATTTGATGTTCAAGAACTGATCTACAGACACCAAGGTTCCGGTAATGGCGAGATCGTTTTTGAGTTCGATGGTAACTGTCTGATCTACAAGAGTCTTGAAAAAAGAATAGAAGAGCTACAAAAGTTGTTAGAAAATGATATGTTGCTATGATCGAACTGGTGATAAGTCTTGACATATGTACCATATTGCTTGCTTGGTTGGCTGTTGGATCTACTGTAATGAAAAGCGTGGGCCAACAAAAAATAACGGAGCAGGTCGCTGGTTTCAAGTAGGCACGTGACTGATCGGCGAAACTTCAGTTATTGTGAAATGAAATTTTCGAGGTTCAAACATTCTATTCTGTGATCGCTACATGCATTCTGAACGCGAATGCCAAAATATTCTTCTGTAGACCGTCCGAAATACGGCACTTCAGCCAATGAAGCAGATAAAATTGTGTCGGCCGACACTGCTATTGTGAACCCAATGCTGACTGCCGCAGTCAATACGGCCAAAGGGAAGAAGAGACGGGATTCAACTGCTCCGTTGATGTCTGCTCCTCCCATACATAACCCTACGTTAGCAAATACCAAAGAAGATCCACTCACAAGTTTAAGTCGTTCCAGTAGCTTTGTAGATCAGTTACCCCGAAACAGCAGCCCAAAGGTTCCTTATCTTGACGAGGCACTGCAATCACACAGGACTTCAAACACCTCCCACACGCATAGCAGATTCCGATCGGGATTGCATAGGAGAAGACGACGCGGTACGGCTGCAGGTGAAGAAGCGAGCGAAGATGATAGTGAAGGAGAATCTTCAGACGAGGACGATGACAGTGAGATTGACAATGACGATAGCAGCCAAAGTGGTTTATCCAGCGACGACGATGAAGAGCAAATTGCAAGGCAGATAACTGCCGCGAAAAATACAAACACAAAGCCATCTGGGGTGCAAAACTATTCTCAGATAGATTTATCACATGCGGGTGATGAAGTAGATCACTTGGAGGGATACCAACGCCTTTTGCTACCGGAGGAAGACATGGAATTGATAATTGAGGCTTATAAATACAACATGGCTCGTTTGTACCTTTACCGAGTATCTTGCGTTCTCAGTCTTGGTATGGTATGGCTGGTTTGTAGGTGGATGCCTCACCTATGGGTAAAATGGATAGGTATACGGTCTCCGATGGGTAAGGCTGAGTGGTTTGTCATACAGGTACGCTGATTGGTCACTTTTTGCATTTCCATAGCGGTATATCCTTAATCAAGATTGATTTCATTCTAGAATCAATGGGGAGCAACAACCATGGTAAAGCCCACCAATGTCTATTACAATGGCACTTTGACTTCGGTTTTCGCGGAGGAACAGCTCAAGCAAGAGATCGAGACATATAGAGCCCAACAAGGTCGAACCATGCTCCACCACATTGATCTTCAGCAAAATTTACCCCACTTGATTACTTTGAACTATCAATACGTCCGCTTAGCTTTCAACCCCATCCTGGAGATGTTTCATGTCGTTGGGTAGGTTTGCATGAGCATGAGATTAGTGTCAAAATCCAGTCTAATAGGTTGATATTTAGATTTTGGAAAGACAAGTCGTGGATTACAGTCAAGGCGCTTAAGCCAGGTCTCACGAGAGAAAAGCACTTGGAGCGGTTGGAAGTATTTGGAACAAATTCAATTGATATCGAGGAAAAGCCTACTTTGAAGCTGTTGGTGGATGAGGTTTGTTACGAGTCATATCATTCATTGTACAAATGCACACAACTGATTTTGCCTCTACTATCAGGTATTGAATCCATTTTATGTCTTCCAAATTTTCAGCATCCTACTTTGGTGCATGGACGACTATTACTATTATGCTTTTTGTATTTTCATTATCAGTGCTGTGAGCATTATTAGTACATTGCTGGAAACAAAGACGGTAAGGGTCAATCTATCATCGATCATAGCATTGTAGATCCATCTTTCTTGAACGCATCATTCTCTGACACCTTCTTGCACTTTTCAGACTATCAAACGGATGAGGGAAATGTCAAAGTTCGAATGTAACGTTAGAGTCATGCGTAACAACAACTGTAAGTTGAGAGACTGTATATATGATTGGAGCATCGCACCAGACTAATTTTTTTGAAAAGGGCGAAGTACCTCTTCCCATGATCTGGCCGTAGGAGACGTCATTGATATAACGACTTTACACACCTTTCCCTGTGACGCAGTTCTCCTCACAGGAGACTGTATTATGAATGAGTCCATGCTCACTGGTGAATCCATTCCGGTATCCAAAGTACCTATCACAGATACTGTACTCAAAGCATTTAGTCTGGCTTCCTCAAGCATTCCGTCTGAACGCTCAAAGCACTTTATGTTTATGGGCACCAAGGTTGTAAGAGTACGAGCAACACCATCCGTTGGAGGAGTAACAAGCGCCACTGCTATGGTTCTGAGGACTGGTTTCAATACCTCTAAAGGCTCACTAGTACGAAGTATGCTGTTCCCCAAGCCAAACCAGTTCCAATTTTATCGTGATTCGTTCCGCTTTATTGGCGTTTTGGCTATAATCGCTATGTTTGGGTTCCTGGCATCATCTATCAACTTCATACGTCTAGGTGTTGATAGAACAACCATGATTTTGAGAGCTTTGGATTTGATCACCATTGTCGTACCACCAGCTCTGCCTGCAACTATGCAAATTGGTACCAGTTTTGCTATCTCGCGGCTCAGAGACTCTGGCATATTTTGTATCTCTCCGCCTCGTGTCAACATTGGCGGAAAGGTGGACTGCATGTGCTTCGACAAGACCGGTACCTTAACCGAGGACGGATTGGATATTCATGGCGTTCGTGCAGTACAGAACGACAATGGTAGCCTTCGGTTCACCGACGAGATGAAAAGTTCACCTGAAATTGAAGCGGACGAACAAAACACTATTACGACGTCAGGTCGAATCTTCCATGCTATGGCTACATGCCACTCGTTAAAACTAGTAAACGAAGAGCTCGTTGGCGATCCTCTAGACCACAAAATGTTCGATTTCATAGACTGGGAATTAGAAGAAAGCGGAGGCGCCACGTCCATTGGAGCGAAGTCAGTTTCCGAAAGCGCAGAACACGGTGGTAGTAAAATGTCGAAAGGAATTGTTCCAACTGTAGTCCGGCCGAAAGGCGCCAAAAAATTCAACATTTCTTTTGAAGCAGCCGAGGTAAATTTCAGAAAACATACGATGACTGTGTGCAAAAATGTATATTAAAGCTTTTGCATATAGATGAATAATGGATTGGTAGAACTAGGCATCATCCACTCCTTCGAATTTGTTTCGTCTCTTAGAAGGATGAGCGTTATTGTCAGAGACTTATCTAAACCTCATATGGAAGTGTTCGTCAAAGGTGCTCCAGAAGTTATGAGCGAAGTTTGTCTTCCTGAGACAAGTAAGTGCAAAAATTAGTTTATCGGTTTTTCTGCTGGTGTAGTTGCTAACCACTGTACATGCCAGTCCCACAGGATTACAATGAACGTCTCTACTGGTACACCCATCGTGGATACCGTGTTATAGCCTGTGCATCAAAGACTTTGACCAACGTCAAATGGCACAAACTTCACAAGTTGAAGAGGTAAGCATACCAAGTATAACGAAAATCAAAAACACTTACTGACGTTGCATACAACAGACAAGAGGTGGAAATCGGACTGACCTTTATTGGGTTCATTATTTTTGAGAACAAATTGAAACCAGGCACAACCCCGGCTATCGATACCCTTAGACGAGCCAACATTAGACAAATTATGTGCACTGGTATGTATATTGGTTGTTGCTTCAGCATTCTACGAAGTATGGTATTTATGGTTTGTTTTTCTCAGGTGACAACGTTCTTACGGCCGTAAGCGTATCTCGTGAATGCAGCTTAGTGGATCAAAATGCCGAAATATACATCCCAAGGTTCATTCAAGGGTCATCGTCTGATCCAAATTCCATCATAAAATGGGAGAGTGTGTTGCAAGAAGGCTATACTCTCCACAACCACACCCTTTTGCCAGAAACATCAGCGCAGACTGCAAGTCATGGAGACGGACCCTTTGCTAATTCAAATGGTCTTTACTATCTCGCTGTGACCGGTGAAGCCTTCCGGTGGATGGTCGACTACGCTCCTCCTGAAATTCTGTCCAGAATGCTTGTTACTGGTCAGATCTTTGCTAGGATGTCACCCGATGAGAAGCAGGAGCTTGTAGAAAAACTCCAGCAACTAGATTATTGTGTCGGCTTCTGTGGCGATGGTGCAAATGACTGTGGTGCACTGAAGGCAGGAGATATTGGCATATCGTTATCTGAAGCAGAAGCGTCTGTTGCTGCTCCTTTCACCAGTAATACAATGGACATTGGATGTGTAATTGATGTTATCAAGTAAGTCATTGGTCATTTCGTTGTGTAAATGCATCATTGCCTGTAATAACAAAATCATTTTCAACTATAGGGAAGGACGGGCTGCTCTTGTTACTAGCTTTAGCTGCTTCAAGTATATGGCATTGTACAGTATCATCCAGTTCACCACGGTGACGCTGCTATATGCTTTTGATAGCAACCTTGGTGATTTTCAATTTTTATACATTGATCTCTTCCTTATTCTCCCGATAGCGGTATACAGTAAGTAACCCATATCTAATAACTTGGGCCTTTATTATCTAAATCTGACATTACTACTATGTTATAGTGGGGTACACTAGCGCTTGGCCATACTTGTACAGGAAGCGACCAACTGCCAGTCTCATGTCCAAGAAAGTACTGGTATCATTGATCGGTCATATTATCATTAATTCGTCCTTCCAGTTTGCCATGTACTTTTACATACGAACCCAAGAATGGTATTCTCCCCCTGATTACGATCCAGATGGCGAAAATATTGAGTGTTTTGAAAACACTGTACTCTTTTTGCTGTCATGCTATCAATATATTTTGGTTGCTGTGGTGTTCAGTGTGGGCCCGCCTTATCGCCAGCCGGTATGGTCAAATGGTAAGAATTTAATTCTGTATACTGCAATAGTGCTATAGGACTATGTTCCCTAATCATTCTTTATTTACAGTTCGACTTATCATAACACTCATTGTGCTCACGCTGCTCACAGTGGTAACAACCTTGTATCCGCCACGATTTTTGAACGAAATGTTGGAACTGGAAAATATGCCCTTCGAATTTCGATGCGTCCTTGTTCTGGTAGCGCTTACCAACTTCATTTTATGTACTTGCTGTGAAAAATATTTATTCCCATGGGCTCTAGATATGCTTAGCTCTGGAAGTATGAGGCCAGTCACTCGAGATGGATACTCACAGCTTCGAGAAGAACATCACAAGAAACCATCCAAGAAACTTTTCAAACGGATTCTTGCTGATATGGAAGATGAGAGGAAGCGTTTGTAAATAATATTGTAAACAAGCTTTTAAAATATCAGATGTATTATCCAAACTTGATCTTTATTATTTGGTTCAGTGCTTAAGTGCTTACTGTGGAATTTTTTTTTCTTTGGCGAATCTGTTTCTCCGAAACATTGAGTATACGCGGCAGATGACGCGTCCAATGTCCGCCAAAAAATATAAAATTGTCGCTAATTGAAAGGCAATTAGAGACTTCATACCCATTCACAACCAAAAAAAAAATTCATATGGTGAACTTGGCGACTGCAAGAGGTTTAAACGCTGATTTCTTTAAACTTCAATCTGCTTCGGCTCTTATTGTCGGAGGAACCTCAGGAATCGGCCAAAGTATAGCGTTTAAGATCGCTCAATATACCAAGAAGCCGCTTATTGTTGTATCAGGGCGAGACGAGGTGCGTGGACAAGAGACAGTGGACGCTTTGAAAGCCATCAACAAGGAAGGATCTTACTCTTTCGAAAAGTGCGACATGACGAAGATGAAAGATACTCGACTTCTAGCTAATAAGCTGGCTGAGAATCATCAATCATTCAATCTTCTCATTATCAGCTCCGGCTTCCTTTCAATGAAACCTAGAACAGAGACTGAGGATGGAATTGATGAGAAGTTGGCTGTCAACTTCTTTGGCCGTTTCAATTTGATAAACCGGATGATGCCTATGTTAACTTCAGCAGCGAACCAGGGACAACGTGTCAACGTCCTCTCAGTTTTTGCTGCTGGTGAAGGACGAACCTTGGATTTAAATGACATTGGCTTGACTAAAAACTTTAGTCTTGCATCGGCTGCCTCGCATGGTTCCAATTGCAACGATTTAATGGTGGAGGTATTGTATTTTTATTTCTTTCAATGTACCTGGTTATATAGCATCATATTTTAACGGCGTCCTTGCCAATGATTGATATTACAGGAACTGAGTGAAAGAAACCCAAATATCGCCTTCTACCATGCACATCCCGGCATTGTAAACACCAACCTTGTGTCTACTCTTCCTTGGTATTTGCGCATTGCATCCAAACCTCTTCTACTTTTAAGCAAGAATCCAGACGATGTAGCCGATCATCTTTTATCAGGATTGACGGGATCCAACAAAACTGGCGGATGGGGGCTACTGAATTCCACGGGCGATCCGATCAAACCTACCAAGTTTCAAACAAAAGAAGCGCGAGAAAAGGTTTGGAAATATTCCACCAAAGTTACTGAACAAGAAGAAAAGCAAAACAACGCATAACCTTGGCAAGGTTATAGCCTTTCAAGAAACTGTCAAGGCGTAGATCGGACTGGATTTCCTTTTTTAAATAATACCAACACAGCAGCCCGGGCAGTGTACCTCTGAAACATGGCAAAGCAAGCATAAGAAGGCATTTAAATAGATGTCATGACACCTCAACTCATTCTCATTTTTTATTGTTAAACCAAAGATGAACTAATTTGAATAAACCTTGAGCCTCAAATGCCTAGACGTGTGAGCTTTTTGAACCCAGCCTCTGTATACAGCAGCTTTCCATTCTCGTAACCAGCAAGAAAGATAAGTGGGTATCTCAAATGGAAGTACCAAGGGTGAGACACAGCTCCAAAGTAGTCGAAATGAGTTGCAAGCACGTAACAAAGTCCGTTACAGGCGCTCAGTACAACAGAACTAAGGACTGCACTCATCCAAACGGCCTTGGATCCGGTATATCGATCAGTGATGAAATAGTTTGTCAAAGAACCCATCGTCGACCCCATGCCTATAGTGCAAAACACCATGGTCCATATGAACTTGATGTGAATGTCATATAAGCCTGAGAAAAAGATGATTGAGATGCTCAGTAGTAACAGTTCAGTTGCTCCTGACATGAAGGTATACAAAATGAATGGCCGCAAGTACAGAGTTCTCCTCTTGACGATTTGAGCAGAAGTGTCCGGGTTGATAAGAATAATTTCCTTGTCTACCACCAAGTATACGTGGGACAAGCTGTTAAGTTGCCTAATGTGATCTATAGGATTTCCATCCTTGTCTTCAAGTATAAAAGGGTTTTCAGAGACAATTCCAAGACTCTCCGCCACCAGGAGAGAGAGTTGTTCAACCTTGGTATTTTCATCGTAATTTACTCGAGCTGAGGGGCCAGGTAAACCAGCAAAGCTTGCCGTGATTGTCGAACTCATCGAAAAGTATTGAAGCAGGAAAAAAGCCAAGAGTTTTTATATGCTAACGTAGAATTTTGACTATAACAAAATGGGATAATTAGTCACCGGCTGTGGGGAGACAAAATCTTGGAAACATTTAAGCAGACTGCTTCCGTTATACTTGCTGACTGTGGTGCTTCAATTTCGATCAGCCAAATTAAAGTCAACACTGATTCCATTCATTTTATCGCGCTGAATACCACACCATGCTCGAAATCAGTAATACAAAAAATAAAACATATAATAACATATAAGATGCATCAATTGTTTTATCAATAATCTGCACGCAATCTCTCTTTACGTTCAGCGTTTGTTAATTTCAGCAACTGTGAGAACTTGAACTTAATCTCCCAGATTGAATTTCCGATTTTTTGCTTGATCTCTCGATATACCGCCGCATTTTCCTTTTCGCCCTGTCCTTCAAGGAAATTGATGTAAAGCTATTAAAAATTCAAGGATGCGCCTACAACTTATTCCAATAAATCTCAAATAATGTAGATAGATATCGTATTTATTGCTCTGTCTTCCTCTTCTGATGTCAAACCAACGACAATACCACGGCCTATATGGCCTATGCCACCAGGATGCATAGACACCAAGGTAAACTGACACCATATTCGATTATCCTCAACATCAAGCCAATCACTGGTTACATTACCTCTACTCCTAATTCTTTTGAATCAAGTGCTTTGAATAGGATCAACAAACTCAAGCTCAAAGCGGCAACATCCGTTGCATGAGTGCCTGGAACTTGATTTAGATATAATGTTAAAAGCGACAAAGCGCCGTCAAAGCTGGTAATATCTCATGCTCACAACATGTCCATATTATTTTGCTCAGTTATTTTGTATTAATTATCCCATGCAGCCTTTAGTTGAGGTGGATAGATATGAAAACTTTAGGGTGACTGTGGGGTTTGTTCCTCAGGCTTCAGTGTTGGTTACACTTAATAGAAATGGAAAAAAATAATGAAACTTCGATGTTATTACTGTAATTGATTTTGAAATGAAAGTAGTAAAAAAACGGCCTGCCGCGTGCATTTGACCTCAAGAAAGATTATACGGTTAGTACTTGGACGGAAAGCCAAACAATAGCGAAAGAACAGGATACAGTTTGAAGGCGACAAGTTAAAGAAATTCGAAAAGGATATAACTTGCTTCTTAAAGAAAATGAAGAAACTTCGTTCAGCAAGGGACTCTCTAGCAATCAGACCTGCTTCATCCATCGACTTTTGACGTCGAGCAAAAACATCTACGCTCTAGACTAAGTAATGTGAGACCGTCAAATGACCAAGGAGTACCTAAAGGTCATCTCATTCGAACCATCAATTCAAACTTTGATCCCTATTATAACTCTTTTGTCATTACTTACTCTTCAAAGTTTACGAATATAATTCTCATTTTATCTGGCGAGTGATGTGCTCTAGTGACTTTTTCTGAAATGCTTTATGAAGTCAAGAACTCCCTTAATCACTTTGCGAGTTGCAATTTTTCTGCCAAAGAGCCTACTTTACCGCCCGTAGCTTTTGCATACTATTTTTTTTTTAATATCAAAAAAGAAATAGCAGAAAATTAAACCGTTTCACACCTCGGTATATTTTAAGGATCATCTTGTACATAGATGAGACGTTATTCTATCACTGTAAGTACGAAATTGATCAATGATTTAAAAAGGATGTTAACCATCATTGTAGCGTCAAGTAAAGCAAAATTAAAAGATTGGTAAGTCTGTACATATATTTATTAGTAATGACGTCTCAGAAAAATATCCTAGCATAATAATACAATATCATTGACCACTCCTATGAGAAAGTCTGACCGGGAGCGTCTTACTATACTTCTTAGTTCAGTCCCAAAGGATTGAAAGAACATGTGCCTAGAGATGCTATAATTATTTCCCGTTCATTCGCTACTTCTAATAATGATTTGAAAGCTATATAATCCTGATCGATATGTACTGTAGTGATCTGAAGCCTGAGAAGAGGCGCAGGAAAAGAGATGTCTACGCTCATGTTCGGAAGCCCGATGGACTGCAACGACTTTCCTAGAGAAGTTCTTCATCAAAAAATTCAAGTAGTTCAAGGGTTGACAATATAACATAGTTAGGCTGGTGTTGGTTCAGTTTTATAATGTCTCTATCTTTTGCTTGTTGGACTAAAGATGATAGCTATCAGGACAGCTCTTGCTTACTTGAAAGCGTAGTGAAATTTACAGAGCTTCGTTTTTAAACCCACGCATTAGAAGACTGTGTTTATATGTAAAAACGACAGAAATGAGCCTTAAAAGCTGGAGTAATTCAAATTTACAGAATAGACAGGCGGCCAAACGAAATTTTGACATCAGCGGGCTTTAAAATATTAATCAGAACCTCAAGTTCATCGAGAATGCCATGAATGTCGTTCTACATTCCACCCTTCCCCAACTCCATTCCGTTCATTTCCAACTTGAGTCCATTTTTATACCATTTTATTTTCTTGTGTCATATTCTCTCACTATTTCATAATCGTCATCGCCAGATACAAACGATTTAAACGCGACAACTCCTATGCGGCATCAACTCAACCAATTGATTTGTCCTTCTCAGTGATAGCTCATTTGAACGCCAGGACCAGGTAAATTGAATTTCGGTTATGGATGATAATATCGACCTTAGTGGCGAGCATTAATGTTCATTTTCTCGAGTGAATGCCTAAGTTACATAGACTCAAACTCGCCCTGCGACATCTACGCGCTCTCCAGTATACGGCTGTCGCCATGAATAGCCGATTTGAGCGTTTGGTGTAAAGGTACAGCAAGATGCATGCCATTTGTTTTTATGACATAAATACGTATATTTCCATTAAAGGCAACTTTACAAAGGCAAGTAGGCTATGGTGAGCTGCTTGATGGCGACTACAAAGAGATACTGCAGTTTATGCTAGCGTCGAAGACTCAATTGATCTGTGTGATGGAACTGTAGAAAAAACGAAAGAGCGCAACGAACGAATCCATGCAGTTGACTTGAGCCGAATGACAAACGAAATGCACTCAATTCTTAAGCAAACGTGCATCGCAATGGGAAGAGCAAATGACTACATTGTAGTGACTAACAGCCGCCTCTAAGATGGAAGTAAAAACAAGCACACGTAACTCAGATTACTTCTGCAGCTGAAACTATCTCACAGTCTGGGCAACCCAGAGTAGAAGTCTACGATATTAGTATTACGACAACAGGACGATCAGGTGAACGAATATCAAAGATTTGGCAGGTATCACTGAAATGCTCGGACACGGGATGCCAACTGGAAGAAAAATTCGTTCAACTCTAAGCATTTATAAGGGTAATTGTATCTGGGAGAACAGATAGCGATAGAATATCGGATTATAGTGATGTAAAAGGCAAATTGGCTACTATACATTACAGACAATCACTATCTTTCAGTACGGCAGCTTGACAACCCGGGGAGGCTAATCTGCGCATTGGATGAACGTTGTCATATTGGCAACCGGCCTGGTCTGTGCAATGTAATGTTTGCAGCTTGGGAGGAAAAGTTGATCCAGACGCAATTACGCGGCATTTACAGTGCTTGGCGATGCACGCCGAATTTTGATTTCCCACATATACTCCAGTTTTGGTGTTAAGGACGCCTGGAACCACTATTCCGGTGCAGTCTGGACTTGATTTATCGACGTCCCAGGCAAAGGTAGCAACGACGAGAAACAGTATGATAAGCAGAGACTTCATTGACAAGAGTCTTCTACAAATGAACAAAGTTAGAGCGTTATGTCAGTCTTGTTGTTGATGTACATTGTATATCATTTTGCGTATTCCTAATAATTACATTTGAAGAAGAGTTTGGGTTCGTCTTTTCAGAATAGTAGTTGTTAAAGACTACTTATATATTTCTGGCAGAAATGCAGGAGTTGACTATGTCGGCCATCATTTAGGGAAAGCAGGGATTCGTGCTCTCCTGGATTTATGTGAATAGCAGTAAATCTAACCCTCCCTTCACGGAGATTCAGGATATGGCCACTCCTGTAGTTATTTGATCATAGAGTATGCCCTGTGTAAATAAAGAGGGCGGAATCTTGACCGAAATGAGCATGTACGTACCTCATGTAGGGGTGGTTTATCCCACAAAATGCATCAATCGACGAAAATGTGTAGAACTTTAAGGAATCTTTTATTGCGAAAGGGTTACGAGCGTCAGCGAGTAACGCGTCGCAATAACATATACTAAAGTATTCTGCGCGCGAGCGAAGC